TTATTTTATTTATTGCTGTTGCAAAGTTTCAAGTCCAAGTCCTACTTTTATCTTCAATTAAGTACAACCCAGTAGAGCTACAGCCTAGGCAGAGACTTCTGCTTTTTATTTGAGGTGATAATTGTGCTTCTTTGTAATGCAGAAGATAGTGTTAAATCAGTGTTTCCTAGCCCTGTGACCAAGCAACAGATTAGACTGTCAAAATTTCAATCATCTGAAAAAATTATTACTTGTAACCTGAAATCCTTCATTTGCAGACGTTTAATGAGGCAAGGCTGAATGACAGTTCTATTTTGGACTGTTATTCTTCGAAATAATTCATTATACTATAAAGATTTTGACTTAAGTTTAAACTATATAATACGCCCGAGATTTAATGAAAGTCTATCAGGGTACAGATGTCTCGTTTACATCAATCGTGTCAATGTTTTTACCGCTGTTCTCACAAGGATCCCACAAGACAAATGTGAATAGATTGAGAACTAAAGAAGGAAAACTTTCCCCTTATTAACACAGAAAATCATCTTGAGACTGATTTTCAGTTCGATAAAAAAATTTGACAATGATATTTAAGCTGATTTTTTTTCTTCAAATATTTAAATCTTTTTTTATTATTATGAATGATATAATATAACCGTTCTTTTCTTTTATTCTATTTCTGATATTTTAATTCATACGTATATTAATTTTCATTTATTAGTTATTCTTAGAGATTTCTTATCTGAAGATGAATGCCAGCACCAAAATGTGCTCGTCGTGTACATGTACTTTAAGTTACATGTACCTTTAAATGGAAATAGTGTATCCACAATTATAAATACAAGAAAATAAAAAATAAATAAATAAAAACTAAATAAGAGAAGAAAAGTTTAGCCCAAGTATTGTCTTCTGGAGCCAAAGACAGCTCTTAACATATACACTCATTCGCGAAATTTTTCAGGATTAAGATCTTCAACTTTGAGGAGTTTCTAACACTACAAATTCAGTTTTCAATAAAAATAACAGAATATCCTTGGTAATGATTATTTGCGTGATTATTTATCTGGAGGATCAAATTAACAAAATTCTATTCTCAGACCAGAAAAGATACTATATAGCGGGTTATTTTAGCGGGGTGCTAATTTTGGCCTATTTTAGCGTTTTGGTAGTAGCCCGCTAAAATTTTGATCGCTAAAATATTCAGTATTTTTCTTAGTGTTCTTTTGCAACGTGTTCAAACCCTGTGTCCGCTAAAATAGATTACGCCAAAATTATTGGCATACATTTAAGCAAGCAAAACGCTAAAACCCGCTATACGGTAAATACTTTCGCTGGAACCCTCAAAAGTTCCTGTTGCAAACATTTTGCCTCACATGAGGCACATGAATACAAACATAATAGAAATTTTGAACAGGAATATAAGAGCAAACCAGATAAATATACAGTGGTTTACAGGTGTTGGAAGATAATATAAAGTTTGAATTTCATTGTTTAAGAATTGACATAACAAGATATGTGATAGAGTTGGGCTTTGCAAAAGTGCATTATAATAATAATAAATTCCTTATTTTTTTAATATGGGTAGTCCCATTCAGATGCAATCAAAATACAAGATGCAAACGCTTTTTCTTTTTGAAATAACTAATACTGTGAGAATTCTATGAGTTTTATCCAAAGATGGTGGATAATTTTGTGTCATGTGTATATACATGAATATTTACATTTCTAATTCTATTCTATGTGATAACTCCCTAAAAGTTAGGTGAGTTGGTTTCATTAAACCTGATTGTAAATTTCGCCAAGTGAAAGGTCAGGAGCCTAATATGCATGTCAATCTCGTGCGGCTCCTTGTGTCTGACGTCAATGGGCGGGGACTATAGAAATTAACATGGGAGGCCTCATGTATTTTAAATCTGTTAGATAGCATTTTTTAATTAATATTTACAATTTTATTTCACAAAGAAATGTAAATATAAGGAATCACTGTCTAGTTTGTTGGGTATGCCAGGGACATCAACGACAGTTGAAAACGTGGGATAATTTATGCATAACGGGCTTCCGAATTAGCCTTTTCACGATAACGGCGGTGCTACTCTTTTGCAGGGCAAATTAATAACGTTTGGCGAAGTCTTTGTCGACGGATAATTAAATGACGTATATTAAACAATTGCATTTACGTCATATTTCACCAAAATATACCATTTTGCCCTGCAAAAGAGCAATACTTATCGTGAAACAGTCTATTGATTAATTGAAAAAATAAGTGTTTGTTTGTGGGAACGTAAATTCGTGGATTATGGCTGGCCAACAAATCCAAGAACATTGATCCCCCACCAACATTGATGATTCTACAGTATGTAGATGCTACCAATTCCTTTTGTATCCTAAATCAGTGAGCTACATGTCTGAAACTAACAAAGTAAATTCTTGTTAAATTTATCATAATAATCTACAACTTCTGCCATGCAAGGGGAGAAACAGCGTCAGATTTATGGGGGAAAAATAGTATTTTATTTCTCCATTTACTCTCAACACTTCTGTGGAAATTGGTGTCTGGCACATCCAGTGATAAACTAAGCAGACTACCGGTATATCTTTGGTTCAGCTAATACTTTGTGACTGAAAAAGATGATGATAAAACATATATTATATGCCATAAAGATTCTGGTGCTGGAAACAATCTTTCTATACGGTGAAATTAAGCAAAATTGAAAATTAATATGATTTTACTTGTACGTGTAACATGTTAAAATGAATTGTGTAGATATTAAAAATGCCAAAAAAACTCCAATCACTTTATTCTGAAACATTGCATGGGTCATTCTCTACATGGTAACAATGAAGGAATTATCCTCTACATGCATGAATGCCTTCAAGTCTCTATGTCTTGTCATCATACCATTCTACTTACATTTATCATAACTTCAAAAAAAGAAATTAATAAATTAAGCATAACCATGCATAGTTTGCTTCTTTATTAAAATTCTTTGATCAATGATTATTCTTTTGTTATCTTCACCTTTTTTTCTTTTAAATGGTTAAGATTATTGAATAATATGATTCAACTGAAGATGTGCTCATATTCAAGGTCAATTATCTTAGCTTTCTGACCTTGACATTTTATAAAATGCGCTAGCTATAATTTTGCTAATGTATTTTTTTTCTTACCCGAAAGTTTTCATTTTCACATTAATTTTAGTGTTTGAATAAGATGAGTTTACCATGGGGTAGATGTAAATCACTGAAACTAAAAAAAACAACTTTTTTTTAAAAATCTAAAAAATATTAAAAAATGTTGTTTTTTTTAAAACAATGCTAGTGATAATGATGAACTAACAACAAGCTTTATGATGAACGTCAATTTCCCTTATTTATGTAGCAATATACCCTATCACCTGTAGTTTACGGTCGCTGATTGACGTTTTTCATACGAATTGTTATACCATTATTTACATTATGAATTGTCTACCGCTTTTACCGTTTGCCCGATCATAACAAGGAGCACATGGGGTGGTTGACAGGGGATGTTTTCTCCTCCATGGCACCTGATCCCACCTCTGATGCTTTTAGAGGCCCGTGCTTTCTCTGCTCCCGATTTGTATTGTTTCTTTCTACTTTTGAGCTTGATTACTGTTTTTTATCTCCATATTTCATTACAATTTTTATTGTTGCTTATCACATTGATGTACTATTGAATACAGCCTTTCACATATGATGCTCATATGTTACACAATCCTAAAATCTAGTACATATATTAACAACCAATTTTTATTACTCTTTCTGAATAACAAAAAAAAAATTAAAAAATCAGTGGAAGTCTTTTAAATGTTGGAAATTTGGTAATTCATTGTAGTAGTTTATAATAAGGATTTCCAAAAGTACTATGTAACTATGTAAAATCAGAATCAAATAGCATCTTATTATTAAAATGTTTGCAAATTGCCTTATCACATATATTCATGACTTTGACAGAAGTTAATGAGGACGACAAAAACATATTACCAATTTGAGCTTCACATAGATTTAAGGTGTTGATATATGTATCTATATATATCACAAATTAGACAATATCAGAATCATTACTTTTATAAAAAGAATGTAATTGCATTGTGGCGGCTGGCAAATTAATTTCCATATCCAGACAATTGTTTTGTAATTATGATTCAAAAATTCATCTGTTTTTACTGAACATCATTTCTCTATGTCTCTTTTCATCCTAAGTGATTCCTTTAAAGAGTACATCTAAAATGGTTTTAAAAATAATTAAGATTATTTCAAGAGAAATTCATTGTCATCGTTAACCATGAACACGTACATGTATATTAACTTGCAATTATAGTTTATTACTGTATGTATATGAAATTGCGGGTTTTAAATATGTTACGTTCCAACAGTCAATTTGAATATATTTCTTTTCATGTATTTTTTTTTCATTACATACAAACTTAGTCTTCTTTTCATTCTTCTCCTTTTGACAAACTTTATAGTCATCAACAATACTTATATATAGTTATTCAAAACAGATTAAATTACTTGCTTTGATTTTTAAAAGAATTTTTGAGTTTTTAATTTGGAAGGAACGACTACTCGCTCGATAAAATGGTTTCCTGTACCGAGATCCTGACGCTGCTGGACGAGTTTTACATGAAAAATCCCCGTAGACTTTGAATTTGCCACTGTGTAAATAACAGGTTAAATTCGAGGGTTCGTTTAAATGTAGGAACATTGGGAAAAAAATGATCTATCGATCAAATCTAGTTTGAAGGCCAAAATATCTATATATTTTGAGATATGATGCAAAAAGTGGTGAAAATAACATGATGGGACAATAACGCTTTTCAGTGATAGCTGATTATATATTTTGATGTACATATTTAATTAACTTTGATTTTCTGGTTGATTTACATCAAATTTTATAATATAAAAAATCCAATTTTTTTTTCATTTAACGTCATTTCCAACACACGTTATAAAAGAGTCTCTTTTCGATTACCAAAAAATGAGCATTTTGACAGTCAATCATGGCCAGGTATTTGCTGTTCCTTGTATTCGTGAAAGTTTTTCTACCAAATGTAGTCTCTTCCTCTCAGTGTTTTGAACCTGACTGCAGCAAAGCAGAATTTAACCACAATCCTTTTAGCTGTCTCGGTAAGTAAATCTTCAACATGATTCGTATGTATTCGATTTCTTAATAGATCTAAAATAAGAAAATAAACAACAAGAGAAGATTTGCATAATAATTATAAAAGAGTAGAATAACAAGGCATATTTATACTATATACATTTTTTTTATTTCAAACTGGATAAAACAAAGTAAGGTGTCGACCATTCGATTCAGAAAAACAAGAGAAGATTAGCATAATAATAATAAAAGAGTAGATACATATTTTATTATTTTAAACTGGATAAAACAAAGTAAGGTGACGACCATTCCCTTCTGAAAGGGGGTGGGCAAATTTGGGAATAAATAATCTGATCTCGAAAATGTTGGAAAGAAATAATACATTCTCAAATGGCAAGAAAACAAATAATCTGTCCTTGAATGGAGTTAATAGCCCCTATGGGCGGTAAAAATTGGTGTTAATTACTTCTATATGTGTTGAGCATTTAATTTTAGGATTGTGTGACATAGCTAGGATGGTCACATGTAAAAGGCTGCATTTAATAGTACATCGATGTGATAAGCAACATTGAAAATAAAAATTGTACATAATCCATTTCAATTCTCTTTTAACACTTGCTGAAAAGAAATCAAACAAGAAGTCTGTGAGCCAATGCTCACTAGTAATACCCTTCCTCTGATTTGAATATATGTTCTCATATGAATATACACATGTTCAGTTGCCTAAACAAAGAGTGTGCTAAAATTTCAAGCATCTGTCTTGAGTAGTTGTTGAGAAAACTGCGATGAAAATTTGTTACGGACAGACAAACAGACACACAAGGGTAAAACAGTATACCCCCTCTCCTTGGGAGCGGGGGTATAATAATCTCTCATTCTCTCCTTGATCATCTTGAGAATAAAAAATTATTTTTCCAGTGTCGTTGACAAGCACGAAAATAAAAAAATCTGACTCGAAACTGTCCTCTCTTTCAAAATCAAATGGACGTCCCCTAAAAAATATAACTAATAATGTAAGTATGTTAGATGGTTTAGATGGGTCATCCCCCTTTTTTGGTTTCTCAAAGTTTAATAAAGATAAATGAGTATATTTTTTTTTTTTTTTTTTTTTTGCTTTTATCATACATAAATAACGCAAAACTGTTCTAAGAAAGAGCTAAAACCTGAGATCGTAAGGGGGCTACTCTTTAAGAATCCTGGATGTGTCATTGTATTATATGGTATCAATAGCCTGTTCCTCACGAGGCAAATAGTGCAAATCAAAACAATAAATTACAAAATTTAAAAACAAAATACGAAATAAAACACTTAATAACACAATAAAAAACTAAATTATAAATATAATACTGTGAGCATCCACAGGTAGTTTAGATTCAATTTTGTTCAAATCATGATCCCCTGTAGTAGGGTGGGGCCACAATATGTGATCAAAATTTTACATAAGAATATATAAGGAAAGAGGGTCTTAATTGCTCAGGCTAGCGTTATGGCCCATGAACCTTTTTTGGCTGCATATCTTTCTTTCGTTTCTTGTTTCATTATTTTTTACACTAATCCAAATGTTGCACTGGACAGATTGTACATAAGAGGAATCGACTTTCTGTACTGTAACAATACGGACTCCACTCCACTCAGCCTTTTACCCCAAGCCCACAGTAATGCTGTAGAATGAAATGTATCAAATTGCTTAGTTCATGTAGATTAAAACATTCTATTTCTAATTATTGCTTTGATCAACGTTTATATATAATTACATAGAAATGATGTTATGACTGCAGATATATGAATTCCATATTTTAAATGCTTAATTCTCAAACCTCTATTAGAGATTCTTCTATCTGACGTATCTGTATAAGGGTATCGAGACTTACGTGGATATATCAATTAGAACAGTATTCATATGTCAGTTATAGTTATGATCAACAAAGGCACACATTATATAACTTTCTTTTTTTAAAAAAAAAAAAAAAAATTATGTTTTCTATGTGAAAAAGCATGGACCTTAAGAGTCCTTGGTGTCCAATAATGCAAAACCATAATTAAATAAAACATTGAATTACAAAACAAAAAACTAACGTACATAATAAAAAACGAAATTACAAAATAAAATTAAAAATATATATATATATATTTTAAAAAGGAAATTACGAAATAAAAAAAATTATGATAAAAGATAAATAAATAAAACACGAAATAAAAAAAGGAATTTAAAAGTGAATCGTAAGAAGTCATTCCGCATACGTGCACTGTGTGAAGATCAGCGCAAAACAGCATGTCTTAATTAAGGTCCATGCTATTCACGGAGAAAATATATTTTTAAACAAGAGGAGTTTTATACAAATGTGTGCCTTGTTTGATCATAACTATAACTGACATTTAAATACACATTTGAGAATTTATCATTTGAAATGTGTGATACATATACATCTGCAGTTAGTGCATCATTTTTATTTCAACTTTGATTGTATGACCAAAAACAATTAAAAATGTACTAATTGTCTAATTTTTATTTAACTAAGCAAATAACCTATTTAATCTTAACACTTTGACTTGTTTCAAAGAATGTGGGCCCCATCAGTCACGTTCGTCAATTTATGATTTACTACTTTAAACAGTTAATTAATTAGCTGCGAATCTGCTATCATCAGGAGTATTTATAGACTTCATTCTGATTTGACATACGATACAAGTATGCGAAAGCGCATCCTCAGCTCATGTTTGAATTTACTCTCCATATCGATCATTAACATGGCCAGGGTGGAGTAATAGATCACAGGTGTATGATTACAACTAACTAATGAACTTTGTAACATTTAGAAATTCCCATATGGTTGACATTATATGTCAACTTATCGCACAACAAAGTAATGCTATAAAATAAAACTTTACCGATTGGGTTTTGCGTGTTTGTTTGTATTAAAGAGAACACTAAAAATTGAACAAGCCAGAGTTTTAACATAAAGTAGGTTATAGTGATTGCTCAGTCCCTGTGGATTAAACAATACATTTCCAACTGTCTTGGTCATTCTATGAAAGTTGAAATAGAAAGGATGCACTAAATGCATTGTAATTTCGTTGTTTTTGTTTTGTTTTGTTTTGTTTGTTTTTTTTTTTTTTAAATTTAGCTATTTTATTTTGTAATTCAATAATTCTTTTTAATTTTGTAATTTAGTTTTTTATTTTGCAATTTAGTTTTTATTTTGTAATTAGTTTTTTTTTTATTTAGTTCTGTTTTGTACTATTGGGCTTCCGTAGTCTTAAGGTCCATACGGAAGCCCAATGCAAATCAAAATTAAACTACAAAATTGAAAAAAAAAAAGAAGATAAAACTGTAAATAAATAAGAAACTAAATAACAAACGAAATAACAAAATAAGAAAACAAATTAAATACTCAATAAAATAAGATAATAAAATAAATACTAAACTAAATAAACTAAAATAAACTAATAAAATAAATACTAAATAAAAAACGAAAGTACGAAATTAAAAAAACAAAACAAAGAAAAACTAAGAAAAAAAATGAAATAAAATACAGAATTTTCAAAGTGCGTCTTAATGACGTGAACTTCTGAGTCATTCGACAGTGTGCACCTGTGTGCAGTTAATGCATATATTGTATGTGAATGAAATCAGTCGAATTTGAATAGATTGATTCAAATTCATGTTTAAAGAAGGGTACATGACTCTGCCATCCTCCTCGCATTTCGAGGGGATACATTCCGTTCACAATAGAGTATACATCTCGCATATTATGGTATACCCGGTTATTTATCGGTGTTTTGTGAATTTGTTCAGGACAGAATCTGATCATTTCGGACCAAAATGGAGTCTCAACAAAAGTACTCTACAGTGGATGTTGTGACGATGTAGAAAGCCCCTTTAAGGGGGAATTGCATATTAAATGAACTTGAGAATACAAGGGAACTGAGATTGACCAAGAAAATATAACAAACAGAAAATTCAATGTTCTTAAGTTGTAGATGGACTTTATTTCACTGAGGAGACAGGGTTTTTTTTAAAAAAATTTTTTACTCATGCTTTGCACTCGTGAAAAAAATAAGAAAATCCTGTCCCAAACTAAGAATATTCTTTATTTTTATAATTTTAGGAAACTGTTTCAAAAATTCTTCTTCTTTTTTTTTTTTTTACATAAACCCTGTTGTCATTTTTTTTCAAAGCTCCATCATTCTGGGCTTCAATAACACCATGTTGGTCTACATGTAACGGTCAAAGACAATCTCCAGTCAACATAAGAAGGAGCCATGCTGTCTTTAATTCAGATCTCCGGCGCTTGAGTTTCAACATTGGAGTTAACCAAAGATTTTTGATCTCCACTACTAATGAAGGTATGTCACTTCAGTATCTTTAAAAATGATGAGCATCTTCTTGTGCAAGCCTTTTGCATTAAGATAAGTGTCCAAAAAGTTCAGTATATAGTTTTGGAGCATAATAAGAAGAAAGTGAGATAAAAGAATGAAAAAATCTATTTCCTTTGAATTGTGCGAGGACTATTCATATTTATACAAATTTTACGAGTAAGTTAAATTTTGAAGGAGTACAATGTATATGATAATGTATGAAAACTAGCTATAGTCATCAGATTACCTTGAAAATCTACACAATATTTTTAAGTCCGTTTCATCTAGGATCAACGACAAGTTACAAAATAGAAGAAAGAGATATAATTTTGTCTAACTTGGAGCAATTTGGTCTCAGTGGAAAGTCGTTTAAGTTGGATTCTTTTCACTTCCACGCGGGGAGATTTCATAACAGTAAGGGATCCGAACATTCATTTGACAATGAATTCCAACCCATGGAGGTAACTTTACTCACTAAAGCAGAAATAATTTTTTTTATTAGTATGCCAAAATGTATGTAATGTCTTCTGTTTGAACATATAATTACAGGTAAAACAACTTCATTCATTTTATTTTCAATTTTTAAAACATATTTCTTTCAAAGCAAAGTAACAAAAAATTTAAAAAAATAAGATCTTTTTTAACTCGAGCGAGATCTTTGTTCTTATTGCTCCATCGAGGAAAGCGTGTTATGTATATAATTTCATAAATAGAAATGACTTCCTTCTACCTTAGATTTTACAGATATTGTATCACCCTTTGTTTCAGCTTCATTTGGTGTTCTACAACACAAAGTACCCGGATGTTGAAACAGCAGCTGATCGTGCAGACGGGTTGGTTGTTATTGGAGTCATGGTACAGGTAAAGAGGGAGTATAGTCTATATTTTTTGCCATCATCATCATCATCATCATCATCATCATCTTCAGTATTATTATTTAATTTCAATGACGTCTTATACCCCTTTAATTAAGGTTCGTCTAAACAAAGATATTTTACAGATATTTAAATTTTGTATAAAGTCGATACTGGGAACATGAGAATATTAAATTTATATCATGAGAAAGACAAATGTATCACCTTTTATTTTATCGACACAAGGGAATATTTTTCAAATGAAACGTTAACTTAGGATTGTTATTTTCATGTGTTATTTAACCGTTTAACCTGTATCAGAATTAAAAGGGATTCTGCAATACTTACCTCTTTCTGTGAAGAAACATTTATAAACACATCCCTCTTAATTTACTATGGTTATTTTTTCAGGATGATACTTCAGTATTAATTTAAGAAACTGTTCTGTTGGTGTTCTTCATCAAAAAATATAGTGATTTTTTTTTTTCAATTTTTTTTATTTAAAGAATTAGAATATCTGTCTTGCTCTACTGTACCCATTTTAAAGCGGCTTGGGGTTTTATGGAAATTTATTCATACTGATTTGCACAAGCATATATATGTAGTAAAAGTTATTTAAAATGTCCTCTACATCAATGCATGATCTTGAATTTTGAATATATTAGTTTATTGGTCCCAAATGAATAAGATAAACGAAGATAAAATAAAATTGGGTTACTTTACATTGGATCTTTAAACATTTCTTTGAAAGACTTGAATTTTGTTTTCAAGAAAATAAATTCGGAAATATTATTCTCTGATAATTATATACAACCGTAGGATACCTAATGTCGAAGAGTCTTGAGTATTATTAAGGAATATGCATGAACATATGAAATATTAAAACCCGTGCACCAACCATTTAGATTTAGAAATTATCAAGATTAAAGTTTTTGAAAAGTAGTTCATTCTCCAAGGTCAATGTTATGAGATCAACAAGATGTGTTTGTGAGACACTATGCACCCGGTGGCAACAAAGTTCGAAAAAGCTATTTTTAGCGTATAGGTCACAGTCAAGGTCACAAGGTCATTGACCTTGGTGTCATTTGAAAGAACGTAATTAGTGGAGTATGCATACCAAATATGAAGTCTCTATCTCCTATGGTTCAAAAGGTATGGCGAAGATTAAAGTTGACAACAGACAGACAAACAGACAGACAGGACAAAAACAATATGCGCCCCTGATCTATCGATCTGGGCGCATAAAAATGTCTGTACGCTAGAAAAGGACTTGTAACAAGAAATACACATATTAAATATGAAAACCTAAGCTTTAATCAATCAAAAGTTATTTGCAAGGTTAAATGTTGGTAACATTTTTGCAAACAAAAGTGAACCAAACTCCAAGGTCAAGCTAAAAAGGTCAAATATGTTGTACCCAAAGATAATTCTTGTCACAAGAAATACACAGCTGAAATATGAAAGCCCCAGCTTTAACATTAAAAGTTATTGGCAAAATTAAAGTTTTTTCAGACGGACAGCCATGAAGAGACAAATCTTAAATGACGGGGGCATAAAAATACAGTCAAACCTGTATTAAGCAGTCACCTACGGGATGCATTAAAAATGACCTTTATAGAGAGGTGACCTTTGGATAGAGGTTCATCTTTTTTAAAGGAATTTATATACATATATGTCAGTTTTGTGTTTATATTATGTATTACACTACAGAATATAGAAGAAAATTAGGTATTGGGCATTAGTGATCTCACTTATTTTTTTTTTTATTCTATTCAGTAGATGCATGACTTTTGAGGACGAGTTCAAACTAAATTTAATGAATCCAAGAAAATAAAATACCTCTACATTGAATCTTATAGGGCGTTGCATTATTCCCTCATCAAAACAACATTTTTTTCTTGCGTAAGGAATGATTATTTTATGCAATGAATAAAATCAATCAAATATTATTTTATCTAAACTTGATTCGTAAAATTAACCTGAATTGTTGTTTAATAAACAGACAAGTCACTGTAACGTTACGTACACTCAGTTGATCAAAGAGATGCACAGGTGTCCTGAGCAATGAAGTGTTACTTATCCCTTACGGTCGTTTTCCTTTGTGAAATTCACGACATACTCAAGCCACATTGTGTATATAAACCGTAATTATAGTTTCTACAAATGATACAAGTTTCCAAGGTGTGAAAATTAAAATGCCAATCATACGTAAGAACATTTAACGTTACAGCTCTCAGAGTTGGCATGCGATATCGTAATTAATTTATACACTGTAAATGGGAAACAAAAATATCTTATCCATTAACAGATAGATATGGTTACGTTGGGTTTTTTTTTAAACTTGATTCTAAATCCAGAAGTACCTCATAATCAATTATCGATAATGTTCGTTTTTTCCTGCTGACTTTTTTTGTCATTAGCATCGTTGTTCGAGTTTTGTAAAATATAGAAGCAGTTAATTTGTGAAATAATTCATATGCTTATCCAATAATATAACTGGTATTAAATAAAGTACATTTATTAATTTTTATTCATGATCCCGCAACGCTTGACCAATTATTTACATTAGTAACAGAAATTGGGCATCAGCTGACTCTAGATCAGGTCACGTGGACAAAATGGCCGCTAAAGACAGGGAAAAATGGCGATTTCGTTTGAAATTTGATGACCGCTGACCGCGTTACGCAGGTGACCGCTTAGTAGAGTCACTTAATATAGGAAATTTCATTGGGAGGAAATAAAATGACCGCATAGGACAAGTGACCGCTGGAGAGAGGTGACCGCTATGACAAGTTTGACTGCAGAGCAATAAGAAAGAAAGCATTGCAATTATGGTGACACTAGTATCTAAAATGAGGAAAATATTGTATGTTTGTTAGATCATATTTTATGTTATATTATCATTATAAATTTATAAACTACATAGAATACTGCTTTTCCCCATAAGATGAAAATATTTTAAATTGTTTAAAAAAAATATTTCCACAGGTGAAACCTAGTTTTTTGCTGAAATCCTTCCCTGGTTGTGTAGATGATTATAAATGGACTTTAAGTGATCTCATGAGTAAAACTTTGACAAACATTGAGAAATACCAAGGTACATCTCTCTCTCTCTCTCTCTCTCTCTCTCTCTCTCTCTCTCTCTCTCTCTCTCTCTCTCTCTCTCATGCAAACACACACACACACACATTTGAAAACCACCTTTGATACTTTTTCAGACTGCACTGAAACTGCTCCCATGATATCCACATACATAAGCTTGAAGAATTTATTACCATCTGATCGGATAAGCTACTATTCCTACCAAGGATCCTTAACCACGCCCCCTTGCTCCGAGACTGTTACATGGGTGCTGATGAAGTGTCCTATCATCGTTTCAAAATCTGTATTAATTTATATCTCTGAATTTGTAAAGTCACAATTCCTGCTTTATTTTCACAACAAATATGGTATTTTACTCGATATTATAAATGTAATACAGCCTACCAAAATTAACTCACTTTTCACTATGAAACGTCGGAGAACTATAGTAAACTTTAGTACAAATTTATTACTGCATTTTAGTTAACTATGCTTTAATTTACTATGAATATAATAATTTTAATGTCATATTCAAATGATGACGCATCTGTTTCATATTTGGATATTTTACTAGAAAAAGACGCTAAATTAAATGGTAATCTAACAACAAAGCTTAATGATAAACGTGATGAATTTTCTTTTCAATCGTCAACTTCCCTTACTTATACAGCAATATACCCTTATCACCTGCATGTGGGGTTATATCTCTCAGTTGATTCGATACGCAAAAGCATGCTCTAGGAATGAACAATTTCTAAAACGAAGATATTGACAAACAAATTGATGAAACAAGGATATCAACAGTCTCGTTTAAAGTCATCATTTTGTAAGTTCTATGGTCTATACAATGACCTTGTAATCAAATACAATCTATCATTAAGTCATATGCTGACTGACGTTTTTCAAACTAATTGTTAGGCCATTATTTACACACTTAATTGTCGACGGATTTTTCCTTTATTTACCGGTCATGACAAGGAGCACACGGCGGGTGTGACCGGTCGGCAGGGGATGCTCACTCCTCCATGGCACCATCCCACCTCTGTTTTTGGAGGTCCGTGATTTGTATTGTTTAATGGACTTTGAACTTGAATATTGTTCGTTATCTCCATATTTTATTGAAAGAAATTTTAAAACTTTGGTTTAACCAGGCAAAAACTTTGACCTATTAAGGGGGGGGGGTGAAGATAACGAATAGTGATCAATCAAAAAACTATAAACAATACAAATCTGTGAAAATGGCATAAACACAGACCACTGAAAATTTCAGAGGTGGGTTAGGTGCCTAGGAGGAGTAAGCATCCCCTATCAACCGGTAACACCCGCCATGAGCCCTATGTATTGATCAGGTAGACGGAATATTCCGTAGTCAAAGTTAATTTAAAAAAAACTTATATGAAATCTGTCGGTCAAAATATGACCATATGATAGGTTATACATGCTAACAAGGTCACTGTAATGAACATAGAGTTTACGAAATGCTGATTTTAAACAAGGCTGTTGAAATCCCATTAACATCAACTTATCTGTCAATAGCCTACCTCGGTTTAAAAAAATGATATTACTTAGAGCATGCTCTTGAGTATCGAATAAGTTGGGAGTCATTAAAAAAATAACGCCATATGCAGATGATAGCGGAATATTACTACATTAATAAAGAAGAAATGATACCAAAACACTTTCTTATGTAGTATTACTGTATGAAATCTTACGATATTATTAGTTTTATCGTTATTTTTTATCAGGCGATGGAAGCTTTTCAGAAACTCGAAATTTCAAGCACCAAAGAGAAACTGGGCGTCTTCGGCAACCGCCGACCAATACAAAGAGATCAATGGAACATGCCTTTTACTGTGCTAAAGAACTTTTTTTCTTTAAATGAAATAAAGACACCATGGAATGTAATAGATTTATATAGATTAAAATAAAAAGAAGTTATTCACTGACTTTTTTCTTTTTTTTTTAAATAAGCATTGTAGTTTTCATTTTTCAGAAATCGAAAGTCAAACATTACTTAATGTAGAGTAAGTAATAAAATACAGTTGACGTTCAGTATCTCCAACTCTATGGATATGTCGAAGTGACCACTTTTCTTGAGGTATTTTAACCTCAATATCTCTAATCCTCCGATATCTCGAAGATTTTTCTTGGCACTATCGAGTTCGTGATAACGAATTTTAATTGTAGATGTCCTTTCAAAATGTTAGATGTTTTAATACATATATTTAAAACATGATTGTGACGTAAACCTTTTGTTTGTGTTGTCCATTCTATAGCTTAATGTTGAGCTAACTCCTCAAACAATCCATTAAGTTACCTGTAAGTGCCCATTCTTTTTGGAAAACTGTCCATTCTTTTAAGAACTGTCCATTCTTAAAAGAATGGACAGTTTTTTCCAAAAAGAATGGACAGTTAAAACAAACAGAATGGAGAGTTACAGGTAAACTTTGGAATGTGTTCAAGAGGGAAACAAAAACAAATACATTAAATACTTTTTAATTTACATGTAAATAACAAAAAGAACGCGGAGATCAAAGTTAATCCAGAACACAATGTCTGCACAGCATCCACTCGATTTTACTCTTTGAAATCCAGGAATAATGCACATTATTTCAATACTCAAAACTTAATTTTCAAAAAATTTGAATTCAAATGACAAATTTCACATTTGATTAAAATTTCGTAAAAATCATTCCCTCAAGAATTCATTTTCATAGAAGTACGTCTAATATTAAATCCTCCACCCAGAAAACTTGCACCATGAACATAACACTGCTGCAGTTAATATTTCGGTAGAAAATAAATAAAAATGAAACATTTCCAGATTTGATTTGAAAAACATTTCAGGTCGAAGATTGGCTCATGGCTAATCCAACACTCAGAACACAATTTGCATCTCACCATTACACTGCTGCAGTTAATATATCCTCAAAAATAGAATTCAAATAAAAATTTCCAAGTTTGATTCGAATTCGATCATCTGTATCTATCGTCGAAGTTCATTTTGAGTCAAAATTTGGGTAATATTTCTTTTCTCTTACTTTTCTGTTTCCAGATCCAAATATCACTAATTTTGTGCATATTTTAGTTTATAAGATTTTGATTCTGTCATATACTCTCTCCGTCGGAGGAAAACATGTATGCCTTTACAACGCAAACTGTATACTGATTTTGAAGCATTGCATACTTGTATAAATACTAGTATCCCACAAAATCCACCTGTAACTGTCCATTCTTAAGACAAAGACCTTTTGTTATTTGCATTTGGAAACACAATGGCTATTCAACAAATTGCTCTGCATCCCTAGCTTACCTGTGACTGTCCATTCTGTAAACAATGAACTTGTCATTGTATGTGTGCTGTCATTTTGTACATTTTTTATTTAATTTTCAGAACAAAGAAAATCATGTTTTAAGTAGGAGAAAGGCCTCAAACTGTCCATTCTGTGAGAGAAAGAACTAATCTCGGGCCTAAGGCCCTCGAATAGTTCTTTCTCTCACAGAATGGACAGTTTTCGGCCTTTCTCCTTTACATAGTTTGACGAAACCCCCAAAATATGTAACTTAATTTGTCAAAGGGATTTTTATGCCCGCTTTGGTAGTTGTTGAATAAAAAACTATAATTCAACAAAACATGAACATTATCATATTAATTTTTTATACCACAATATGGATGTCGCCATTACTCAGCACAAAGTTTTTCGACGATTGAAATCCGTTGTTACAAAAAACCCCAAACATATGATAATTTTTTTTTGTTGAATACAAATGGAATTCAAATATTATACAAATTGAAACATTATAGAATGCAAATGTTATATTACACTATACAAATATAGAATTTAAAGAAAACAAATTAGAAATTTTACAAATCAAATTAAAAATTACATTATACTACTTGGGAGACAAACAATACAAATAGCAAACATCCAATATAATGGAAATTATATGAAATATAATATTTATAAAAAATATACAATTTTATTTGACGTGATTTCATTTATAGGATTTAAAACATTGATCATTTTCATTTCTAAAAAAAGACAAGGTCATCTATTTCTGGATTCTGTGCAGTACTGATTAATTTTTACAGTAAACTTAACACAAATCAATCTACAGCGTTAACTTTAAACTGTTTTATCTATATTGTTAACTTTATATCAATTAATCTAAAATAAGAACTTAAACCCTGTTTAATCTAAACTTAACTTTATACTGTTTATAACCAATACAGTTAATTTTACTTGCGAGGATCTAGAGGGGGTCGAGGAAAGGGGGTCCGAACCCCCTGGGATTTTCAGTTATAAAATACAAATCTACATCATGTAGCAAAAACATTAGCTTGGGAAACACGGACCCCAGGTAAAATGGTAAGGAAACTCTGGCCTTGACATTGTGCATATGTATACAGGACAGCTGCTTGATGCCCGAATTCCGAGTTTGTCCCCTTTTTTCCCGATGTCCAGACCCTCAGTGTCTCTGTGATTTCTTTGTAATCCTTCTTTCTTCTAAATTTAGTACTTTAAAACACTCTTCATTTACAAGAACTTTATTTTCGCGTTATTAGGTGAAAATTTCATTCGCGCGAACATATATATATTTTTTTGTAAAGATTATGTAAAATTTGAACTAGAATTTGTGAAAATTTTGTCTCGCTTATAAATATTTAAAACCTTTACCGCGAAAATAAGGTATCGCGAAAATTTGGTGATCAACAGTTTTATTTCTATAAATCAACAAATTAGTTCATATGCATGCTAGCTGCCAAGTACTTCAGTATCAGATGTATTAATTGAAGTTTTTTGCCAATTTTACAAGCTCTGGAATCTATGGAAAAATTATCTATGAAAAGAACAATCAGTTAGCATTGACCATGACTAAGAAAACCCCAGCATGTTCAGCATTGGTAATCCAGATTTTTGTTCCATTAAGGATGTAGTAATCCCCTGGTTTCACTGCTGTTCCACGATGGCAAAGGCATCCCATTCAGGGTCTTCCTCTAATAAATAAAAACTGTCTACCTGAGGAGTCAATGAGAATCAATGATAAAGCTTCTGATAAAGCACAATTTTTGTAAAGTTAATATCATGTATTTTTTTTTTGGATCATGTATTTTTTCCTAAGGGTTTGTCTCAAAATATGTATAATAAAAGTAAATTTTAAAATAAAATTTATGTTTAGAATATTGATTACCGGCCTTGTAGAGAAAGCTTTCATGTCTAAAATCTCCGCCCCTCCTCCCTCGGAAAACTGCATGACTCTAGAGTAAAATGAAAAATGAGTCTAGAGTAGGATTTCTCCCAGGGAAATCGCACACCAGATTCAATTTCCCAGGTGGAAATCTTACTCTTTGGTAGTTATACAGTGTGATTTCCCCTAGAGCCAAATTTCCCCCAGCTAGAATACTTTCATTGATTATTACTTATCTGAGGCAATTTGCTTGTAGTTGTACATTCAAAATTAGCAATTTTATTTCAACTTCTTTTGAAATATGACTGTCTTACATTTTTTTTGTAACTCACCCTTAATGGCTGACAAACCATTAACAAACGATGATATAAATTTCTTGTTAATTTCCAATTTTGAAAAAGCAAAATGTCTTTATGATTCCTCTTGACATGTTTTATGCGATATATTATGCATCAATTAACAGTGTTTTTTAAAAACATTTTCAGAAAAATGTTTTTAAAAAAATTAGACACTGTTAATTGATACAAAAATGAAATAATCAAGAGGTTATCTTGGTCTTCAGTGCTGAAATCATATTTCAAAAGAGTAGCTTACATAATGTAAGTCCCGAAAGTAAAACTTTGGTATTGTACTCCTCCTTAAAAGATTGGGTTGAAACTACATGGTTTGAAATTCGTTGTTTTAGAATTCACACTATAATTGAGCATTTTTTTTTTCATATAAAAAAACGCAGTTAACATTTAGCCAAATCATTTTTGTGCGGTTTATATATGCATAGGGTAAGGAAAATTCTACACCTGGAAAGGGAGAGAGGGAAATTTGGCACAACATTGCAACTGATAAAGAAAAAAAGTGAGTGGACGGTTTATCGTCACTTACTCTTGAAATTTGACGATACGCCGTCATAGTCATGCAAAAGGAATGAATATGGAAATAACATTTTTACATAGAGTGCTTTAGATTATCTCAATATTACAGCTCGAACAGAGGCGCCTCATAGCAAAATGACAGTAAAGATTATTAAAAAGAAGCATATGAAAGATGATAAAGGTCTGTAGATGAAAAGAAAGGGAGTTGCCAAAAAGCAACGTCATGACGACGTCGGTACAAAATTGCAGTGCGGCAATAGAGGAGACCTAGGATTGTGTTTATCTTAATAAATGGATAAGTATTATATAGAAATGAATGAAATTTTAGGGCATAAGTCAAAATAAATAGAGGTAAAAGAATGTACAACTTTGTGATAACTTATGATTATTAAAGATTGTATAGATTTGTGACATTATTTTTGGATTAACCCTCGAATTATGTAAAATATTAACCTGATTTTACCCACATTTAAGGAACATTTCCGTTCTTAGTTTCTTTTTTTAACCTCAGTCCCCATAAATGCACTACTCTGTCATTAAACACTTGCAGTTTGATGTTTCATAGATAAATGCACTTATTTATATATATTTCTACAGCAACAAATTGCACTGAATAGATATGCATCTTGGTTACTAAAAAAGCATATACGTTTTTGTATATATTAACTTATTTTACTGCATTAATTTCCAAAAATATGATTTTTTAAAAATTTTCTTTTAAACCTTTGTACATGTAGTGTGATATGATATATGTCGTGTAATATCTAATACGTTTTCTCTGCTTAAATAAATCGTACTATTCAAGAATAATTCAATCAAATTTGAAAATAACGAAGTTTTTATACAGCTTTGGAATTCTGCTTTGAAAGATGAGGTTAAGGAACAAGTCTTTGAACTATATCCATATATTATTGAGATGTTCTTCAAAGCCCCTATCGTTACTTCTCACAAAAGTATAATCTGCTGTGAGAAGTGGTGTAAATTAAATGTTGATTCTCATAAAACTTCAAAGAACGTTAGAAAATTCAGAATCACAACTTACCTTCAAAAACCAATAGTATCAAAATGATGTTTTTTTTACGCTTTTTCGGTCATTCCACATGAGAAATTGAAAACTAGACTTTTTGTCATCATAGGCAAATGCTTTAACAATAAAAATACAGCTCGTATTTTTTTTCTTACCTTGTAATTGGTCATTTACAATGTTACAAGTCTTTCTGATTATACCCACAAGTACTCCATGTTGAACGTTGACAATATCTATGGAGGCCAGGTCTTTCACTTGAACAATTTGTTGGGATTCCAACTGAGGCCAATTGGACTTCTTCATTAGCCCACCTGTTTAATATTCAATTGATTGAAAATATGTGAAAACATTTTCTTGCTGTAGCCTTCAGTTCAATATTTAGTGATATCGACGGCGTTTTATCAATGGACAATAGTTATTTTCATTCATATGTTGACTCGAGGTATCCAAGTGAACCTGAAATAATAGACGCTACAGAGTCTTCCATATCTGTTTCAAATTTGGACGTTTTCCTGATTAAAGACTTTAATGGTAAACTAAAAAATAAACTATGTGACACAGTGATGACTTGCGCTTTTCCACCGTCAACTTCCCTTATTTATGCAGTTGTATTCGAAAAACACCTGCATATGTTGTCTCCTACCTGATTTGGTGGGCAAGAGGAATGAATTCCAATAACGATACATCTTTAAACCAAGGCAGGTTATTGAAAATTAAGTTAATGCTACATGGCTTTCAACAATTTCGATTAAGGTCAGCATTTCGCAAATTCTATAGTTGATATAATGAAAAAGCAAATACAACCTATCGTTGGGTCGTATTTTGACTAACATATTTCATATCCAATTTCTGTGCAGCAGGAAATTAATTCGCGGAGTTAATTTTCGTCATTTTCGCGGAAATTAAAATTCCGCGAATTCAACATACAGTGAATAATTCTTCATAATTTGATAAGGATAAATTGAAATATTAGTCTTATCTGTGATTAGGTTCGTTTACTCTATCTGTGTTCCCTTGCAAACATAAAAGCAGTAATTAATATATGTAGACTGTCTTCCTAATTATGCGAGTGAACGGATTAATCACTAACACGTAGTCGTTGGTGTTTTTAACTGTTTTTTTAACTATGAAAATATTAGTGGCATGCATCTGTAGTTCTAATCATTTTTCAACATTTTTTACTAGTGAAGAAATAATAGCAAACATGTACATGTATTTTTTATACCAGCACTTTCTAAAGAAAAATTGGGTATATCGTTGTCTTGGTCAGTCACACTATCTTCTTCCTCAAACTCTTCTTCTATTTTAAACAGTGACCAATTCATCGTTTGGAATATGAATCGGTATCATACATCCCATATTAAAGCTGCTCAGCTAGGGATTGACCGCTAAAAATGAATGGGCCTGTTAAAAAAAATTGTAACTCACAATATTCAGAACATTACACGTGTACAAAATACATCTTTTCAAACGGAAGAATGAAATCTCAAACCAGATTAAAAGTGAATATTTTTGAATACGACATTTAGATTTAAGGGTGAATACAGAATATTTGTAAATTGTCATTTCTCTCTTCTTTTTTCGTGAACCTTTACAGTTAATTATGAGAAGGTGTGAAATATAGAAAATGTTATTTATAGATAAACAAATGGTAAACTTCTTAGTATGGCATGTCAAACGTTGCAATATTCGATCTTTTCCATTTGTATTGTATAACTTTCCATTTGTATTGTATAATTTTTATTTGTATTGTATAATTTTTCATTTGTATTGTATAATTTTTCATTTGTATTGTATAATTTTCAATTTGTATTGTATAATTTTTATTTGTATTCTATAATTTTCCATTTGGATTTTATAATTTTCCATTTGGATTGTATAATGTTTATTTGTATTCTATATTTTCCATTTGCATTGTATAATTTCTTATTTGTATTGTATAATTTCTTATTTGTATGCGATAATTTTTCATTTGTATTGTATCCGAGGATTGTTTATTTATTTCGTTACGAAGGATGTCATTGGTCATAAAATTTAGTCTGTATAAAGGTCTCAGGTGCCCATCACAAACTTAGTCTGGTACCCTTCCCACAATTCCGATCGCGCACTCTCTACAAACACAAACTCGGCTCCTCTATTTGCGGTGCATGCTAAGGGACGACCATTTGATTCTCGGAGGGTGTTGAATCCGATTATTTATTTTCATTCTCTCGCAGGAGAGAATATTTATTTCCAATATGACCAGAGACAAGGAGAAAAACAAAAAGAAGAAAATCCGCCCAAACCCGAAAACTCAGTTTTTTGGGGGTGGGGGTAGTTACCACCACTCAAGGTCAATTTATTTATTTTCTCAGTCAGCATTCCTAAGGACAGATTATTTATTTGTCATCTACCAGCGCTCCCTTTTTAGAATCCAATGACCGTCTAACATGCACGCAAATACATATGCCGCCGAAATATGGCTGAAATATTGCCGACTCGGCGTTAAACAATAATCAATCAAGCAAATACATATGAGCCCAGTTTGCTTTGAGCATCCGGAACATCTTCAACCCGATACAGGCTGAAACTTGACCAATGAAATCCTTCGTAACGAAACAAATAAACAGTCCGCGGATACAATACAAATGAAAAATTATCGCATACAAATAAGAAATTTTACAATACAAATAAGAAATTATACAATGCAAATGGAAAATTATACAATACAAATAAAAATTATACAATACAAATGAAAATTATACAATACAAATAGAAAATTATAGAATACAAATAAAAATTATACAATACAAATGAAAAATTATACAATACAAATAGAAAATTATAGAATACAAATAAAAATTATACAATACAAATGAAAAATTATACAATACAAATAGAAAATTATACAATACAAAAAAAAATTATACAATACAAATGAAAAATTATACAATACAAATAGAAAATTATACAATACAAATAAAAATTATACAATGCAAATGGAAAATTATACAATGCAAATGCAAAAGATCGAATATTGCAACGTTTGACATGCCATATCTTAGCGCTTATAAAACATCAGTTATTTATTTTACGCTGACTGCGTGTATTTTTCCCGAGGCAAATATCTTGTAAGGAATGAAATGCTCTCTTTTCTCAATTTCCTTTATACAAAACGTGAAACAAATCTTATCATAATTAATTTTGCTCCATAGTATATCAAAGATATATAAGATATATTCCAGCTGATATTCAATAAAGTAAGCGATGTGTACATGTGGTGCATTATAGATGTGTTTTCAGAGAGTGACAATTAGCTTACTTATACTATGAAGCAAAATGCACCATTTGGAAAGCTGTTATGTACATGTATACATGTACGTATATAGAGTAGCAAAGTACGAGTACACATGAGATGTTCTTCAAATATAATTAACTTAATTAACTGTCTTATCGGACAATACTGAATTCCACATAAATATATTTGTTTTATTTTGATTATCTTAAGTACACCAAACATCCTCTTCTCCTTCCGAGAGATGTACTCTAATATTGTATATGTAAGTTCAATTCTTTTTATTTAAGATTTATTTTTTTCTTTACCAATTTCTTTATTATTTCAATGCATTTTATAGTAAGAATATTTTATGAAATCAAAATAAAGATTAAAAGTGCATTTGTTCAAGTACATTTGATTTCCGTAGGGTATGTTTTTGTTATGAAATCAACGAAGGCCTGATAAACTACTTTCTCTGGTTTTTAAATTTAATTTACTACAAATAATTTTGATTGACAAATAGATATCTTCAAAAGTTTTTATGATCATTATGGCAAGTCCTTGTATATTAGCTTTAAAAATGTGAAACACTAGCTTTTGGAATGATGAAACAGTATTGCATATTGGAAGATTATAACTTGGTTATATGGTTATAATTTCACTATTTTCACCAAAATCTTTCTTCCACGAAAATATACTTATATGAATAAGGTTATTAGAACTCACAATAAAGATTTTGTTATACAAAGCACACGCCAATAACGTGAAAATAAAACTATCGTGACAACTGTCCCTTAACAAACCGTAAAATTTTAGCACCGTGAAATTAAAACGACTTACGGTATATCGCAAGCGTAAGTTCATTTTATTTATTCCATATTAGTAAAGAACATGTATTTTATACACCCGAATGTACTTTAAAATCATAAATAATATTAAATAAATACATTGAAGTCATTATAGGTGGGCAATTTTGTGTAATAATACGTTATCAGCAATTGCCGAGAACTGGGACAAAGCTATGGGGTGCAATATAGAATGGGTTTCATGAAATTCAATCCAATATTTTGAATGCGATGCCAAAATGAAGCGAAGATGTCTTGATAATTACCAATATACCTTTTGCACAGTTTTATACGGTTGGAAACATTCTTTCAAACTGGCATTTAAATATTTTGTCATAAAATGCATTTTTTTTTCAATTTGAGGTGATAATTGTGTTTTTCTTTTCTTGTTAACGTTGGTAGTGATAGATAAATATTTCCTGGTCTATAATATCCGGTTTAGCATATGTACAAGATTAAACTGAAAATCTATCAGATTACAGATTCAATCGTGTCAATATTTTACTGCTGTTCCTACAAGGAATTGTGAAAAGACGGAAAACGTTTCCCCCTACTGAACAGAAAATCATCTGTCCAGTTAAAATAAATTGGATCTTTTTTGCGATGATATTTAATCCAGATCTTTTTTTTCTCAAACATTTTAATCTCTTTATATTCTGAATAATACAATACATATGTATCACTATTTAAAAAAAAGTTCTATTTATATTTTAGTACATACATTTATTCTTATTTGTTAGCTGTTTTCTGTTAAAGAAACGATTATCTAATGATGAATTCTAGCATCAAAAAGTGCGTGTGACCTTTTCGTTTAGAAATAATTATAATTTTAAAGGTAATTTATTTCACGGATGTAAGGGGCTTGCCGTATACATGTACTTTAAGTTACATGTACTCTAAAATGAAAATCGGGTATCCACAATCGTACATACAAGAAAACTAAGTTAGAGAAGAAAATGTAAAACCCAAGTATTGTCTTCTGGGGCCAAAAACAGCTGTATGCATATACTCATATATCAAAAATTCTTTAAGGACTAAGATCTTTTATTGTTGAGGAGTTTCTAATTTAAATTACACATTCAATATCTTTTACTCGAAGAGATAACCAAATTCCCATGGTTTAATGACTAATTTAGATTCTATTTCAGAAAAATAATGTAGAACTTCAAAATTTCTTTATTTTAAAGCACTATAGCGCTACAATACTTGTAAGAGCAAATTATCTTCTTAAAAATTCATTCTTCGTCATACTAATTCCTTGTCAGTATTTTAATTTTGATGATTTATAATACGAGAAAAAAACAATGTAATTATTTGTGTGGTTATTTTTCTGGAGGATCAAATCAACCACATTCAAATTTCTTCATATCGTATTTCTGACCAGAAAAGAAAATAATAGTTTCGCTGGAACAGCAAGAAACTTTCTGAAACTTTTATTTCACTCAAGCCCTCACATGGGGCACAAGAGTACAAATTGTACATGGTAAAAATTTTGGACAGGGATATAAGAACAAATAAAACTTACATACAAGGTTTACACATGAAGGTTGTATTTCATTCATGACTGACGTAAGATATGTGATGAGTGCTGAGTTTTTCACACGAGTTACATACCTTTGCAAAAGTACATTGAATTGTGTCCCTTTGCGGCGTCAACCCAGAGGTCAAAAGGGAAAGAAACAATGTTTGTCTTTACGCTACCGAACATTTGGGAATGCTGCGATAAGTTCACTGTTTTAATTTTTTTTTTTCAAGATATATGAGTAGCCCCAGTCGAGGGCAATCAAAAATACAAGATACAAAAGATATTTATATTTGAAATGATAAAGTTACAGGGGTCTAGGGGCTACTTTGAGTATGGCGGTCAAGGGAGATAATTTTTGAAAAAAGTGTGGATTTATCTTTTGATTACAATTGCTATTTTGATAATATCGTGACTTGTGTATAGATATGATGTAAATGTTTAAAAGTAATACATATAATATGAATAGACGAAAGCAAACTGTGTTTTGTAGTTATAGTTTAAAGTACAGTCACCCTTTTGATGGCTGATAACATACTTTTGATGCAAATGTTTAAAAAAAAAAACTTTAATTTTTCCCGATGATTTGTATCAAATTTTATTTGAAAAAAAAAATCTAAAACTTTATTTTTTGAGAGTTTACGTCATTTTCAACACACGTTATAAAAGAGACCCTTTTCGTTCACAAAGTAGATGAGCATTTAACAGTCAATCATGCCCTGGTATTTTTTGTTCCTCGTTTTCATGAAAGTTTTTCTACCAGATGTAGTCTCTTCCACTCAGTGTTTTGAACCCGATTGTAACAAAGCAAAATTTTACTACAATCCTTTTAGCTGTCTCGGTGAGTATGACTTTAAAACATAATTAATAGATCTATCTAAAATAAGAAAAAAAACACCAGCGTAGATATTAGATAAGCATATAATGATTAAAAAGAGTAGTATTGCAAGCATATACAGGTATACTATTAATGTTATATATACATTTTGTACATTTTTTTATTCTGAGCTGGCCATAATAGTGCAAATGTATTATTACACTGGTGGAGTTTTAAGGGGCAGCCCTCTTTTTTAGTGACCCTAAATTCAGTAAAGATGCTTTAATAAGATGGATAATTATTTTTTGGCTGCCAGATATTGCTTTTATTATACACAAATCATGGGTAAAACGACACAAGACTGTTCTATAAAAGATCTAAAACCTCCATTGCTTCCAGGGAACTTCTATATAGCTATCCAGTCCCACTGGGGGCATTAAGGCGGCCCCCAGAGCCCTGAACACCCCCCCCCCCTTTACAGTCTAAAAGAATCCCTTAATGATAAAATATTTTTAAGCATTACATATATTGTTCTTTTACAATGATAAATTTTCAAATATAGTACTAAGCAATGTAAGAAAAATTATTAAACAAAAAAAATTACAAATAATTATCCTTATTACATTTTCAACGGTAAAATTCTGTAATTTGTCCTTTGAATGAAACCGTTATATTCACATGTGTTATTTTCTTAGTGTGAAAATACAAATGTAACAAAAAGACAGGATTTTAAAAATATTTTCAATTGTGCTTTGCACTCGTGAAAATTAATTTTTTTTTTTCTAAATCCTGTCTCACTCGTGAAATAAATTCCATACCCAACTACAAAGCTAGGTATAACTTTTATTTTTATAAATTGAAATAGGTAACCTGAATAATGTAAAGTGGGAGAATTTTGTAAGATTTAGTCACAGTGTTAAGAATGTCACACATAAAAATTTTGTATAGAATTACATAGAAAAAGACACAAAGTCGCATATCTAAGCACAAAGAAAAAACAACAAAATAAAAAAAAAAAACAACATTTTTTAGGGATTAGGGATTTATTTTTTATATCATTTTTATTCAAATCAGTCAAAATATATATATCAATCCCTGCATCAACTGTTTGTTTGTGTTATGTGTCCTTAAAATATTCTAATTCTTTTCTTTTCATTTTTGTTTGTTTGTTTCGTTCGTTGATTGGTTTTTGTTTTGTTTCTGTTTTTGTTTTGTTTGTTTGTTTTTTGCTTTTTTTTTTAAAATTTATTTATTTTTTCTTTTGTTTTATTTAATATAAGCTTGGTTTTTCATTTACTTTCAAAGCTCCATCATTCTGGGCTTCAATAACACCATGTTGGTCTACATGTAACGGTCAAAGACAATCTCCAGTAAACATACGAAGGAGCCATGCTGTCTTTAATTCAGATCTCCGGAGCTTAAGTTTCAGCATTGGAGTTGACCAAAGCTTTGTGGTCTCCACTACTTACAAAGGTATATCACTTCAGTATCTTTTAATAATGGTGAAAACTTTTCTTGTGCAAGCCTTTTGCATAGGGATGTGTCCTTGCTTAAGGTTCACATACCCTCTGTTCTTTCATACAAAATGTTGCTTTAATGCTTTTGATTTTCCAAAAGAAAAAGTATCTTATAAGTACAACTGTAGATAATTTTACCATAGCTTGCATGGCAAAATTGGACAAAAAAGACATTTCAATTGACAAATCTATAAAGAAATAATAATCAGCTATTCAAGTAGGAATTATCTCTCTTATCAGAATGTCAATGATCCTTAAAATGAAAATAATGTCCAAAAAATTCAGTATATAGTCTTCGGTCATTGCAACGAATGAGAGAAAGATTTTTTTTATTTAAACAGATAACTATTAATATTGATACTACAATGATCCAGAAAATGCTATTAAATTAAATTTTGAAGAAGTGTACAGTGTACGTTATACCTAGGTAATGATGTGTGAATACTAGCAATCAGATTGACACGAATGCTATCTAATGTCACCTTGTAAAACTATACAATATTGTTAAGTCTGTTCCATATATAGGATTTAAGACAAGTTACAAAGTGGAAGAAAGAGATATAATTTTGTCCAACTTGGAGCAGTTTGGACTTAGTGGAAAGTCATTTAAGTTGGATTCTTTTCACTTCCACGCTGGGAAATTCCAGAACAGTACGGGATCTGAACATTCATTTGACAATGAATTCCAACCCATGGAGGTAACTTTACTCATTGAAACAGGAATAAACTTTTATTCTTACTACACCCTCACAAAAAATGTCTTCTTTTTTAACATATAATTACAGGTAGAGCAACTTCATTTGTTCTTTTTTTTTCCCATTTTTTTTAACATTCTGCGATAACATACCGGGTATTCCTCTGTTTCAAAGCAAAATTAACCTTCAAATTAAGATCTTTGTCAACTCGAGCGAGATCTTTTTAATTGTTTCTCCATCGAGAAAAGTGTGTTACACAATTTCATATAGAGAAATCACTTTCTTATATTTTACAGATATTGTATTACCTTCTGTTTCAGCTTCATTTGGTGTTCTACAACACAGAGTACCCGGATGTTAAATCAGCTGTTGATCGTGCAGACGGGTTGGTAGTCATTGGAGTCATGGTAGAGGTAAAGAGAAAGCATGATTGATAATAATTTTTGTCATTATTTTTTTTATTATTATTTCAATGACGTATATAACCTCAGTATTAAAAAAAAGTTTCAAAAAAAAAAAAAAAAGAGGAGGACCGACCTTTCAATGAACAATTTCATACTAAATAAACAGTAAAACCTTATTATGTGTGGAAAAAGCGGGCAGTGGGCGGCCCCCTTCCCCCACAATACTACGTACGTGCCTGGCAGAAACGTTTCCTTACTGTGGTTACATCTTCATGATGATACTTGACTAAGTGTCTAAGTCATCAGAAATAATGATTTCCCGTAAATTTACATTCTTAAAAAATTCGAATCCCTGTCTTGTTTTACGGTACCCATTCCAAGGCGGTTTGAAATTTTATGGAAATTTATTAATTCTGATTCGTATAAGCATAGTTTTGTGGGAAAAAAATAGGTTAAAGATAGATCTCCTAAAACTTTGCATGAACTTTGAATCTAGTTTGTTGGTGTCTAATGAAATGAGATATTTGTTTGGTTGTTTAACGTCCCTTAGAGAATTTTTTTCACTCATATCGAGACGCCACCACTTGCCGGTGGAGGGATGCAAATTTAGACCTTTACTCGGTACTTACGGCCTTTGAGCAATGAGGGGTCAGCACCTACTGCGACACGGGACCTCGGTTTATACGGTCTCATCCGAAGGACCGGTCTCCACGTCCCGCAATGGATTCCAACCCTCGACATAGGGATCAACTCCTTACGCCGCGACTCTAGAGCACACGCTCTAAGCACTGCGCTACGTGCCAGGCAAAACTGAAACTAAGTTACTGTACATTAGATCTTTAAGCAGGACTTTGACAGACTGAAATTCTATTCTCAAGAAAATAAAGTCCGAAATATTATTCTCTGATATTTATATACAACCGTGGGATAGCTATTATTGAAGAATGTTGAGTATTTTATGACAGATTTGTGGATAGGAAAAAAGTATATAAGCTCTGGTTTTAATGAAAAGCTCGCATTCTAAATTGGGGCGTGGAGACCCAGGTGCCCAGGTGTTACAACCAGAGTCAGCTGTGTTGTAATTATAACAGAGTCAACTGTGTTGTTGTAAAAGAGTCAGCTTTGTTAGCTCTTCTGAGCCAAAGGCTCAAAGAGCTAATGCTATGGCCATTTGTGCGGTGTGCGTGAACTTTTTAGAATATGGGCCATAACTCAAGAACCCCTTGGACAATTATTGTCAAATTTGTCACAGGGTATCCTTGACCCAATGGTTCCCGTTTATACTAAAATTGGGGTTGTGACCCTTAAACAAGGGGAGATAATTAGGTAAATAAAATAAAAGTACTGGTTTGCTAAAAAAAATCTTCTTCTCAAGGACCAGTGGGCAGATTATCACCAAACTTACACAAAAGGATGTGGATATGTTGTTGATTAAAATTTGCACGGGGAATTGCCCTATGGCAAAGGGCGTGGTCTCAAGGTCACTTCAAAGTTGACCAAAAATTTTACATTTTATCAAAATGTTGATATTTTGCTTACTATGAGGACCAGGATCATCAAATCTTGTCAGTTGATGCATCTAAGGACCTCATATCATGTTGACTCAAAAGTAGGTCATGGTGACCTACTTTTTAAATTTTGCGGCCATTGTTTTTCAAAATGATTTCGAGGCATATTTTGAACAATTTAAGGCCTATGATCATCAAACTTTGTCAGTTGATGCATCTTGGGTCCTCAGAGTACGTCAACTAAAAAGTAGGTCACCTTGATCTACTTTTTGAATTTTATGGCTAATCTTTTTCAAAACATTTAAGGTCATTAATTCGAATACTGAGAGGTTTAGAATCATTAAATCTTGTACGATGATGCATCTTGGGGCCATAAAACATATTTATAAAAAAGTTGGTCATAGTGACCTACTTTTTGAACTTTGCAGGCATTCGATTTCAAAGCGTTTTAGAGGTATATTTTGGACATTTTAAGGCCTATGATCATAAAACTTTGTAAGTTGATGCATCTTGAGTCCTCAAAAAATGTCAACTAGAAAGTAGGTCACTGTGACCTACTTTTGAAATTTTATGGTTATATTTAAATATTTTGGGTACTATTTGGCTTAGAATCATCAAACTTTGTCAGTTGATGTATCTTGGGTCCTCAGAGTAGGTCGACTGAAAAGTAGGTCACCCTTACCTACTTTTTAATTTATATGGCTATATTTAAATATTTCGTGTACTAATTGGCTTAGAATCATCAAACTTTGTCAGTTGATGCATCTTGGGTCTCCAGAGTAAGTCAACTGAAAAGTAGGTCACCGTGTCCTACCTTTGAAGATTTATGGCTTTAATTAGATATTTCAAGTACTAATGGGCTTAGAATCATCAAACTTTGTCATTTGATGCATCTTGTGTCGGAGTATGGCAACTGAAAAATAGGTCACTGTGACCTTCTTTTGAAATTTTATGGCTGTATTTAAATATTTTCGGGTACTATTTGCCTTAGAATCATCAAACTTTGTCAGTTGATGCATCTTGGGTCCTCGGAGTACGTGTACAGACAAGAAGGTCACCATGACCTACTTTTAAATTTATATGGCTATAATTAAATATTTCGGGTACTAATTGGCTTAGAATCATCAACTTTGTCACTTGTTGCATCTTCGGTCCTCGGGATAAGTTGACTGAAAAGTAGGTCACCCTGACCAACTTTTGAAATTTTATGGCTTTATTTAAATATTTCAGGCACTAATTGGCTGACTTATAAAAAGAAAATATTTAAAACTGTTTAACAAGACTATTTCCTCAGTTGAATCCTGGCTTTTTACTGAAACCCGTCCCTGGTTGTGAAGATGATTATAAACAGACCTTAAGTCATCTCATGAGTGAAACTTTGGACAACAGTGAGGAATATCCTGGTATGTATCTCTCTTTCTCTTTAAATCTCTCTCTCTCTCTCTCTCTCATGCACACACACACATGCACACACTTGAAAACCACCTTTGACGCTTTTTTTTTCTCTTCAGACTCCTCTGAAACCGGTCCCGTGCAATCCGCCTACATACGCTTGAAGAATTTATTACCATCTAATCGAGGAAGCTACTACACCTACCAAGGATCTTTGACCACGCCCCCTTGCTCCGAGACTGTCACGTGGGTGCTGATGAAGTGTCCAATCATCGTTTCAGATTCTGTAATAATTTATATCTTCCTGCTTTATTTGCAAAACTAATATGATATTTTAGTTGATTAAAGCAATTATAATACATTCTAGAAAAATTAACCCTTTAAGTCCAGACCTATATTTTACACTGAGAGGACAACTTTGACATGATATTGAAAAAAGTCAGGGGTAATCATAAACATTTTGGACTTCCACTCTGGACCATGAAACAAGTTCAGATCTGGTCTTGACTCGTCAATAAAAAAATACAACACAGTCTCTTTAAAAAATTCCATTTTATTAATTTGAACAAAAAATATGTCATGATATTATTTTTTTTATTGTTATTTTAACTTTTCAGCAATGAAGAACTATATTTGCTCAAATAAAATTGTTCTTACACAGAGAGAGAGAGAGAGAGATGAGAGACAAACATATAAAAAAAGAATCATAATTTAAAAAATAATGCCATAACAACAAAGAATAAGTCATCAACCATGAACATCAACAGCTACATGTATTCAGCTAAACAAGAGACAAGGTAAGAATGACAAATAACAAAGAAATCATAAATATACAAAAACAAGAAAACCCATGGATTCTCAGTCATTTCTCATTCACTCAGGGATTTTGTTTTACTTTTATAGTATTTCATTTACATGTTTTATCCTGTCCCATTACCAAAGTCTGCTTGGGTTAAGATCATGTCAAGTTGAACTTCATTATCTCAAACACTGACGTCAAACTGAGTTGGAAGTCCCAACCACTTATTCTATAAGTATTTTACCTCCAATATCTCGAATCCTCGGATATCTCGAAGTATTTTCTCAGTCCCATCAAGTTCGAGATAACGAGGTATGAATGTAATTTAACACTACAGACCTCACCTTGAAAAACATTAGTTTCCCTTTTAAGTAATACAATCACATTATACCCTATTAATGAACATTAAAATGCATTTGTCAATTGCATCATTTTAGGCTAATATTTACTTAAGAATGGACCCGGCCGGGCCAATAAACTTAGAACTGGCAATGTTTGGAATATATGGGTCAGAAGCAGCAACATAAGCAGTATATCACCCTGGCAACTTTGGGCCCAGTAAATGTTGGTATTATGACTATATAAGAATGGATCTACTCAAATAAATAGTGACTTTATAGCAATTTATGTACATGCAAAAATATAGTTCAGATGCAGTAGTCTGGTTGTAATGCTTATGAACTCTAGATCCATACTTGAAAATGGACGTTTTCTAGAAAATGAGATGCTGACAACAACACTTCATAAAATAAACTCTTCCTGAATTAGAACAGTTGAGCTTAAAACCGCAGTAACTTGATTATTATCACATCATTTTAATAAATACATAAAGTTTTAGAAATATGAATTTTCTTACGGTTTGGAGATTCATGAAGCATAAGTTACATTTACTTTGTTGAAAATATGTCTTGTCTCACCATGTTGGTTTTAATTTATGTATCACAGCAAATAAACTAGACAAAAATGTACTTGAACAAATTTACACCAATATGTTGCAGACTTCTGATTTGTTTCTGTTCAAAGATCATCCCAATAGCATTTGTTAAATTAGAATGAGTTCTGCATGTTTTTGTCTTCTCTCAGTTTCCTGAAAATCCCTCAGCTTCTATACATTTGGCAATAGTGTTCAACTGAATGTTTGATGTCCCTTCATAAATGGTACCTGCAACATTGAAAGTTTACAATGCAGTTAAATTAAGTAAATTTTGTAGTATACTAGGAATACTGTGAGACTGAAAAATTAATAAAATTTTGAGGGATACATGTACTTACCAACTTTGCAGTCCCTGTAGTACTTTTCTATGGGATAATCCTTGGTAAATCCAACTCCTCCCATCCATTCAATGCATTTAGATGTTGTTAAAGTGGCCAACTACAAACAACCAGTCAATAAATAATATTGCAATTACACTGTATTTCACAACATTTACACATTTCACAATACATGTACTTCAAAACAATACAGCAAGGAATCAAGTAAACATCTATAATTGATGGATCAAGCATTTCAAACAAACTCAATACCTCTGATGCATATAATTTTGCCATCGCAGCCTCCTTCAGGAATGGTTGTCCTGCCTCCTTCTTCCTTGCGGCATTATAAACAAGTGACCTACAGGCCTCAATCTGTGTAGCCACGTGAGCTATCTGATGCCTCATACCCTAAAATTTGCATTTTATAATATATGGCATTATTAATGAATGAAAATTTACAAACTTAATTCTCTAACAAATATGTCATTAGGTATGTGATATCATTTCCTGTTTATGTTTTTCTTAAGGTGGCATACCTGGAAATCAAACACTCTTTTTCCAAACTGCTTTCTTTCCATTGTGTATGGAACTGTAGCATTAAAACAACCCTCTGCCAAGCCCAGCATCTAAGAAAATAAGATTTATGTAAAATAATTGACTAGACATTATAGAAAAATTGTTTGTTAAATGATAAATTTTGAATTTTCCCTGCAATTGTTTTTCACACAACTAAGATTTCTTTTGAAGTATACTCACCTGAGAAGCAATACCAATCCTTCCTTCATTTAACATTTCTATGGCATATCTGTACCCCATGCCAAACTCTCCAAGAATATGGGATGCAGGAACCTAACAGTATATATACATACATGTACATATATGTCACAGTTATACATAGTACAATTCAATATTGTCAAAGAATATAAAAATAAGTCTTGTGATATGTGTGTCATCTGTAAATTTCTTGAATATGGTTTATACGAGTAATGGTCACCTTTATCAACAAAAAGGCAAAATATGTGGATGTTACAGTCAGCAAATCACCTTGACATTGTCCAGATGCACAGGACAGGTGCTTGAGGCCCGGATTCCTAGTTTGTCTTCCTTCTTCCCAATACTAAGTCCCTCTGTGTCTCTGTCCACTAGGAAAGTGGTGATTCCTTTGTAACCCTTGAAAACATTCCTCTAAATTCAGTATCATTTCCATAAATCAACAAGTCTGTTCATATGCATACTAGCTACCAGGTACTATATAGTTACTTTTTTCATTTGCATATTGTTTAATGCTATGTACGCAGTCTCAAGTTTTTCACAGAAATTTGCCCAAGTGTATTAATATTATATTTAAGGCAATGCCACATATAGAAGCAATCTAAGAATTAAATCCACGTAATTTTCTACATGCAGATTGAACAGAAATTGTGATTCCACAGAATTATGTCCCCTTTGAAAAAAGAACTTTTACAGTACATGTACTTCAATAATAGATTTATTAATTGAAAAATATTCTGTCAATTTAAACAGCTGTGGAATCTTTTGAAACAAGAGATGCTTGTGAAACACTTATGCCCCCCCCCCCCCCCAAAGTCTAAGGGGCATAACTCTGTCAAAAATTGTTCAATCATATACAAAACACAACCTGACCTAGATATTCTTATGATAAATCTGTATACCAAATTTCATTTCAGTATGTGCAACCTCTGTGAAGAAAATGAACGGAAACTGCAAATAATTGGAATTTTTATAAGTCCAAGGGGCATAACTCTGTCAAAAATTGTTCGATTGTACCCAAAACAGAACCTGACCTAAATATTCTTAAGATAAATCTGTATAATAAATTTCATTTCAGTTTGTGCAACCTCTGCAAAGAAAATGAATGGAAACTGTTGGTGGACCGACAGGCAGCAGCAAAGCAATATGCCCTCCCTTGTTCAAAGGGGGGCATAAAAATTATGAAAATAATAATTAGATTTTTACAATGATTAGCCTAAATAAGATATAATTATGCTAAACTCACTGCTGTTGGGTTAGCATTGACCATGACTAAGAAAACCCCGGCATGTTCAGCATTGGTAATCCAGATTTTTGTTCCATTAAGGATGTAGTAATCTCCTTGTTTCACTGCTGCTCCACGCATGGCAAAGGCATCTGATCCAGCGTCCGCCTCTGATAAACAAAAACTGCCCACCTGAGAAATTAATGAAAAAATTATAAAACTTTAGATAAAGCATGATTTTAGAATGCTACTTTTTATTTTTGGACCATTCATAAATACTTTTTTCTCAGAAGAGCTAGGCACTTCCATCCAAAATATAGCCTAACTCATGTATAAGATTAGCTTGGAGCAAGTCCACATTAAGCCTTAAACTTATAACATAAAATTTGAAATCTAATGCTTTACCACTAAGCTAAAGCATTAAATAGTACAAGTAGCAGTGTGGCTTCATAATATACAACAGCTACTTTAAAGTCTACTGCAGTCACCTGAAGTTGTGTGCATAATAATTAATTTTATTATATTAATTGGATTTCCTTTGGAAAATCATTATCATTAAAGAAAAATTTTATAAGAGTGAACATGGTGATCTTACCATGTCTGTGGCTAGCCTGGGGAGGTATTTCTCCTTCTGTTCCTCAGTCCCCAATTTCTTGATGAGAGTGTTTATCAGGGTGTTATGGACATCTACCATGACACTAATGGCGGGGTCAACCTTGGCCAGCTCCTCAATCACCAAGTTTGCCACAAAAAATGAGGAGTTTGTACCACCATACTCCGAGCCAATCTCAATGCCCATCAACTAGAAATAAATACAATATTTTCCAGTATGAAATCTTAATTTCTTTGTCATGATCTTTAATATGCATCCAAAACATACATATAAACTATAATGCCATTTACTTTTGCTTAAAGTTTATAAATTCAGCATTATATTTATCAAGCAAACATTTTTTTCTGATTTGGGTTTATAACAATTAATTTTTTTTATTTAAAAAAAAAAATATCAGTAGCTTTTGCATTAATTAAAAGAGTGTGACAGTTGTGATTGAATCTGATTTATTATATATAGGACTCACCCCATTTTCAAACAAAGCCTTGAGTACAGCAGGGTCACACTGAGATTCTTCATCCATTTTTCTAACTAAAGGTTTGATCACTTCTGACGCAAGTTTGGCAACTAAGGAAAAAAATACCAAAAAAATTTACTGCACTGACAATTCACCTTTTAATTTCATGATTTTTTAAAGAATGTGTTAATGATAAGAATATTTCTTTCAGCTTATTTACCTGACTCTTTCATCATCTGTTCCTCCTCAGAGAGCATATCTACTGGTCTTGTTACCATAGTAACATCCTCTGATAGAGCCCTCTGATTGGCTGTTAGGGTTTGAAGATGTGCTGTGGTTCTGATAAACCTCCTGGTCTCACACCATGTCCTCCTTGTAGGCTTGGAAGATGCTGACTTCAAGGGGTTTAAGATTCCCTGTTGAAATAAATTTAAATTCACAATATGCCATGAATTAGTCTCTGAAAAACTTTGAGTTTTCTAGAGCAATTACGGTCCAGATAGAACTTCTAACATGGCTATTCAGTCACAAAGTATTAACTTCAAAATGTACCTTCACTGCAAAACTAAACTGAAAAAGCATCCAACCAAACAGTATGTACACCATAATTGCAAGTCAGTATAATTTGGGTAAGGAATATTATGTTACATATGTTATATACATGCAAATATAAAAATATAGGTAATCAAAGACTACGAAGGTTTCTTATCTATAATGAAAGGCAAATCTCAGACCAAATTTTTTCTATCAGCATGATCAATATTTATGCAACTTTGGTTTAAGTAGGACTTATAGTTACTTGGGAATGGACCTGCTCCAAAAACTTTATCTTGTTCATTCATCCAGAAAACTTGGGCCAGATCCAGCATCTGAAGCAAGTTTGGTAGTATCCATCCCTAGTTGCATCATCAATGCAAGTTTAATCATAACAGGCCATATAGTTACAGAGCTACTCCAAAAACATTACCCTGGTTACTCATCTAGAAAATATATGTCAGATTCAGGATCCAAAACAAGTCTGGAAGTGTGCATCCCTAAATACATCATCTAAGGTTGATCATCATACGGTTTATAGTTACTTGGAATTGGACCTGCTCCAAAAACTTTCACCTTGTCACTCATCTGGAAAATGTACGTCAGATTTGGCATCCAAAGCAAATCTGGTAGTGTCCATCTCTAGATACTTCATCCACATTAGTTTGGTTCAGGTAGAGCTAGTATTCACTCATTTGGAAAATGTTAGGTCAGACCCAGCCTGGTAGTGTCCATCCATATGTAGATGCATCATCTATGCAAATTTGGTCCTGGTAGGGCTTATACTTTAGTTACTAGGGAATGGACCTCCTCCATAAACTTTAACCTGATCACTCATCTGGAAAATGTAGGTCAATCTCCAGCATCAGTAGCAAGTCTGGTAGTGTCCATCCCATGATGTTATCCATGAAAGATTGATCCAGGTAGGGCTATAGAATAAGCTCATCTCCACTTCGTCAAGTATCAATGTGCAGTCCATAATACACAACTAATAGTCTCTAAATCCATTTGCATTATTGTAAAAAAATTCACAAATATTATAATTTGGGCTACATGGACAGTGGATTGCCAGGGGCTAAAGAATATGGGTTGTGTATTCAAAGGCAAAGGCATTTTAAGGAGAGAAGAATGTAATGGCCTTGATAGCTCAGTGGTTAGAGCACTTGATTAATAATGCAGCAGTCCTGAGCACAGGCATTTGTTTCGTATACAGGGACCTCAGAATGGAATACTCAGAAGTCCTTGGTTTTATCCTACATTTATAACCCCAAACAGAAGCTTTTGTATCCCATTCAAAGTCTTATTTTGTATCGAGGTAATTTTCGAGGAAGAAATAGTGGTTTACAATAAAGAGGCTCGACCAGAGATGTCTGAAACGATTTAATTGACAAGAACAAAGTCTCTCAAAGCTAACGATGTCAATTTAAAGTAGGTTAATGATTGATATATAAACAAAATACGAGCTTGAAGTGTGGGTGCCTGAAACTGAGTTAGGTACCTTGTGGGGAAAATAAGTAGGGGGTGCTCTGTATACGAAACAAGTGCCTGTGGTCCTGCATTGGATTCCCAGTCTTGACACAATTTTTCTCCTTTCAATTATTACATTTGGTGCCACTGAGTGGCGTTGACCACCCCTGGACTTCAGGGCTCTTGATTCTTTATAATTAGGGCCATTGAACGGCCCCATTCCCAATGCAAAAAGGTACTTTTTCCCCAAAAGCCAAGTGTAAATTTCCCAATTTTTTATAGCAATTTTTTTTAATCTTAATTGATGAAACTTAATATGGCTGATAAGTGAAAGTGAAACAAACAAGTTCTGCGTTGGACTGTATAAATTAGTGCATGCCACCTATATTCGTAAACTAGTTCAGCTTTGATTAAGGAACCAGATTTCCCAATTTTCCCCCAAATGACGTAAATTTTCCCAATTTGAATAGCCCCGGCCCCAATCCCAAAAAGTGGTATGAGAGCCCTAGCTGGACTTGCAGGTAAAAGTCCTGCCAGGGGCTAAAGAATCTGGCTTGCTTGTCTTCAAGGGTGAAGACAATTTAAAGAGAAAGGAGATTATGTACTATCAGTATGTAGTGATTTGAGCTATATGGACTGTGGATATATTGGCCTTAATGGTTGTTCATTCCACAGGTACTTGGGTCTTGGTTTATAAATATGTATGTACCTGATTGATATGTAAAAAAGTACATGTACTTTTTTACATATCAATAATGTACATACTTATTTATAAACCAAGACCCAAGTACCTGTGGTATAAGTAGATGCAGGTTTACAAAAATTAATACCCTCGACGTCAGAGAAAATTCGGAAATAACCTACAGCATACTTATTTTGTTGCTAATACATAATTCTATTCTTGTCTTGACTATTTGATGGATTTATTCAATTCAAAACTAAAACATTTTAATTATTAAATGGAAAAGTATTTACCCGTAAAACTGCTGTCCGCATTTTGCTGACGATTTTTGTTTTGTTTTCGTAATACTGATAATTAAATCGGGATCGGCATACTCGTAAATAGCGAACATTGGGTCACCGAAAATGATGTCAAGAAGAATAACATCGCTTCTTGGAAGCAGCAGTTTGACATTTACAAACAAATCTTTTTTGCATATGACATCCGTATTAGGTGCCAAAAATCCCAAAGTTGCTTTGGTAATTTCTATTTTTGGATGCCATCATAATTTGAGATCGAAATACACATTGTAAAATGCAACTGCAGTAATTTTAAAAGCATATACTTTCTGATATTAAAGATTTTGCATTTTGCCTGTTGATGTATAGTTATTAATTTTTCAGATATTTTCGGGATGTGGTGTGTATGATGGTACAGAGATTCATGAAGCATCCTCGTAAGTAGACATGGTAAATGAGTTAGGATAAATATGTGTTAAAAATTGTTATTTCATTTATAAATACCTTTTAATATTTTGATACATTATCGAATAGTTTTTTCAGATTACTGTTTATGTATCTTTGATATGATACCTTAATAACAAAAATTTATCATGCGCACATAAAAATTACTTTTAGGGCTATGGTGCATCTTAGCCGACATGAAGCAGAGGTGGGAATATTTGCTCCAAACATTGAACAAATGCATGCTATTGATCACACAAAGGGAGAACCCATGGCAGTGAACAGGTAAGATATTCATGATCCTGATTATCAGTTATATTTTCTTATTTCAAGCAGCATCTCATCTTCGCTAGTCAAGGGTTTCTGATACGCTACTCTCCTCATAAACCCTTGGCATACGGTGCTGACAAAAGACGGGATTGTTTTTGTCACATGATCATGATTCTTACCAGGTACGCACAGATTGCGTCATCGACAGAAATAAAAAGCGTATTTAAAGAAAGTTTGTTTTTAAAGAATAATTAACAAGAAGGTATAGAGTTATGTTAATTTGTTATTTAAACATGTAAAAATGCAAATCTACATCTTCAGTATAGATTCTTAATCACATATTTTGCACGTTGCTTTAGAAATTGGATGACACCATATTGCTATTCATAGAATAGCATGTTATCCTACGGATCATTGTTTACTTGCGTTTTACATTACCGATATTAAAGAGTCAAGATATATCCCGAACGCAAATATCGTCATTTACAAAAAACAGTTGCTGATTGGTCGAACGATGTCAATCAACTCCAATCACAACTTGAGAAAAAAATCCCAACTTTTTTTTATCACCGTATGCCAAGGGCTTATGAGGAGAGTAGCGTATCAGAAGCCCTTGGCTAGCGAAGATGGCAGCATCTCCCCAACTTGAGAATCTTCTCAACTGACACCAATGAACAGTTCTGGTAACTACAATTAACTTTAAACTGGGTCTTGGAAATATGGTTACACTGTAATAATCAAACCACTGTTACTGTTACACTGTGAATGATGTTTGACAATCAGTTTGACAGCAGAAAAATGGATTTGTCATGAATTTCAAAATCATATTTCAATATATGTATTGTTACATTTTATTTCCATTTTGTAATGCATGTACGGGTACTTATTGCAGCATATCAGATTCAATGTTTTACTAAGCTCCATGTATATAATACAAAAATTACTTGGATCAATGGAAATCCAGTCTTCACTATTTCCTTGACAATTTTCTTATTTTACCATGTTAAACATTAAATATTAACAATTTCTTGACAGGAATCATTAAAATGCAAACTACATGTCCATGATGTACTTGAATATATAAGGGTTAAACACAGATTTTTATTTTTTAGAAGAGGGTATCAGTTAACTAACTATTTCATATATAGTCCAGATCTTATTTCATATACATGGTCCAAGTCTTCAAAGAAAGAAGAAGTTGGCTAACTAAATAATGAAAATCCTTGACTATCAATAGGTGTTATTTTATTGCCAATGAAAGTCGATCATCTTATTTCAATCACTGCAGAAATGTTTTAGTGGAATCTGCCCGCATTGCCAGAGGAAAAATTCAAGATCTGAATGACCTCAGTGTGAAGGACTATGATGCTATAATCTTCCCAGGAGGATTTGGGGCAGCGAAAAATCTGTAAGTGGCCATGTTTAGAAAAGAAGAAAGGTGATAATGTCTCACGTTTTATGAAAATTTTGAAAATTTATGGCTTTTTTTTAAACTGATGTTTTAATATTCATTAGCTAAACAGATATTACAGCTTGAAGTCTGTGGGACAAAAACTTCAAGATATCCAAGGATAAGAGATATTGTTAGATTATTAGAGATAAAATGCATAGAAAAAAAATAGTTGGGACTTTCAAATCACTTGGACATATCCATGGTATTTGAGATATTAAAGTTCAACTGTATATACAGAGAGAGAGAGATCAAACACTGATCTAGTGAATTGATGCTTTCCTAAAGACATATTTTTTTCAACAAAACAGAAAATACTAAATTTATAATTAATGACAAGTCATAGATACAGTGTTAACAAAGCAATTTGAGCCACGTCCTCAGAGGATACATACAGTAAAATGTTAATGTGATTACAGCATATGAAAGAAATAACATTTCTTTGGAATTGACTCAATAAATGCTTATTCTTTAAGTTCTATAGGTATTATTGTATGCCTACATTAAAACATGGGAAATACTAAATAGCATACTTTCTATGTTTTCCCCCAGGAGCAACTTTGCTGTTGAAGGGGATAAAATGACAGTTCAACCATCAGTGGAAAAAGTCATCAAGGAATTTCACTCTGCAAAGAAGCCTATCGGGTCAGACAATTCAATACAAAACTATATGTACTGACTTAAATATGTGAAAGAGCTTCTTTAACATATTTGAATGGAAAGAATGAGAAGAAAAATTAAATTAAGCAGGAAATGACTCTCATAAATTAGTTCTCATATTTTTTTAAGTAAAACGAGAATTCATAACAAGACAGTGTTTGAGGAAATACATATATGTGTAGGTAATGCATATAGTAGCCAGTGGTGCTTATTTACATTCATTAATTGAAATCATTTTTTTGGTTTTATTTTTCAGTTTATGTTGCATTGCTCCTGTTCTGGTGGCCAGAACTATTCCAGGTTGTACTGTAACAGTAGGAAAAGACAAGGATGTTGATGGAAAATGGCCTTATGCTGGTACGGCAGGGGCATGTCAAAACATGGGTGCCAAACATGTCAACAAAGATGTTAATGTATCCTTTTAAAATTTTGCAAGTCATCCAACATTTACAATGTACATCCAATACTCTGTTGATAGTTTACTCCATTTTTACAACTATTGTTAATAAACTTTCTCTAAGTTTCTAAGAATTTTCTCATGGATAGAAATATGTGGATTGCATACCTTTCATATAATGATCATTCTAGAAGTCAAGGATATTTCCTATAAAAGATCTTCTCTCAACTTTGCTTATTAGGTGTATAAGCATATTTTCAAATTATGCCATCAGCTTTACTGATTACTTTCTGCATTTAGCCTGAGGTAAATGAAACAAGTCTTTCTTAATTCCCTAATTTAATACAAATAATTTTGTACGACACAATACCTCTCATAGATATTTGATTACATATACCCATTTCAATGAGAAGTTAGTTTCCTCAGCAGTTCATAGGAAGTAAATGTTGATTCTGAAAACAAGATTGTGACAACACCAGCCTTCATGTGTGAGACAGCTGTGCATCAAGTGTTTGATGGAGTGGGCAAAATGGTGGAAGCCGTGCTGAAGTTCTGTAAATAGAACTATAGCCTTTACTGACTGGCTATAGTGTGATTAACATTCTCCTGTGTAGCTGTGCACAGGTTGACTTTCAAAGAGCAGCAAAAAGAAAATGTGTGTGTGTGTGTTTCCAGTGATCTTTAATCAAGAATAAAGGTTGTATTTTTGAGAGTAAACATCATTGTATTACAGTTCAATCTTCTTTTGTTTTGCCGTTCTGCCTCAAGTTATCAATACATGTACACTCAAAGATAACAACATTTTATGCCAGTTTCTACACCTTGTTCAGATCAAACATCCATATTCTGGATATAATGGATATGTCAAAGTGATTTGGAAGTCCCAACCACTTTTCCTTTCTTTATGCATGTTAACCTTAGTATCTAAAATCCTCGGAAATCTTTTTAGCTCACCTGAGCCAAAAGCTCAAGTGAGCTTTTCTGCTCTAAATTTGTCTTTCTTCTCCAGAACCACTGGGCCAACTTGGCACACAGTATCCTTGGGTGAAGGGGACAGCAATGTACTCAAGGTATGTTAGACAACAGATGAGACACTTACCCAGGTGACTGTTAAGGCCCATGGGTATCGCAGAAAATTCAGAACTTTTCAGTGTTAGGTGACAAATCTCACAGGCTAGCCAACATGTACAGACTATAAATTGTAATTGTAATGGAAGCCTCAAGATAACAAAAGATCTATACATTTTTAATACATATACAATGCATAGTAGAGTACCATGTAGAGTATAACGAGTTACGCTGATATCCCACTGTGGGCATATTTAGAACATATGTATTTCAAATGCATTGGAAGAAAAACACTCATAGAAGCACCAAAACACAAAGTTTGCACAAAATGTTAATGTTAATTGACTCAGGTGACCTAAAAAAAATCTGGCCTGGACAACAAAGATTATCAACTATAAATAATGCTATGGGTGATGAATTTTACTTCTTTTCACAGTGTTATATGTTGTTATAATACTATGGGTACAGAACTTAAACCAGTGAAATATTAGAGTAATTCTTCCCATTTGTCCCCACTTTTCAAGTCCCTAAGGACTTGAGTTCATAAAATTCACAACTTTTGTTGCCCTTTACCAATACAAGCTTCACACTAATTTTAGTTGAATTCAGATTTAAAATATGTTCAAAAGTTAATGGACAGGAGGGATGGGCAGTGGTAGCAATAGGTTACCAAGTGACTCGGTTGAGTTAAAAAGGAATTGACTGTATTGGATGGATAAATTCATTAACAAGTTTAATAATCCTAAGGAAAAGAAAAAAAACAACACATTAATGCTGTCAATTTTAACTTTACTTTTAAAAACATCATACAAAAGTCTGAAAAATAGAAAATTGTTTCATAGTCTTAAAAAAATTAATGAAAAGAAAAAAAATTACAGATGATGTCTAGATAAGACTCTTCATATGATAAAACATAGCACATACAAATATTTCATGATGAAAACAAGCCTGCAACCTAATTAATGATCAATACAATCAGCTTCAGAGAAGCTGAAAATGTTGTATAATCTGGAATTTTTTTTTAAAGATGTTGAACACCACTTTGGCAAATTGTACATGTACATCAAGATCAGCACTGCATGAAAATACACATCAATAATAGGAGGCCTCTTGTCAATATTCTGACAATATCCCCATTTTTATATATGAATGGTATAACACTACACATTTATTAAACGGTAACTTTTCAACTTTCAGAATGAACAACTTTAAGCTTTCTAGAGCTAATACACTATAAAACAACTAAATAAACACATAAAAATGTTACAAAATTTAAAAGAACAAAGTTGCAAGTTGCACTAGTATTGTAATAAACCTTCAAAATGAAATTTAACCAGAAGCCCTGGTCCACAACTCTCAGGACCCTTTTTAACAAATGAACTCACAAATAAACCCTTTATCTGGATCTAAACCAGGCATGAGGAGTACAATACAGGTAGCTTGCCCATGTTTCCTATTCCTAAGGCCAAATAAAAAAATATGTGTGGTTCCGGTTACCCGACCGTCCCTATTTTATACCCCCTACCCTAAACTTTTTTTTGGCAATTTTCATAGTTTTTCTGGAATTTTCCCCAATTTCCATCAATGGCTCCGGTTTAAGTTTTAGTTTCAGCAATGACGGCCCCCTTGCACAGCATAGTGCAAGTGTTTATTAGTGTTAAATCCCAAGCAAGCTAGCATGTAGGTGTCCCCTACCAATATTGACTAGTATATTATCACACCACATCTAAATGTCATTTGCAAAGTAGTGATAAGTATTATTTAGAAAAATTAAGAAAATCATTTTGTTAAAAAAAAAAAAAAGAAAAAAGAAATCCCTACCAACCTACCCTAATTTTTATGGAGGTGTAACCAGAACCACACATATTTTTTTGTTTGGCCTAAACATAAAACTTTGAACCTAATGTACAACCCTACCTTGGCAAATGATTAACTAAATAACTAACAAAACTGTTTTGTTGTTCAATTATAATGACTAGATTTCATTTTTAGATCCTCTCAAGACAGTATCAATTGAGCACAGGGAAATGGTTTTGGGTTTTGTTTAAAAGAACTGCAACAGTGAAAATATAACAGTTGAATAAAATCTGTAGACACTTTAAAAGAACAACACCATGATCTACTGATAAAAGTGATGATTAAAATACTGAAAGTTTAACAAGCACATTCAACCTTTCACAGCTCTCTATTTATCATGGACATCCATGATTTATACACACTTCTGCTTGCATTCAAACATCAATGCTTGTTTCTGGTACGGTATGTTTGATTGTGAATGGACTGAGCACTAAAATGGATCCGCTTTGCAGACATTCAGATTTCTTGAAAAATGTCCATAGATCCACGTGAAGTGTACTTGCTGCCTTTAATTTCAGGAGAGGTACCTGAGGCAAAAACAGAAATTTGATTCTCTACAAATATACATGTATGTACAGTACTATAGCTTCAAAATTTTGTCCTGAACTTTACATTTTTCTATAAACTGTACCTAACGACACATGAACTTATACCATGAAACACTAATACCTAACACTCACAAGTGACTTAAGGCTAGATATAGGCATTTCTATGCAAATGAACTAATTAAAACATATAAGGGCCATATACTGTAAACGTGGAAATTTTGACGTGCTAATTTTGACTATATTGACAATTTTTCTTTTCTCGTCAAAATTTCCACTCGCCAAACTTCACATCATATATATAGTGTCACAACAGACATTGACCATTGTACAACTTTACCGCTTAATTTTCTCAGCTTCCCCCATTAAAACTAGATCAAAGTTACTGTTTAATTTTTTTGTAAATAGTTATGAAAACATATAATCACAGTTTTAAAAACCATTGAGTATGTCATATACTATTAATACCCATGGTCACAACATTCTAACTTTGCGCAATTATCATGCCATGTTTGACCTACTTTGTAACCTCAGGCAATCGGTCTCGTATAATGAAAACAAAATACAAAAGAGCAATTAATTCAATCAAATCTTATACATTGTAGATGGTTTTTACAAGCAAAATTAAATTTTATTGATGAGAACGCTTGTAAATGAGTTCCCGCAGAAGTCGCAGTCCTTGCTTATAACATCGTGAACTCGCACAGAGCTACTTAATCGTAGACATTCTGAAGTCAACTTAGCCAATGTTTCCATCAAGTTTTTGGTCCTCTAGCTTCTGGCGAGCTTACTCTGAGTACTAGTTTTGAAACTCGTTTTTTAGGAGTTCTTTGTATTCATTTTTGTTTTAATCTTGTGAAATCAAAGATATACCTAACTCGATCCAATATTACGTCAAAATTACCACTCGTCAATTTCCGTAAACAAAACATCGTCAATTTTTCAACGCGTCAAAATAACTATGTTTACAGTATATTATACAGAGAAGGTTAAAACTTATTTTCTAATTTGTACTTGTTACCTACAACATGATATAGCCAGTACACATTATGATGTCATATTATGACATCACTGTTCTTTACTACACAAGGTTATAAAGAAGCTTCGGCATACCCTATTTAATTTTACAGAAACGAGGTATTATTATAGAAGCAGATATTCCAAGGATTGATATGACACTGCTGTACAAATATCAACAGTTCAATTGTTTAGTTGCTATTTATAAGGTTTTGAGTTGAACAAGGGTAAAAATGCATAGTCCTGTGCAAGTTTTCTCAAAGTCTGATCAAATGAAAAAGCACCTAGGATTTGTGCAGCAATTTTATTAACCTCTTAGAATGTTCTTCTCAGCATTATACATTAGGCCACAATTAAAATATTGTTGGTTTGGAGTTTCCGACTTAGTCTTTATACGTTTGGGTCGGTAGGTAGGGAAAATATTTTTTTTTAATTTAAATTTCAGAAATGGTACATGTTGTAGTATCCGGGCGTCATGGGTTTCCGATAGTTTAACCACAACCACAGTCCGAATTGATTCCACTTTTTGTCACTGATGTTCAAACCCTATTAGTTTTAAACCTTTAATATACATGGTAATAAAGACATTAAATTAGTATAAAGTCGTTATCATGTGCACAAACCCAAGCATGGCAGCTAGATTCATCTAGCAAATCGGACAGGACATTGTACCATGATATTTCTATTTCAAACCGGTATGTCTGATTCATCAGTTTACTTTTGCCATTTAAAACCATATAACCACAGAGAGTCATGGCATCAACTTCTGTTATACCGAGTTTACATTTTACCGCTTTCGACAGCCATGCTTGGATTCGTGATACGCATTTATTCAACATCACATAGATGCTTATAAATGAAAACTGTTTGATCAATCAAGTATTACATGATTCTGTATATATTACCCAAACGTACAAACACCTAAATCCGGATGAATATAACGAAATAAAAATTATGATCAGTATCTGTTGAAAAAATTCTTCGGACCCCACCGATTTATGTGAGTTAGCCAGCAACGCCAAACAAATCTAATTTTATTTTTGGCCTTATTTATGTAAAATTAAATAGGATATGCTGTTTTGTTGATTGCTTAAATACCTTGAGTAGTGAAGAAAATTGACATCATAATGTGTATTGGTTATAACATATCATGAGTACGATGTAAGTACAAGAAAATGAATTAAAACAGTCTCTGTATATTACATGTACCTCTTATGTATTATTAGTAGCTCAATTGCATAGAACCTCCTTCATGTACACCTAGCCTTAACTTGCATTCACTAACCTTATTGTCTAAGGGTATTATTTCAGCTTCATTTTCTTCACAACACTTGGATTCACAGACTCTCTCGTTGGAATTAATGGATCATGGATATTGTAAACCTCAATTAATTCCTAAAACACAAATTTATTTCAGATACATGTATGCTTAACAGCAACATTTAAGTTATAATTCTTTCCACAATTAATCTGATTTTGTACTGTAAGAAATTTCCAAATGTCACATCCCAATCTGGATAGTCAGTGCTGGAATGTACCTACAATTTTGAACCAACTTTCTCTCCCTTAACTAAGATTTTGTCTTTAGACTATGCACAATATTTACTATCACAGTACATTTGTCATAAGTTGTCTTTCCTTTGAACATAAAGAAATATAGCACCATACAATAAACTCATATATGAACTCATGGGGCTAAAAACACACTATGGAAAGAAATGTTACCATACATAAACTGAGGTCAGGTGCCACATAACAGGCCCTTCTTAACATCTGCCTCCAATTTTGCCAACTGCAGAAAACTGACTGACCAGTCTGCATATACATCTTTATGTACACATATTTTGCTTTAATACTTGCACATTTTATATTTGTATCTCATTTAAATGCCCCTTTACAATTGTAATCCAGGCTTTGGGGCCATAAAACTTAGACGAGCTCACTTTTGATCTCAGTCTCACTTTAACCAGAGGAATTCATAGTGGAAAAGTGAGACTGAGATCGAAAGTGAGCTTGTCTAAGTTTTATGGCCCCAGGGCCAGGTGTTACTACTGTACATTTATCATGGTCCATTAATTTTCAGAACAAACAATTCCTCTGAGGGATAAGTTGTTTCATTGTGGTGCTTACCTTCCATTCTTGAGGAGAAATGCTGACCACTGCCTGTTTATGTGGCATTCTCTTTCTAACTTTCTCTTGCTCTGGATTCTGAATTGGTTCTGAAAAAGGAATATAAACATGTTTATAACAATTTACTTAAGTCTTATATAAAATTATACAACAGTCTATCCTTTATGAAATGTTAAGGTCAGTATGCAGAATTCATGATTCTGGGCTTTAATCATGCTTATGGCTTAGACTTGTGATCTAAGAGGTCACTAATTCAAATTAAGATGTGGTTGATAATGTACATTTATTTTGTGCTGGTAAAAAAGCACTTTATTTTCAATGTTTCTGCAGATAACCTGTAAAATGTCTTAGTTTCAGCTATTAAAAAGGTACATGTACGAGTCCTCTTCATGCAGTCACATCAAGGAAAGATGAAAAGTATCAGCACACTGGTTATTCAGAAATTGAAAAAGTTAAAACTTTTATAAAAATTTGAAAAATTCATTGAAATACAAAACTTGTACCTATTAATGGTAATTTTTCATCATCCAAAATGATTTGTGCTAATCCATCCTGAAAAACCAAAAAAAAAAGTTCAAAGAAAAATTCAATCATTTTGCAAAATATTTTATCATGATCAAAAATAAACTCTTCTTTGTTTAACTTTCTTTTGCAATTTTCTTACTCCCTAATATACAAAGCAACCACAAATTTGCTTTTCATGATCCCTTTTTTCTGTTTGTATGTACAAATACATGTACAATATATTCCCTTAAACATCCAATCAAAAGTTGTTTTTTTTCTCTTTTTCTTTTTAAATTATACTGTATTCATGGTAATTAATCCACTAGACATTGACTATATTCATATAATGCTACCAACTTTTTATTGCAGCCCGGAGGACCGGGCTGCTCTATACATATAAGTTTAAGTGTTGGTATATGGGGATTGAGGTGGGAGAAGTTATTCAGAATTAAAGGTTTTCTAAACATAAAAAAGATTGTTAATCAGAATGTTCTTTCCCTTTATAAATTACGAGATACAAAATATATTTACTTCCATAAAGTGAATCTGTAAAAATATATATGTTTTTCATATTTAATATATAAAGTTGCTTATCATTTACTATCGAAAAAACGACAGGTCCCTTTTTTAAAACATCGAATTTTACTTATCGCATAAAAACGTACTTTACACAGTTCGTGTTTTATAATCTTAAAGTGAAAGACATTTTTGAAAATAGGTGATGCATGTGTCTGGTTTCAAATTATATTTTATGTAGCCAACATTTACTTGAGGAATTGATAAAATTTAAAAGGGTATCGTTTTTGTTCGATTTTCATCCGACTATAAGTTTTCAAAATATTCTCTACTATCATCTCCATCATTTAGACGCATGCCTTTTTCACACATATCGAAGCGGTTTGATGATCAAGACTCGTTTCCATTGTTTACTTTATTTATTTCCCGGGCGACAATTGATGGTTACATCAATGTTTTCTTGTTCTGTATATTGATAAGAGTTTTTAAACTTCATTACATACATATGTAAAACCTGATACAAAATGCTAGGTTGGTTTATAAATACACTGGAAGTTCATCTCAGCTTTGGTCACTTAGATATAAATGTGTTTAAAATTAAATATTTACAAATGTGCAACTTATGTCAGTTGACAGAACATTTTTAACTCAAGTCACCTAATTTAACTTCAGATCTGAATACTAACCCTGACAAGGAATGATGTGTAGAATATATTCTCCACAGTTTGACTGAAAGACTGGGGGTGTAAAACAAACTCAAAGTAGCATATAGGATTACCTGCAACATAAAAAGACATGTAAAATATGACAGAAAATTTTGAATTTGTTTCTTCAGCAATCATTTTACCATTTTAATAAAAATTTTGTTTTTTCAAACAATTTCAAACAATTTATATACCTGATATGAACTAACACACAAATGTGCATGCATATGCAGGGTTCTTCATGGATTGTTTAACATTGGTTTTGACCAGTAGAGCTCAAGTTTCAACTTGAATTCTCTTTTAATATATATAGTACTTACAATCTGTCTCTTTGTAGAGATGTTGTAGTAAACCATACAGCTTTTCTACCTCTGCTGTGGTGGCCTCGCTCTTCTCTGTGTCATCAAAAGACTTCATCTAGAAAGATAGAAATTATGTTCTTTTAATGAATATGTTTTGAAAATGGCAGGATGGCCATATAAATATAGAAAACAAAATTTTAAAGATTTTCTCAACCACTTTATCTTAGATATGCCCGTAGTCTATCATGTTGATTTATTTCAGATGGTATTATAAACAGCAAACTAATTGTTTGTACGACTGCATCACTTTCTGTAACAAGGATTTCTGTAACATTAAGTTTTATACCAAATATAAACTTTCCTTTACCACTATCTTTGGTAATTTTTTTTTATCAAAATATATGTACTAATGAATGTTGACTATTGACATTGTAATATCATTTACCTTACATGTATCTAATACTAAGATTTTTTTTCATGTTTCCTTAGTTCTCAAAGTTAAATATACTTGTTTGTGGCATTTTTCCAGTGATTTTCTCACCCAATCTAAACATACAAAAGCTAGTCATATAAAAGGAATATCCACAGCACCAATCTGAGGTCCTTTGTGTATACAGTGGCGAAGTGAAAGGGGCAAACAATTTTGATTCGTTTTAAATTTATTTGTTAAATCAGTCTATGTTAATGTTATCATTGTAATATATAACTTTGATCCCTGTGTTGTTAAATAGTAACTGATAAACTGGTCAAATTCAATATATGTTTTAAAACTTCAGTGAATGAAAATCATCTTACTTTAAGCATGAACTCATTGTAAGTGTGAAGCCATGTTTTACCTTTGTAAACAAGAGAGGGCCTTTATAAACTGACCTGTTTAGGGACAGTGGCTTTGTCAGATAAATTCTCTTTGTCACTCTTACGAGCATCAGTGGCTCGTCTGACTTTCTTTACAGGCTCCCCTCTCTCAAATGATCCAGCCCTAAGAATGTAAAACTCATTAATTACTCATTTATCATATACGATCATTCACCTTCAACAGCAAAGTAACTGATTCTTGCCACTAAAGATAAACAAACTTGGTCTGTCCTCATGTATAAAGGTAGCAAGTCCAGTCCTCAGGTTCATAAAATCTGCAGTTTAGTAATTGAAAATGCTTACAAAAATGACACTGAATTCACAATGTAATGTGTTTTTACAAATGTTATTTCTTCAAAGTTCATCATTAATCATATTACAAAGGTAAATTTCAAATCTCAAATTATATATTTTCAGGAAACAGGAATAAAAGCACTAATTCTAAATTTTCTGAATTGAAAATTGATCAGCAAGTATACTTTAGGATAGAGAAAAACTTGTATCCAGGCAAAATATATTGCATTTTTAAAATTTTTGTTATACTTACGGAGTATTTTATTTCAATCTTCAATTGTTTATAAAATACACAGTGTAAATAAAGCATGTGATTTCATTGCAAGATATTACAGATCACTTCCAATTATATGTCATGCTAAGTAATTAACTGGTATCAATGGCAAAACTAGAGGAAATTTGATTTCTCTAAAAATGTATCAAGGGGGGGGGGATTTTTTATAGGCATCTACTTTTACAGGTCTTTTTCTAAGACTTCCAAAAAACTGGAATCATATTAAGAAGCATAAAATGAAAAACTGTTGAATGAAAACAATTCAGTTTCAAGATACATTTTGAGACTTACGAGGGGTTATCAAAAAGTTCGTGGACTGACGCGATAAAATTAATAATATGTAGTCTTTGCTTACAAAATTTATGCGGAACATAAAACAACAAAAGTTTAAGAAATGTTGAAAATTTTAGCTTGATAAGTTGATAATTTGCCAAATTATTCTAAAATTAAAAAGACTTTATGTGATCACCCGGCGCTGTCGCCGTTTAGTGTCATGACGTCCGCTTAACGTCATTGTTTCTTAATGTCCGCTCTCTCTACCTCATACACTTATCTTGATGAGATTACCTGGAGTTAAGTTAGGACTTAAACCCGTCTTATTTATATGAATTTACAATGTCATGAGCAGCTGTTTTCAATGCATATAATATTGTAAATGGATCTTTATATGGGGAAAGATCCTCACTTGATTATGCCAGAATACTTAGCTTGTTGGAGTTCAATTTCTACCACACATGATCAACGTCACTTTTCGACGTGACTGACTTTTGACACCCTGACTACAAATCGACACTAGCTGTGCATATTTCATCTCTCTGAATCTTTTTAGGCATTAAAAAACAAGTACTCTGGATGCATTTTATTTTTCTGTAGCCAGTTTAAACATTCCTTAGGTCAATACCAGTTTTTCCAGGACCGAAACTCTATAGAGTGTTTGAAAAAGAAACCCCTCCCCCCTTTTGACGTTATTTTCACGCCCACAATTGTTTGGACACTCCATATAAAATTTACGATAAAATTTCATAGAAATTACAGAATGGGGTAAAAATTCCAAATTTTACTGAACAAATGTGTCATACCACATGCCTGAATTAACGAGATTTTCTGATGACAAATACTCATATCTAAAGAGTTTTTCTCAGTTACACTCAGGTAGGAAAAAACGTCATATTAGAGGTTGCGCCGCCTGGACATACCAGACCTTTGCTTACAAAAACACTAACATTTTATTAAAAAAATAAAAATTATGATTTATGGTTTATTCTATAGATAGAAAGGATGATGCTAACTAAATGTGTAAAAATTCATTGATGTACCTAAAGCGGTTTTAATTTTATCACGCTAGTCCACGAACTTTTTGATAACCCCTCGTAATCAATTAAATAACAATTTTAGGACTAATCAGTTATTGTTCCTGGCTGAGGAGCAGATATCAAAGATTGATTTGACAATCAACTCTTTTTTCAAGGACATTTGTATAATGAAGATAAATGCATTAAGGAACATTGAATATCATTACATGAAATGAAACGCTGGTGATTTCAAGAAAAATTTCTGTGAAGCTGCTCCCAAATTGACCCATCCTCTTTCTGAAATTGCAACATCATGTGTTTGTCGTGGTTGGCCCTGGTTGATGAAAGATATCTGAAATAAAGAAATGGTACATTATACCTGACCTGTATGTACTCCACTGTCTTTAGTACAGTTAAATTCAATACTTATTAGTTCCATTGAAAAATACAAAAGAATCTTGACTCACCAATTTTTCTGCATACTCAATTGGCTCAAACTTGAGAAAATCTGTCTTTAAATTGTCGACTTTCATTCTGGCATAATTTGAAATCATGAGAATGGTTGCAGAATCCAATGCCCCTTCTCTGGGCATCCTTACTGGAAAAAAAAGAGACCAATTTTTAATCCACATTTTTTTTTTTACAGTATAACAATAATTATGTATCAATTATGAAATGCTTACCATTTTTATTCAGATCATTGGCTGTCTGCAAAGCATCGGAGAGGCTTGTAGATTCAGGATTGATCATGTCATGTTTCTGATCTTGAAAGAAAATAAAAAATTAAAATGATTTGTAGTTAGATTGTTATTTCCAGGTCTTTTTTTTTTTTTTTTTTTTTTTTTTTTTGACCAAGTAAAATTTTAGCTAAACAGAAGAGTTCAATAAAATCAATTTATCATTTTACTAAAAAATATGTGGATGAATGTCAAGAATTTAACACAGCATCTAAATATTATCTACACAAAATAGCTAACTACTGTAGATTCCTAAATATACGCGAGGAATAAATTATCGCGTAATGACGCAAGAAGCACCACTCGTGAAATAAAATTACTCGCTTTTATTTTTATGGTGCTTTAATGTATGTAAAATCTCGAGATAAATCACCCATTCGCGAATTATTGTTCCCACGATTTGACGCCTTTGGACCATTTCGCGATTTTAAGTACTCGCGTAAAATAAGGAATTTACAGTATAAGGCCAACAAAAAAAAATAGTTTTCTTTCCTGCTACCCGACCGACCCTATTTTTTTGCACTCGACCCTAAAGTTTTATTTTTAGTTTTGGAAAAAAATCAGAAATTTCATGTTCCAAAACTGAAAAAAATATATATTCAAATGGTATTTCATGAAATTCTAGGTTTAATTTGGTTTTGTATTAGTTCATATCCAAAAAAATACTGTTGGAAAAAAATAAAATAACTTTCCAACCTATCCTATTTTTTTCAGGCTGTTAGCAGGAAACAAGACTATTATTATTATTTTTTTTTTGCCTAAGAGAAAACGGGGGGGGGGGGGGGGGGCAAGAAGAAAATTAATCTAAGTGACAAGTATTTTTCTCTATCAAAACTCACGTAAAGTAACTGACCATATTATTTTAAACGTAAAAATAAAACACACCTGAAAACAGAACTGCAGACTTCAATGGACTTACCATGAAGTTGCTCCATCAGCTTCCTGTAACCTCGCCTAATCTCTAACCTCTCCTCTTTGTTCTGGTTCTGCAGGTAGTCAAAGCCTTCAGAAGCCGACATACTTGTGGCATCTGATTCAGAGTCGTCATTTCTCGATCTGACACTACTGATGGTGGCTGTTTTCTTCTTCTTTGCATTGACACCCGCCATTTTCCAATTGCTGGACGGTGATGGTTTAAATTTTACCTCCAGTAAAAAGTTCCGATGTAAACAATGTCAAATCTCGAACCCGATGTTTATAAAAGGAATTGTGGGGTAGTTAATTGTAATTACAATATAACAAATTCCCGTAGTACTTGAATAAAAAATCAACCCAAGAAGGCTTTGTGCCAATTTTGGTCAAAATTGGTCCATTGGTTCTTGTGAAAAGTCAAAACCAAGGCGATCAGAGAGGCTCACGTTATTATTTGGTTATTTAGATTGGGATCGATGTTCAAAATATGGTAGGGTTTAATTTGCCTGGGACTTTTTTCTTCTGAGACACCGCTATGACATTTGGGCGGGAATTATTCAAAACTCATTTAAGTAAACTTGTCTGAAAATGAAATTCTTTGTGTATTAATAAATTATCATAGGATTTGAACCAGTGAAATTCTTTTTCTGTATTGTAGACAGATAATAGTGAGGCTTTTAAACAGTCAATAATCTCATCATGTGACAATCATGAAAATATCACGTGCATGCTACTTTGGTAACTTTTTCCAAGACACATTGTGTCTTTCAGCATTTGATAAAAAAAAAATTGGTAAATATAGGGTCCTCCCACCCAACTCCTCTTCATGATTTGAACAATTTATATGCACTGTGGCTAGAAAAATAATAATACTGTGAAATTCTGTTTTAACATTCTCTTCTTTGCTTAGGAGAGCCATGGTTTGAAGAAATTAAACTCTTCAGTAGTTGTATAAAGAAAACTTTTCCCACTTTTATCATTTTCTATCATGTATAGATTTCTAATCTATAGATATTTTGAGATCTAACACTTTTTAATAATCTCAGATGTCTGTGTGATCCTTTAATAAACTCAAATGCATAACATATACTATTCCTGTCTTTTCTTGTTCATTTTTCCAAGTTATATAATCAAGCAGATTTCTGCCATCATAATTTTCAATTACAAATTCTACTTTAGAACTATGTTTCATAAGTACCAGGTATTTTCAAGATACCCTGACTGTAATCCTGTATGTTAATTTGCATTATCCATAATATAACACAAAGTGAAAGAACTGGAAAGCAGACAATTTTTTCCCTTTATTTAAAGTTTCTCATCACTTAACATGTATCCATAACATAAAATTTAACATACCCAATATAATTGACACTTAATTTGAGAAAAAAAAATCTTTGAAGAGTGTCATGCAATAAAAATAAAAGTATCAAGAATCATAGGTGTAGTAGATTCAATAGTCATGAATTTAAAGTAACTGTGTGTAATTTATGTAACTGCAAAGCTCCATCAAAATGAACATATTTTAATCAATAAAACAATCTGTGATTTTATATAATTTCAATGGGTTCTAGTTTTAATAATTGATCTCTGACCCAGTCAATAAATCTGCTATAGTATTGATATAACTATAAAAATATGATATAAGAAAGTCGAAATACAATGTAGAATATTTGCATATAGAAGTACAGTTTTCTTAGAGAGTATTTCTAATTTACATAGACTATTGTACATGGACACTTTTTTTATTATTAGCAGATGATTCTTAATGTCTCTTTCTAGTGTATTATTTATCAGATATTATTTGGTATAAACAGTTTATATTACAACAATTGTACACATCATCTTTTTTCTAAAGTCAGTTCACATAGATTACAGCAAACTGAAAAATGTATTTTTGCAAATCTTCCTTTCAAAAGCAGCATTCTAGTACACAACAAACACAACACAGCGAGTACAATTATTCTTTTTTTTTCCACTTAAAAAAAGGTGATCTGGGTACCGGTACTTTCTTTTTTTCAAATTAATGAATAAAATTTTGACCAAATCATACTCAATGATGGGAAAATTAATGAAAGATAAAATTTGTGATAAGAATACATGTACATATACCGTACATGTATAAAACAGTACAATCTGATTAAAATCAGATCCTCAATCCACTCCTTTATCTTTTTTTTATTGTCGCGCCTCATGTAGCGATTTTAATCAGATTGTAAAACAGTAGATCCATTCTTCACATAGTACACCATGTAGATGTACTTTAACACTTTGTGACTGAGAAGTCTCAGATTCTAACTTGCCATAAATATTGAGACACTCTGACAGATTACCTTACTAATACAGCTTACTTGTGTAATACATTGTATCTTATAACACAAATATTTTGTCTACAAAATGGAATTCTTCAAATGAGGTAAAAAAAAAATTGTGAATTTTTAAAAGGTCAAGAAGACATGACCAATCAAAAATGAACACATGGCAACAGAATTTGTGAAGTATAAAGGAAAAACAATTATACACCTATAATGCTCAATAATTTACAAAAAGGGTATAATCACCCCAGTGTTAAAGAGGAAGGAAAGTCTTCTCCACTCTAGCACAGTGTGTGATTTATATACATTATGTCATATAGCACACATACAATTTAATTCAACAGCACAATAGAAAATCCTCCTGGCCTCAGTATCACAGTCAATTAAAAGCTCCCAACTGAAAAAGTAAGAAAATGTTATTGACAATACCTAAAACAACCTTTAGAAGGTATAATATGGAATCACATAAGTTCACCATTATTTGCAGATTTCTAAATACATGTACAGTCAAACCTTGTTATCTTGAACTTAATGAGGCTGAGAAAAAACTTTCAGATATCCAAGGATTCAATATATTGAGATTGAAATATTTCTAATGTGAAAGCCTCACTTTAAAAAGCAATCTCTGTGTGCATTAATATACGGAAAGGTGTGAATTTATTGGTTATCCATAATATCTGATAACCGTAATAATTCCTCAAGTTTTCTTAAAATATCTTTTTTTTGATTAGCATTAAATATAATATAAACTTTGACTCCTATTGATTAAACAGCAGCATCACTATAGATATGATTTCTACTGACTAAATTGTAGACAGTGAATTGTACTGACCAATTGTTCCTCATTTTACAGGTACGTCATCATCAGCTCTTTTCCGTTTGAAATCACACCTAAAACAATCACTGAATATTTTCAAAAAATATACATGCAATGAAACACCCTGGTTTACAGTACTGAACACAGCTTTCAAAGAATGAACCCACTGGAGATGAGGAAAATAATTCTTCTTTCTTTTATGACTGAAGAGTGATAGTCCTTACTTTCAGTAGCAATATTATGATGCAAGCTCCCATTAGAATACAACCAGTAAAAGAGGAGGAAGATACATAAATTTTATTAAATTACTGACTGACCCCCCTGAATTTCAAATTACTGACTGACCCCCTGAGTTTTAAATTAATGACTGACCCTCTGAATTTAAAATTAATGACTGACCCCCTGAATTTTTAATTAATAACTGCCCCCCCCCCCCCCCCCGAATTTTTAATTAATGACTGACCCCCTGAATTCCTGTAACATTTTCATTTCTTCCTGCATCTGACGAGTTTCTGCGATGTACTGTTCCAGGTCATTAACTGAAGTGGAGGGAAGAACGGTAGGGAGGAATCTGGAGAAAAGACCTGGTTTTATCTTTGCATAGTCTGAAAAAGATTGAATACAAATCAATCACAAGTACAAATTTGTTTTTATTGGAGCACACAGATTTTATTTACTATGTTGCCTGAGGCAACTGCTTAAGTGAACATAAAAATACTTTTTAAAGTCTGTAACCATTTAATATTATTTTCAAGTCAATATAATTTGCTTGTTGTTAGATTATGTGAATTAACTTTACCATTCTAATTCATCAAAGATCTATATCATTCTGTAGCTGGATTCATTCTGTTCTGTTTTTGAACTATGAAATTGGTTTTTCCCTGGATTTTACCTGATTAGGATGTTATACTTTAACTGGTTTATGAAATAAGTCCCTACCTGGATTATCATATCAGGTTTTGCTGTCCCCTCTTACCTGGATTATCATAATAATTTTGACTCAATGCTCTTTTATCATACCTGAGTTATGATGCAAGTTAAGGCTAGGTATAGGCATCGTTATGCAAATGTGCAAAAAAACACACATAAGAGGTATTACCTGGACTATGAAATCAGTCCCTACCATATTTATGATGTTATACTGTCTTACCTTACCTGGTCAATGAAAATAATCCTTTTCTGGATTATGATGTCATCTTATCTGTTATCTTATCTGGTCTATGAAAATAGTACTTACCTAGATTATGATGTCATCTATTACTTTGACTTTGAAACCAGTCCTTCACTAGCATATCATAACAGTCCCTGACTGAGCTGATTGGATTATGATGTCATCACTTACTTGGATAGTTATGTCATCCATTACCTGGACTATACCTGGATTATGATGTCATCTCTTACCTAGACTATATATGGATTATTATGCAATTTATTACCTGGACTATGAAACCAGTCCTTACCTGGATTTACAGAATGTATGTTCTTCACTGTGTTTGCCATTGTAGGGGGAGATATGGTGAATGGTTTGGAATTAGCTTCTTCCAATAATGCTGCAAGATGATGAAAATCTTGCAATAAATTAAACCAAGTAAATGCAGCATTCTATAAAAACATTTTATTTTCAGTATTGTCTAAAAAAATTGTTTTCAACTGGATAAAATGTGTGTTAGAAATAATTCTTCTGAATTTCATCTGTGAGTGATATGTATTATAATAATAAAATAGAAGAGAAGCAGAAATTTTCAGTTAAAAAGAATTTCCCTAACTTACACAAAATGAATTCTATATGTTGATCTAACACATGCTGTTGAAATAATTTCTTCAGTTCTTCATTCAAATCTGTTTTCAATTTGGTTTCAACATAAAATCTATTCTGAAATGAAAGATATGATCAAATTTAAATTCCTTTGATTTCCTGAAAAATTAAATCATTGCTAAAAATAATTAGCACATGAACAAATATGGACAACTGTAAATTTCTAAAAACTTTATTAAAGCAAAAATGATATGTCACAAAATGTCAATACTATATATGTAAAAGTAAATAACAGGAATGAAAAATTTCATTAAAGTTAACATGCATCTGTTACTTACCATATAATTAAAAATAGGGACAATGCCACCTAAGGCCTGTAAATACTGGTTCAAAATGAAAGAAAACTTCTCAATGAAAGACTTTGGTTCTTCATCCCGCATCTGTGGAAAGTTGGTGTCAATATAATTATAATAATAATTTACAGTTCATTGGGTAACATATCTATAGTTTGACTGAAGGACCCCCCCTCCAACATTTTCTTTGCTATTTAGTTGCCATCATCTTCAAGGGGGGGGGGGGGGGGGGTTAAATGTAGACAAGCATAACAAAGGGCACATTGCACTTAGGCAGTAAAACATCACTGGGTTAATTACAAGAGGCCCAAGGGCCTTGAATCGCTCTTCTGATAAACTGTACAACCTATCACTTCTATTTGAAGCCTCTAAGTATCCTGTATATTTAGATAAACCCTTGAAATTCCAATTCACACTCTGAGAACCCAAGATGATTCTAAGCCAATTAGTACCTGAGAGTTGGTCATGGTGACCTACTTATCACTTGTCATTCTCTGAGGACCCATCAACTAAGTTTGTTGATTCTAAGCCAATTCATACCTAAAATATTTTTTAAAATTATAACCATAAAATTTTATAAGTAGGTCAAAGTGACCTTCTTTTCAGTTGTTGTACTCCAAGGACCCAAGATGCATCAACTGACAAAGTTTGACGATTCTAAGCCAATTAGTACCCGAAATATCTAATTAAAGCAATAAATTTTCAAAAGTAGGTCACGGTGACCTACTTTTCAGTTGTTGTACTCCAAGGACCCAAGATACATCGACTGACAAAGTTTGATGATTCTAAGCCAATTAGTACCCAAAATATTTAATTAAAGCCATAAATTTTCAAAAGTAGGTCACAGTGACCTCCTTTTCAGTCAACCTACTCCCAGGACCCAAGATGCATCAACTGACAAATTTTGACGATTCTAAGCCAAATAGTACCCGAAAATATTAGATATAGCAATAAAATTTCAAAAGTAGATCACTGTGACCTACTTTTCAGTTGTCATACTCCAAGGACCCAAGATGCATCAACTGACAAAGTTTGATGATTCTAAGCCAGTAAGTACCCAGAATATTAAATTAAAGCCATAAATTTTCAAAAGTAGGTCATGGTGACCTACTTTTTAGCCGACCTACTCCAAAGACCCAAGATGCATCAACTGACAAAGTTTGATGATTCTAAGCCAGTAAGTACCCAGAATATTAAATTAAAGCCATAAATTTTCAAAAGTAGGTCATGGTGACCTACTTTTTAGCCGACCTACTCCAAAGACCCAAGATGCATCAACTGACAAAGTTTGATGATTCTAAGCCAATTAGTACCCAGAATATTAAATTAAAGCCATAAATTTTCAAAAGTAGGTCACAGTGACCTCCTTTTTAGTCGACCTACTCCGAAGACCCAAGATGCATCAACTGACAAAGTTTGATGATTCTAAGCAAATTAGTACCTGAAATATTTAATTATAGTCATATAAATTGAAAAGTAGGTCACAGTGACCTACTTTTTAGTCAACCTACTCCAAAGACCCAAGATGCATCAACTGACAAAGTTTGATGATTCTAAGCCAATTAGTACCTGAAATATTTAATTATAGTCATATAAATTGAAAAGTAGGTCAAGGTGACCTACTTTTCAGTTGACCTTATTTGAGGACCCAAGATGCATCAACTTACAAAGTTTTATGATCATAGGGCTTAAAATGTCCAAATTATGTCTCTAAAACGCTTTGAAATCGAATGCCTGTAAAGTTCAAAAAGTAGGTCACTGTGACCTACTTTTTAATAAACATGTTTTATGGCCCCAAGATGCACCATCTTACAACATTTAATGATTCTAAACCTCTCGGTATTCGAATTAATGACCTTAATTGTTTTGAAAAAGATTAGCCATAAAGTTCAAAATGTAGGTCAAGGTGACCTTCTTTTTAGTTGATGTACTTTGAGGACCCAAGATACATCAACTGACAAAGTTTGATGATCATAGGCCTTAAATTGTTCAAAATATGCCTCTAAATCATTTTGAAAAAGAATGGCCGCAAAATTTAAAAAGTAGGTCACCGTGACCAACTTTTGAGTCAACATGATATGAGGTCCTTAGATGCATCAACTGACAAGATTTGATGCTCCTAGTCCTTATAGTAAGCAAAATATCAACATTTTAATAAAATGTAATTTTTGGTCAACTTTGAAGTGACCTTGAGACCACGCCCTTTGCCCCAGGGTGATGCCTTGAACAATTTTTAATCTACAGCATATCCTCATCCTTTTCTGTAAGTTTGGTGATAATCTGCCCAGTGGTTCTTGAGAAGAAGATTTTTTAGCAACCAGTACTTTTGTTTCTATTTTCCTAATTATCTCCCCTTGTTTAAGGGTCACAACCCTAGTTTTAGTATAAAAGGGAGCCCTTGGGCCAAGGATACCATGTGACAAATTTGACAATAATTGGCCAAGGGGTTCTTGAGTTATGGCCCATATTCTAAAAAGTTTATGCACACCGCACAAATGGCCATAGCATTAGCTCTTTGAGCCTTTGGCTCAGAAGAGCTAAAAATTCTGGGCTATAGAATTTTTGAATAATTTTCAAGTTCCTAGGCAAAAATAATGCATGCTGAAAGTTTTTATCAACTTGTATAAAATAATTACACTGTTGTCATGAACCATGTGATATTTCACATTTTTTTCTATCATTTCTTTTTTTTCCTTTTTAATAAAATTATTCCTGTGGCATGAATATCACTTAATATTATAATGTCCAAACACAAGCATGCTTGTCCTATAAAAGTTTTACTGATCTCTAAATTTATGACACTGCTAAGTATTTGACGATAACTTAAATGTTGTATTTTCTCACCAGTGCCTTTAGCTGTTCATTTAGTTTCTCAAGATGTAGAGCCATGTGGTTCATCAGATCTGTGTAGAGTTTCTCAGAGAACTGCTTACAGACACATTTATAAACACAGCTGTAAAAATAAAATTACATCAATAACATGAAATGATCATAACACAATCCAGTATAAAACAAGAAAATGTGTAGGAGTATAATGTCCATTACACACATCAAGAGGAACATTTATTTTAATAATAACATCATCTACTTACACGTTAGAGACAGATTCAATATTTTAAAGAAACCTGTTTCTATAACACCCCCCCCCCCCACACACACACCTTCCTTTGCATATGTCCATACTAAACCCAACAACATACATACAAACCTATACATTTGTTCATATGAGATAGGTATGTACTGCCCGGGGGTCATGCTCAGTAGTTGATCTATGGCTCCCTCTAGTTTAGGCCAGTACTGTGTCCTGTAATCTTCAGTTGTTATGGTCATCATCACTGTTAACAGGAAAACGTCACATCTAGTGTTCAATTAAGACTTTTCTGGCATCTTTAAAAATTATTTTTACAGTGAACACTTTTAAGTTTTAGTTTGCTTAACACTATATGAGTTAAAAGTTCTCATCTAGACTTGTTTAAGTAAGTTACATCACCTGTACATATCACTCAAATTTAGTTTTAAAAAAGGTCAACATCATATTGTGTAGGGACGTGCAATTTTATTGGTAAACTGGTATATCATACTGTGTAATACATAGTTAAGGCCCACCTCAGCACCGGTACCTACGGCACAGAGTGATCAATCGCACTAAATTTCTTGTGATTTTCGCTTTGATCTAATGATCAGATCACTTTCATTTTCATGTTTTAATACTGTATGCAACCATAGACTGAAGTAATTATCAATTAATGTCTGTAAATACTATCCTGTAGAATGTATTTCCAATATTCTGAAGTTGTTTCTTCAATATGTTTACAAATTGGCATTTGGATTATTATTGTTTTCACTGATACTTCATTATTTTTTGTAATTGTACTTAGAAACAGAAAACAAGCAATTGAACTTGAAATTATGGTGACAGCAATAAACAGAATAATTATCCTTGGTTAATTCTCTTTTTGTGGCAAGTTTAATTTCAGTTGGACTAACTGTAGAATGAGTAGAGTTTTGAAGAATTTAACAGAAATTTCTACTTTTAGTAACCATGGCAACATCCTTTGTTAAAATACAAAAAAAAAAAAAACCAAACAAAAACAAAATACATAATTACATGTATGTAATTAGCGTAGTTTACTTGTGTACCAAGTTTTATTGAAAATAGACCAAAACTGTAGGAAGAAAGGCAATTTAAAAAAAATTTATAAATTTTTCTTATTTCAGTAACCATGGCAACACCATAAGTAACCAGAAGTCTCTGATGAGACTATAGCTCTACTGGTCTGTACGTATAACAAAGGAAAAGTAGCACTCGGATTTGAAACTTTGCAACATGCAACAATAAATAGAATAATGTAGTCTACTTGTGTGCCAAGTTATATTGAAATCAAACAAAAACTGTAGGAGGAGTAGCATTTTGGAATTATTTCACAGAAATTTTTATTTCAAGTAACCATGGCAACACCATTCACTGAAATCAAAAACTGATATACACTATTATGTAATGTAGTGTAGTCTAATTGTGTGCCAAATTAGATTGAAATCAGACCAAAACTGTAGCAGGAGTAACGTTTTAAAGGAATTCTACAGCAATTTCTTTTTTTAGTTACCATGGCAAAACCATTCATCAAAATCAAAAACCAATTCATCAAATTATGTATCTTAGTGGAGTCTACTTGTGTGCTAATTTATATTAAAATCAGACTAGAACAGTAGGAGGCATTGCGTTTTCAAGGAATTTCACAGATATTTCTATTTTTAGTAACCATGGCAACACCATTCATTGAAATCAAATACAAATGCACAAAATTATGTATCTTAGTGTAGTCTACTTCTGTGCCAAGTTATATTAGAATCAGACCAAAACTGTAGGAGGAGTAGCGTTTTAAAGGAATTTTACAGAAATTTCTATTTTTAGTGACCATGGCAACACTGTTCATCAAAATCAAAAACCGATGCACTAAATTACGAATTTTAGTGTAGTCTACTTGTGTGCCAAGTTATATTGAAAAACGGACCAAAACTGTAGGAGGAGTAGCGTTTTAAAGGAATTTCACAGAAATATCTATTTTTAGTAACCATGCAACACTGTTCATTGAAATCAAAAACTGATGCACTTTATTATGTATCTTAGTGTAGTCTACATGTGTGCCAAGTTATATTGAAATCAGACCAAAACTGTAGGAGGAGTAGCGTTTTAAAGGAATTTCACAGAAATTTCTATTTTTAGTAACCATGGCAACACCATTCATTGAAATCAAAAACCGATGAGTAAAATTATGTATCATTGTACAGTCTACTTGTGTGTGAAGTTATACTGAAATCAGAACAAAACTGTAGGAGGAGTAGTGTTTTAAAGGAATTTCACAGAAATGTCTATTTTTAGTAACCATGGCAACATCGATAATCGAAATCAAAAACAGATGCACTAAATTACGTATTTTAGTGTAGTCTACTTGTGTACCAAGTTATATTAAATCAGACTAAAACTGTAGGAGGAGTAGCGTTTTAAAGGAATTTCACAGAAATTTCTATTTTTAGTAACCATAGCAACACCGTTCATTGAAATCAAAAACTGATGAACTATATTATGTATCATTGTACAGTCTACTTGTGTGCCAAGTTATATTGAAATCAGACCAAAACTGTAGGAGGAATAGTGTTTTAAAGGAATTTCACAGAAATTTCAATTTTTAGTAACCATGGCAACATCGATCATTGAAATCATGCATTAGATTATGTATCTTAGTGTAGTTTACTTGTGTGCCAAGTTATTCGAAATCAGACCAAAACTGTAGGAGGAGTAGCATTTTGAAATATTGTTTACAGACAGACAGACAGACGAATGGACAACGGACACCTTACTATCGCATAAGCTTTTCTGGTCTCTGACCAGTAGAGCTAAAAATTATGCATCTTAGTTTAATCTACTTGAATAGAAAGTTTTACTGAAATCAGTCCAAAACTGTAGGTGAAGTAACATATTGAAAGAAATTCATAGAAATTTCTATTTTAAAGTAAGTAACCAAGACAACATGGTTCGTCAAAATCAAAAACCAGTAAAAAGAAATTATGTATCTTAGTATAGTCCACTTATGTAGAAAGTTTAACTGAAATCAGACCAAAATTGTTGGAGGAGTATGGTTTTGAAAGAACTTCACAGTAATTTCTATTTTTAGTTACCAAGGCAACACTTTTCTTTAAAAGCAAAACTGAAGAACATAACCTAATTATGCATCTTAGCATAGTCTACTTGTGTAACAAGATTTATTGAAATCAGAACAAAGCTGTAGGAGGAGCTTATTGAAAAAAATTCATACTTTTTTTTTATTTTTAGTAACCAAGGCAACATCATTCATCAAAAACCAAAATATAGAATTATGTATCTTAGTGTAGTCTACATGTGTACAGTAATATTACAAATAGGGATGTGAGATTTTATCGGTATACCGGTATATCGTGATTTTTTTATTGCGCGATATGTATCATGATACGGAGACTAAAATACCGGTATTCAGTATGTAATTATAAATTCTGGAAATAAGTAATTTTTTGTTCAAACTCTTAAACTACAATTACAGGAATTGTAAAAAATGTTGTAAAATAGTAAAACAACGGCATCCTAGCACCAAAACATGCTTTTATTAATATATGTATAATGGCCTAAATAAAAATGAAAAAGTTTGTTATATTTTCACACTATATTTGTCAGAAAAGTCATAGACTGAAATTCATTTAAAATCAAAGTAAAAATTATGTGAAAAAATATCATGATTTTATCATGATACATTTGGAAAAAATCGTGATATATCACGATACAAAATTTTTGGCAATACCCATCCCTGATTACAAATTGAACTGTAGAAAGGGTAACATTTTGAAAAAAAATGTTTACAGACAACAGACAGACAGACAAACGGATGGATGCATCATGCCTCACTAGTAGATCTAAAAATTATAGCCCATAGTAAGTAATATATTTAATTTTGATATAAAGGAAATTAGATAAATAAAAAAGCTGGCATATTGATATTGATTTTCTCAGCAGGTGCCGTCCCCTGCCAGTTTTTCCTAATTGCACATCCTGTCAAGTGCACTGAGTTTTATTGAAATCAAACAAAATCAACCAGAGTAGTAGAATTTTTTTGACATGTACATTCTATTGTGATGCTTTACCATAAGCTTTTCAGGTCTTGGACCAACACGAATAAAAATGGAAAAGTTTAACTGAAGGGTGGGTACAAGTAGCAAAAGGATGCAATTTTTAATAATCATTTTGCACCTGATGCTTTATTATAAAATCAGTTTACGCTATCTGGAATATAAAGCTAAAATATGAGAAATACACAACGAATTGTACAGTACGTAACTGAGCACTGACATGTAATTTTTACAATAATACTTTAACTGTTTAAGAGGCATTTTCCCGAATCCATCATTCATTCATAAGCATCTCAATATTTTTCCCGTCTTGATACAAACCCATGCTTCCTGGCCGTAAGAGAGGATGATGCTTTACTTTTTGGTCGCCATCGTCTGGTGCTAAATCAGGCTGAGTAGAGTCTGCTTCTGCTTCCATTGGTTCATCCATTATTTTTTGTAAAATTACTGAAAGTCTTCAACTTCTTGTTCAGTTTCAGTATGTCATCATGGGAGGTAATTCGGAAACATGAGAGTAATCTTTACGATTAACTAAGAAAAATTACCAAAACGAATATTTAAGCGACATGTATCACGAACTCGATTGGCTTTTGTCTTATAGACAATGAATCACATGTTTTATAAATATTTTGTTTATTGCTCCAATGACCCAATGGAGTAACATTTACCATGTCAAGAAGAGATGATAATTATATAATAGTTGGCCGATGGCCGCCTTTGTTTAAACAAGCCGGCGTAGAACAAATACAGATCTATTTATTTGGTGCAGTTTTATTTTTTCACGTTTTTTCCCATATAGATGTGTATTGTCAATAATTTTGCCGATATATAATATACTCTAGGAAACAAAGCTACTTTTATTATTGTGCCCCCTCAATAATTAATTACGTGTGACCCCCCCCCCCCCGACGCACTGATTTTGTTTTCCTTGTTAAGCCGTATTACCCACCCAAACTGAAAATGTTTGCTTGGAGCCCACCCCCCATCCCAATCTGAAATAACATATTTAATACCAAACTCTTGTAACTTTTATGGAGCTCCAAATTAATCTCAAATAACTGAAAAGAAAATATTTCATTATTTGACAGACCCATGGCAACGGTTTCAAAAGTGGAGGGCCAACTTCCGAAAAACAAATCTGACAAGCCAAAAAAAAAAAAATAAATAAAAAAATAAAAAAACAACTAGCAACTATCCAAATCCTGGAATTTGCCAGTGCTCGGTCTTACTGCAACAAAACACAAAAAGTTTGCGTGTGTGTGTGTGTGGGGGGGGGGGGGGGGGGGGGGCAACCATCATGTAAAGGAAAATTTACTATAGCAAAATACTTTACTCAGAAAAACTGCCACCCCCCCCCCCTCCCGCATTCTACGGGCCTGTTTGAAGATATTTGAAGATATCATTTATAAAACCATTATCAATTATTAAATTGATGCGCGTAATAAATTAATTATTGCTTTCGTAAATATTGCATGGATGCAAGCATCAATTGAAATGACGATAGCAATGCGATTTCAGTGATGCGCGCATCAATTCATTTTTTATCAATTCAACTGATGCGCGCATCAAATCACTTAATGGTGCTTGTATCAGTTTAATCGATGAGATAAAAAAAAAAAAAGCAAGGTGTAGTTACGTTATTGCTCGCCAAAATTAATTTAGATGAAATGGTAAATCTCTTTAATTTGATTTGATTGAAGATATCTTTAATCGTTTTACAATACTATTCTTGAGCGCAGAAGGCAACAATTCAATCAAAGAAATCATTATTTAAATTGGATATTTTTTTAAAATTTGTTGGGGGGGGGGGTATCACTGTCATCTTTTCGACTGATTTTTTTTCCGGTAAAATAATATGGTAAGGTCCAAACTGCAAGAAAAAGGGGCAGGGGACAGGGCAGCCCGCCAAAAGAATGAAAATTTTCATTCAAAATTCTCAGATATTAAATGTGGCTCGTTCCCAGGACCCGGACAAATTTATATATACATATTTAATGTGAAGTGGCCAGTATTCAGGCTAGTAGGAACCAGGGGCGAGGGAGGGAGGGTGCAGAATGGCCTATGAAAGACTACATGTGGGTCAGACGATTAATTTGGGACCTTTTTACAAAAGCACTTGCATGCACCCAAGATTGCCAAGACACACAACCATTTCCTCTTGAAAATTATTCTATTCCTACACCTTTTTAACTGCAATTTTAACACGAATCATTAGAATAGAATTTGCTTAAATAAAAGAATTTTTCGAGTACAAATACTAAAAAACAAGAGGCCCATGGGACACAACGTACGCTCACTTGAGTCACTATGGCCCTGTTGTTCTTCATCATTTTACCCATATATTCCTATATACAACTTTGATCGTCCATTGTGGCCACATCGTACCCCCTGGGGGCCATGGTTTGAACAATCTTGAATCTACACTGTCCGAGGATGCTTCCATATCAATATGGCTAATCATACCTTTACAGGTCTTTAGAAAAAGATTTTGAAAGATCTTTTTCCTATATATTCCTACTTTGATCGTTCATTGTGTCCCCACGTACCCTATCCCCGGGGGTCACAATTTGAACAAACTAGCTCGAATCTACACTTTGTGATGTAGCTTTCATATATAATTTTCAACTTTTCTGACTTAATTGTTCTTGAGAAGATTTTGAAAAGTTCACTAATTCTTAATTATCTCCCCTTGAAAGAGGGCAAGGCCCTTGATTTGAACACTTCAATTCCCTTGACCCAGGGACGCTTTTTGGTTAGTTTGGTTGAAATTGGACCAGCGCTTCTTAAGAAGAAGTCTTAACTTTAGTTTTACGTCCGTAATCATGTTATTTACGCAAAACAGATATAATATAAGAATTTACATTGTGTGTTTTGGGGAAACTTATTAAAACGTCAGGTAGTTATGAAAAACACACACGTATGCATAGTTGATTTAAACTTGACTCACGTTGTTTTGAATTAGGTATTAAACTTTTTTTGGAGGGGATTCTCATTCTTTGATATCATTTTTTTAAACTCTGAAATATATTTGATGATCGATGTCCATATAGAAAATGATCAATGTCGACCCGACCCCCCTCCCTGCAACATTTCCCAACCAAAAATGGAAATGATTTTCGCGATGTTTTAATTTTCTTAATGTACTGAGATGGAAATGGCATACATAGGCATACTTTATTCTGGTGATTCAGTGACTTATTTAGTAAACATTAAATTAAAAGTAATTGCTAATTTCCAGAACTTAACGAATACACAACCTTAAAACACTTTATCAATCCCATTTTCTTAAGGATTTGCATTAAAATTATTTTGATGCCACCCTTAAAAAAAGAGGCATATTGCCTTGCACCCTCTGATTGGTAAGTCGGTATTTCAGTCTATAGACCAAGTGTTGTCCACTCAATATTTTAAGAACCCTTTGCTTGACAGACATCAAACTTCCTTCACAAGGAAATGATCCCTATTGATCTTGAGGTCAAAAGGTCAAAGGTAAAACTACCAGCATTAAAGATATAGAAAAATTTGTCCCTTCAATTATTTGAGAACCATTTGCTCGACCGACATCAAAATTTGCACATTGGTTTCCCCTAAGGAGATGGTCCCTATTGATTTTGAGGTCTAAAAGTCTAAGGTCAATGGTCAAATTGGGCATAGGAAGATATTGACTCCTCAATATCTTGAGAATCCTTTGCTAGACAGACATCAAACTTAGTACAACTGATTCCAATTGAAGAGTAAATGACTTCTGTAGATTTGAAGGTCCGAAGGTCATGGGTCAAATTGGACATAGGAAGAAAACACAGACTGCTCAATATCTTTAGAACCATTTGCTTGAAACATGATGCAAGATACTTGTTCCCAATAAGGAATATATGACCCTTATTGAATTTGAGGTCCCAAAATCAAAGGTTAAGGGTCAAACTGGACATATGAAAATATTGACCACTCAATATCTTGAGAACCCTGTCCTTGACAAACATCAAACTTGGTACACTGGTTTCCCATAGAGTAGATAGCGCCAATTGATTTTCAGGTCGCAAGATCAAAGGTCAAGGGTCTAACTGTACATAGGAATATATTTATCACTCATTATCTGAGTATCCTTTGTTTGACAGACATCAAACTTTGTACACTGGTTCTCCTTAAGGAGTAGATGACCCCATTGATTATGACAAGGTTAATGTCCAAACTGGACATAGGAAGATATTGACCAATCTACATCTTAAGAACCCTTTGCTTGACAGCCATCAGACTTGCTGGTTTCCTCTGAGGAGTAGTTGACCACTGTAGAAGTCTAACATGAATGTTCAAACTACTCTCTGACATAGGAAGATATCACCAGCTCAATAATTTTTGAGCACTTTGTTTAGCATACATCCAACTTGGTACATTGGTTCCCCTTAAAGGAGTAGATAACCCTTATTAACTTTGAGATCACAAAATCAAAGGTCAACGTGCAAACTAAATATAAGAAGATATCTTGAGAATTCTTTGCTTGACTGGCATCAAACTCGTTACACTGGTTATCTTCACTTGAGTAGATGACCCCTGTTGATTTTGCAGTCACAAGGCCAAAGGTCAAATGACACAGACACTACAGATGGAATATTGTCAGCTATCTCAGAACCATTTACTTTCCAGACATCAATTTTGGTACACTGACACCCTCTAAGAAGTAAATTGCCCTAATGATATCAAGGTGTGATAGAGATCAGTCTTTATTATGCTTGCTCCTGACTTGTAGATGACCAATTGTTATCACTATCATTACATTCTAAATTTGAAATTGTTCCCTTTTTAATATACATGTAGTTACATGGGGGCATGTATGTTTCTCAAACATTTCTTTGTTTCATTTAGATTACTGTATACAGGGAAATTTTCGCCCCCGTTTTATTTTCACCCCTTTCGCCCTAGACGCAAGTGGGCGAATTTAAGACTGGACAAATTCAAAGAAAACAGTATAATTTCTTAAACAAAACTGTGACTGGGCGAAATCAAAATGGGGCAAAATTGTTTGCAAGTGTGAAAGGGCGAAAATAATACGGGGCGAAAATAACCCTGTATACAGTGAAACTGTGAAAGTTTTCATCAAAGTACAGCTTACTATATGCTGATGCCAGTTGTTCAACTTACATATGTATTACTGCCAATAAAAAAATAAAGGTGAACAAATCTGTTTTTGTATTATTTATTCTCTTTTCAGTGTAGATGGCTCTCCTCTAAAAATAAACAAAACAAAAGTATTTCATCTCTGATATCATTTTCATGGATACTCTTTTATGTGTAATACCTTTTCACATATTTAATATATGAATTCAGAACAGAAATACATGTACATGTAATCCAAAGAGAACCTTCGTCCTAAGTCTAGAATTTAAAACTCAAGGCTGAAACGGAATCTTGAAAAGTAACATGTTCCAAGGCAAGAAACTCAGATCAATTTAAGACAATTTTCTCAGACAAAGCAGTTGATTTAAATAGAACATTTATAACAAAGAATAAAATAAGCAAGATAAAAATTATGACTTTAACAATGGAATGACAGACATATTGACAAATTTTGCATTTAGCAATAGCACAGAGAAATAATGAGCATAATAATACATGTATGTATGGGGACTCATGAAGAGACCTAAAGGGAAACAATTCCTTTATAATTGTTTATAGTATGTTATTAAGATGAATGTATGTATTGTATATGGCTAAAGTTTCCATGTAGGATAGTCAATTATTATTTAATTTCACTGTTGTCTTGAAGTTTAGCATATTGGATCAGTTTTTCCATAAAAGACTAAAAGAAGATCAAAACATATGTTTCTTGAACACATCTAGAATCTTTCAATTTAGCAATACTTCTGTAATGGTGTTCATTTTGCTGCCTAAAATAATGCCATCTCAAGTGACAATCAACTTTACCAATGCTGTAGTTAGTTTCAGTGCAAAAATAAAAAATAAAATTGAGAACATAACAGTTCTGGGATTGTATCTATATACTAAAACCTTTGGGACAGTTACTGGTACTTCATGGCAAGAAAACTGTGAGCAGTGTAAAAAAAAAAATCTACATAAATCTTGATTCTCATAACAGAACCATTAATCCTCTTTATCTAAAGACATCAGTGAACAAAAATGAGTGTTTCTATAAGAAATCAAAAGGCACATGATCATGTCAATGTTTAATCTCTCTCTCTCTCTCTCTCTATTTCTCTCTCAGATGCTATAAAAACATATAGTATGCAACAAAAAAAAATCTCATAGAATACAAAAAAACCTCCAAGGAATGGGTTAAAATAATAAAGTACAATATACTATAACACTATCAAATCATATCACAAACTGTGCATACATAAATATCAAGGAGGGATATAGTTTTTGCTATCATAAACCTATATTGCGTAATTCTCTCAATAAAACATAACTGGAATACAAGCCAAGGGTATAAGATGTATATTTACTTCAAATAAGAAAAGAGGGAAAGATTTGAATAAATAAAAAAATCAGGACTATTGTTTTCTCCTAACAGAAAAAAGTTTTAAAACTGTTTGTGTAATGCAAAGCAAATATGTCTGGCCAGCAGAGAGTGAAAAAAAAAATAAATATTGTGTCTCCTTGAAATTTGATTTTTTTTTTAATGAGGTATTGCAAATTAATATAAAGCACCTGCTATCTGAAAAATTCATAGCAAATAGGTATAATTGAGTATTGTTTATAAAAATGTGTAGTGAAAAATCAATACTTGCTTCGAAATGAAAAGAGTAAAATACCTTTTCTAATTCTTAAAATACACATGTAAATTCAATTCTTTCAGTTACCATTATATACATGTACCAAGTTCTACTTATGCCTGTAGAATTTTGTAACCTAAACTATCTGGTATCAATAATGGGACATCTGAGTATTTTGCAACAACTACTGCATTCTATACCAATGTTAAAAGCTAAAGGAGTAATCTTGTACTTTGGCAAAAATTTACTCAATTTACATACTACATATAGTTATGTACATGGAAGATATTTTCAAAAAATATGCAATCATTGTCTGTATACACGTTCTGGGAAGTAAATGTATGCTTGTTGCATCATAACTAAGCAAACAATTTATCCACTTTGATGAACTGTGGAAATTTTTTTTTATTAATTTGCACATTGTTGCCCCACCCCCTAAGGTCAAAGGATGTAAATTTAGGATGAAGATTTGAAATTGGCAATATTTCTTTTAATGCTTTACACATGTTAAAGATGCTTTATAATCTAATAATTTTGTATTTGAATGTCCCAGCAGTTTCATAGGAGAAGTTTAAAACGTTTTAAAGCTTACGGATGACATTTCAAAGTATGATGAACGAAGACAGACAGTATAAGGTCAGTTGTGACACTCAAGTGACCCCACAAAAAATTCAGGCAGACATCAACAAATTATTAATCTCTCTCATTTAAATGGCACCCTATTACTTGATCATATCACAAGAAAATCTTTATAAACTTATACATTAACACTCCGAATCTTTGAACCAGATCCCGGTTTGGGTGAAGGTTTTGGTCTGGTTTCACCGGTTACTGGTTGAGATTTGGTTCCCACTTGTCCTAGTGAACTGTCTGAACCAAACACTGATTTCTTGCCAACATCCATGGAATCAAACATAGCTTTTATATGAGCTACTGCAGGGGCTTCCTGCACTTTTTCAAAAGAGTCTGTTTTCTCTAAAGATGAGCTTGCCTGTACTGGTTTCTTGGGTAATTTCATTCCTGGTTTTGGAGGAGACCGGGATGGTTTTGGTCTCCTTCCATTGGAATCTTGCTCCATCACTTGTCCAGTGGATTTCACTTTAGGTAAGAGTGGTTTTCTGGAGGGTTCTTCTTTTAAATTACTTCCAAATTTAGAAACAGGATTTCTATTTTTAGCTAATGGAAAAGTCACTTCATCTTTCACCTCAGTTCCAAGTTTGGGTGATGGTCCTGCCTTTTTGTCTGCAGGACCTTTGTTTTTAAGGTATTCCTCATAGCTAGGAGGAGGTCTTTGAGGTGATTTTAATATGGGTTCCTCTGCAGCTTTTTGATTCTGATCCCCAGGGAATGCTAGTTTTTGAGCCTGCAGTGGCATTGATTTTGGTCTGGAAGGAGACTTTCCATTACTGCTGCTACTGCTAGAGCTGTTCCGGTTTGAATGTGCTGGAACCGGTGGTACCAACTGACCGTCTTTCTTATCTTGAACAAAAGCTTGAGATCGTCTGTCTGTTGTGCTGATAAGCACAGGGTTTGAAATTTCACGTGAAACACGCTCTTTGCGCATTGCGACTCCACTTCCAGAAGAATTGGAGTCTTGTCTTGTCACTGATGGATTTGAAGGATTGGAATTCTGTCTTATGACTGGTTTTAATGCAGGGGCAGGTGAAGATGGTTTAAGTGCAGCAGATGGTGCTGTTGGTTTCAAAGCAGCAGCTGATCCAGTTGGTTTAAGAGCAGCAGCTGATCCGGTTGGTTTAAGAGCAGCTGCTGATCCAGTTGGTTTAAGAGCAGCTGCTGATCCAGTTGGTTTAAGAGCAGAAGCTGGTGGTGTTGGTTTTAATGCAGTAGTTGGCTGCTTTGACACTGCTTTGGCTCCTGGTTTTACAATGGGCATTGAGGAAGGGGTAAATGTAGATGGCTGACCTTTTTCCTCTGATTTCTTGCTCTCCTCACTTTTAGATGTTTTCCTGGAGAACTTGGAAAATATGGACTTTGATTCTTTAGTATCTGATGGTACAGGATTTAACTTAACTTCTTGAAAAGAAGACTCTTGTTGTTTGTCTCGACTTGGGGGCAATTTAACAGCGACATTTTGATATGTAGCAGAGTCAGGTTCCTGTTTCCGTGTCTTTTTGAAGAATTTGGGTGGATCCGGCCTTGTGACAGGTGTTTTGGATTTGGACTGAGGTTTCAGGGCTACCTTTTCTGGACTAGTTTCTGTTTTAATCGTCCTATTGCGGGACTGAGTAGCAGTGGTACTTTGAAACACTGGTGTTGAAATATCTCTCGGAATATTTGGATTTCTGCTGTTAACCGCTGCTCCTCCAGCACGGCCATTTGCTGGTCGTTTCCAAGATGAAAGTGAAAAGCATGGTACTCTAACAAATAAAATACAATATGTATAAACAATGCATCACTGTAAATCAACAGCCTTCATTTCTATTTCACATTATTGATATTTCAAAGACAGTATAATACTTCCATACCTGTTTAAAGGAGAAATTATAATACCATAATCATGGCTTAGTTTCAGTCAGGAATTTTTAAAACAAACTGTACAATTTTCACCTGCCTGCGATATTGGACTCACCTGAACTTGAGGTCCCCTGGGTGGTTAATCCACCATTTCTTTATGGATTCCCTGTAGTAGAATGCTATGAAAGCCAAACATCCAAACACGATTATCATTGCAAAAGTCACCAGCAGTCCAATAAGTAGGTCATTGTTGTCTGTAAAAAAAAGTATATACGGTATATAAACAGGAACATCAAAATAATGGATTCTATTTGTCTCCAATAATTGTGCCTGTATTATTATAATCAATACTGACTATTAACAATTTTTGCATTTTACAACATATTATAAAATGGTGAAAAATAATGTACTGAAATCATGCACCATCACCAATGAAGCAAGTTGACCAAAAGAAAAAAATAAAATAAAAATGTATTATAATGACATGGTCTAGTCTGACACTAGGGTCTTGAAGTACCAGTTGTAAGCAGGATGTCTCATAAAGCAAATAATTTGAAATAACGACACAATGTATGAACTTACGAATCCACTTAATATCCACTAGGTGTGATTGAAATAAATATGAAAAACTTGTTAATTCATGAATATTATAAACGTTTTCTTAAACTGAACTTAAGTTCACAATTTTTGCAATTTTTACTACAGATTTCTACAATTTTTCTTATAATTTGTTTGATAGCAGTAACACCAAGTTCATTGCACAGATAGGCAGTTAAGATTTTATGGCTCTAACCTACAGATGAAAAGTAGCAGCAATTGATGTCAATGTTGGTTAACTAAATATGCTTCAACTAATAAAGGGTGAGTCTGCTTTTCTAGCTAAAACACTCAAAATTTTTGAACATGAAGTACATGTAAAATGAAGTTACTCCATGACTTTCAAAATTAAACTTCTTTTTACAAAAATTTTTATCAAATAAATCCCAAATGAAATTCTGTTCATGAAAAAAAAATAGAGAATATTTAAAATTTTTATTTATACTTTGGCAATCGTCTTATTTAATAGCAAACTTATATGTACGATAGTGCCAAACAATAAGAATTGTAAGAATTATAATTGGTAAAAGTGTCCCAAAAATGATGGCACAATACAAAGAATCCATTGAATGCACATATTTAGATGGAGTGGTTTTTCCTCCATGCCAGTCTGAAAAGAAATCGGAAACCATATCTATAATGTAATAATAAGCTATCATTATAGGAGGAAATGTCATAAATTTAGGTTCATCTCCTAATCTCCTCTGTCACTGCCAATTTCACAATCATATCTAGTTAAACCATCTGCCCTTTAGAAAAAATAACTAAACATTATAATTCAAGTCTGTTTTTAGGTAACAATCAAATACAACAATTGAAGGGGATTTTTTAACCTGGTAATGAACTGTTTTGAAGCGTTAATGGACTTCGAAGTCCCATTTAGTTTTTTTTTTTTTTTTTTTTTTTTACAAACTCTCCACTAATACAATTCAGGGAGACATTGTTTTCATCTATGCAAAAAATTCTGGTTCAGTGGCATGTCAAAATACAATGCATATTACTTAACCACACATCTGTGCATTGTACATGCAGCAATTTACATCCAAAGTCAATTTTAAGTAAATTCATTCATTAGTTCAACAATTTCTATTTTGGACTTGTTCCCACTTTTGATCATTCTGTCACTGCTGCCTTTATAATAACCAGAATCACTAATGTGTTTCTTTTGGCTTCAATGTCCTCAAATGCACATGCAGATGAGAGTTTATCAGAAATGTGCCACACATATATAACAATAATTGTAAAGAAACTGTGGAATTTTTCTAATATTGGTTTTCATGTATTTTGTTAATGCCTCAATGTATATTAAAGGTACAACAGTTGCATTAGGCAGGAGTGGGTGGGATACCTACCTTTGATTTTGATTGGACCACTGTGTAAACTGCCTCCATAACCAGGTGCATCACAGAAAGGAGGGCTGAATCCCTCATTGCAATGACACTGACCAATACTATTACACACCTAAAATATACAGGGGACATTGGTAATATATTGTCAGCCAGACAAAACATTATATGAAACTTTCAGCTCAGGTGAGCTAAAAATACATAATTTATTGTTAAGAAGAAACAACATTCGAATTACCCCATTACTGTGGCAATCTGGACATTCCCTTGAAGGTATTCTGGCTAGTGATGTACATTTATGGTTGTAGCAAATCTGTAATCAAACATAAAGATCGGTTTTTTTTTCTGTTAAAACTGAGTACACTTACCAAGTCTTGCAGCAACCTGTACCTACATGATGCTTGTGTCTATCTGCATTGTTTACCATTACTTAGTAAGTTATATTCTATTTTCTGTTTTAGGGTACTATTTGCCAGAATAGAAGTACATGGATACCCATATTTGGAAGTACAATCTCTGCTGTGAGATTTGTGATCAACTATACTTTTTACCTTGTTATGTCCACACTTGGCCCCATCTGGTACCTGCCCTGGATCTGGCATATTGAGTCCTACATCGAGTGTGGCAGAGCGACACACGTAGACCTTTGACCCCTTCTGTAAGAAGGAGGCAGGGGTGGCAATGGCTAAGGTTTCCCGCCAAAACATGAGCTTCTCATTCAGGTGGACGCAATGTAAGAGACCGCACATCACATCACTGCTGGCAAAAAGTTAGAAATAAGGTGTGATGATACAGTCCTAAACTCAGATGTTGTCATAATATATCAAATCGTTAGGTATCAAGTCACCATTAAAGACATTTATCCTTTTTATTAAATATATATAGAGGATATTCAATGTTTTGTTGTTGTATATGGAGTTTATTTCACGATTAGGACAGGACTTTTTTATTTTTTATATTTTTACGAGTGCAAAGCACGAGTGAAAATATAAAAAAAATTCTGTCTCACGAGTGAAATAAATTCCATATCCAACTAAATCATTGAATTTTCTGATTATTACATTTTCTTTGATTTTCCCTTTGCCTCTGTTTTTTCTCAACACAGTGTCATAGGCTGTGACGTCACAGTTGAGCAGTTAAGACGTCATAGTGTAGCAGTTGTGAGATTGAAAACATTGCAACATGAATTTTAGCAACATATTTGGGAAGAAATTGGCAATTTTAGTCTCTATCAAGATGGTTTAGTTTCTATCTCTATCTTATTACAGGCCAGAAATTATTTTTACTTACTTTGATATCCTTTCAAACTGTGAAAGAATATCGCTTTGGTATCCTTTCACACTTTGAGAGAATATCCCTTTTATTCAATAAATAAATCATAGTATTTCACTCTTGAAAATGTAAAGAAACACAGTATACCAATACTAAGCAAAGATGCACCTGTTTTAGTACCACTGTCAGCTAGAGGCACCTGTCCTCAGATAGGAAATTGATGATAGCCACTGTTGAAACCACCAGTATTAAAACTAATGGTGTATTTCTTTTAAGGGTTGGTATTCTTAAATTTATTTCTAAGAACTGATTTTAATAAAGAAAAATCATGAAACTAATAGCATGCTTACTCTTTGTCACAGCGGGTAAATCGATTGGTCTTCAGATTATACCCACAATTCCCCGTTTCAGAGCCATTCACGTTGAGATGCTGGAAACATATGGGATCAGACACCCTACCGGTAGCTCCCCAGAGCAGACGACATTGTCCTGTGTGTGTCTTACACTTCCCATTCAAACAGTACGACTGTAAAGAATGAAAACAGTGTTTGTATACAACAAATGAAATATACTGTATACGGGGTTATTTTCGCCCCATCTTAATTTTGCCCTTTCACACTTGCAAACAAATTTGCCCCGTTTTAAATTCGCCCAGTCACAGTTTTGTTTAAGAAATTTTACTGTGTTCTTTGAATTTGCCCCGTTTTAAATTCGCCCATCTGTGGGTAGGGTGAAAGGGGCGAAAATAAAACGGGGGCGAAAATTTCCCTGTATACAGTATGTATATACATATTCAAATTCTGAGCTAGGAAAATAAAAATGTTTAAGACTGAAGAAAACGTGCAATTATAGCATCCTGCTGATACCTGCCTAACGTGTCAACCTTATATAGGTACAGTTGAAGCATTTAACTGGTACCACAAACACTATGGCCATCCACATTCTTTGATTCACCAAATAAGCTTTATACTATAAATAGCCTTAACAATTTACCAATCAAGTCCCATATCTACCATCTCTGATTAACTTTAAACTTTGGTATCCTAAGCCACTGTCAATCCCCTCATGTCATCAAATCATTCTCTTTGATTCTTGCCACTCTACTGGTACCTTATTACATGTCCATTACCACATTCTAGCTTCCCCCCTATGGGGTACCTACCTGTCCATTACCACATTCTAGCTCCCTCCCTATGGTTTCTACCTGTCCATTACCACATTCTACCTTCCTTCCTATGGGTACCTACCTGTCCATTACCACATTCTATCCCATTCTTCCTATAGACATCAGATGGACAATATTCTGACTCTCCATTACAGAACTCGGGTAGATCACACTCCTCATATGCTCCTCGACACAGAGTGGCTCGGGGCTTCAACTGCAAGATCGGGTATAAATAATACATTTAAATAAAATCACAGGGACAAAAAATAGCAAATGTCTCATGTTTTCAGGTACCATTATACTGATCTTAAATATATTCATTTTAAGTTCAGGACAGGGTAGGGTTGGTAATTTCTGCTGGTGTCAAATTTTTCATTGCCTGGATCAAAGCCAGATAATTTCAATCACATACCTTCTAAATGCCTGATTGTATGGAATCGCAAATAATTGAAAACAAGGTTATTTGAATGCAACAGTTCCTTTCAAGAATCATATTAAAAAACTTCACTCTGTAGAAATTATATGTAACACATTATCAGCCATTTTAGTGCTGACTAATATATCAAAATTTTCCTTACTGTACAAGTGTTGGTATCACAGCACTTTCCTGTTGCACACACAGCCCCTGGTGAGAGTTTGCAGGTTAAAGCATTACAGCAGGTTGTCTTACACTCCTAACAAAAAAAATATCATTTCTTAATTGAGGAATTGATGTTGTGGTGAAGTTTTAATCATAAATTCATTACGATTAAAACATTAAATTAATTAAATTCATAGTGTAAATTATTTTTCTCTCAATATAATAAAAGCTTTTTTTTCAAATTTTATCAATTCAAGGAAAATTATACATGTACCAGGTATTTCAAACCTTCAGTGTTTTGCACAATAATAAAACTTTAAACAATTGAGCTACCAAATTCATCTTTCTTTTAGTGTCTTCTGCTTCTGAAATGCATTCTCAAATACTACAAAATTCTCTGCCACATCTTTCTATAAAAAAAAATATATACCCCTTTTATTCCGCAGTCACATTCCTCCCCCGGCTCTACGAAGCCGTTCCCACAGACGGGGCCCTCAAACAACTTGTCTGGCTTGTTCTTCAGGCAGTAGTCCATACCGATCTCAAAATTCTCCGCCAGAGCAATCTGGGAACACGAGGACCACTTAGTGGGCGGGGAAATACTGAAACAGAGAATACATATCAACTTACTCTAATATTTGATATGAAGTTAATATTGAAGATTTCTATTTAAATCCTTTCTCAACTCAAAGAGAATTGATGGTGGAAATCTACTTCCATTTCCCTTCAAAATCAACCCAAGAAAAAGACATGTACATGTATAGAACCTCTGTCAACTGTTATTTATAAAAGTACAAAGAACATTGTTTGGGCTTTATTTTAAAAAAATGAAATTATAGATCATTACACTATAGTAAAAGGCTCAAGTTGCTCCTAAAACAAACATAGACAAATGGGAAGAGCCAATCTTTGCTCAGGAAAGCTCGACTGAGATCTTGGCTCAGATAAAAATTGTTTTCCATACAGTCATCTGATTCTCAGCTGTTCTATTCTTGACCAAAATCTTAATTTTGACACTTACCCTGCTTGTGTAGGAGCCATTATACACTTGTCATCAGGACATTTACAAAAGGAGTAGTTATCATGAGCCATTCCCAGATTGTGTCCAAGCTCGTGGGCCACAGTGGTGGCTACCTGGATCAGGCGATTGTTTACATCCTGTCAGGTAAACAAATAATTAAAACAGGTAAACAAATCATTGGAACAGGTAAAATTTACCTACTGATACATCTCACATTACCAAAAGCATTATTGTATACTTGTATATCATTATACATAACATGAACATCCCAAGCTACAATCATTCTATATACTGAATAACTTTTAAATTATAAATTTTATAGTATATTGAAGACTTTATCCTGAATGATATTGTACTAGTCTTTCTTAATTCATATTAATAGTTTAAATGATAGAAGAAACATTTTTCACTAAAGCAGATATTTCACAGATGCTTGATGATTACTGTATACAGCTTTGATTTCTGACTTGTTTTCATCATGTTTAATTTCAACTTTTTCTTCAAGATTTATTTACACTTGAATTAACATTTTTCAGTCACTATTGTTTAAATTCGTGTATATATCATTCTTATTTTTTTTCATCTGTTTCATTTTCAGAGTTTTGTGGAATCTCAAATTATATGAAACTGCAACAAAAATAAAGCTATTTACAGTATGTGTGGCATACATAATTGAATTAAAACAGTTACAGCAGTGATACCAAGAAAGGTTAATAATGTGTAGTACTGGATCAATTGAAACATGTCTTACATGTTCAGCTTGTCATGCACATGGAGGTGTATAATAAAACAGTAAAAAATTTAAGATTAATCAAAGAGTACCTCCTTTGCTGGATTTGACAACCCTAATACATTTTATGCAATTTTCATTCAAGTAGTGTATGTGCATCTAAATGTGGAATAGATATGTTACTATGATAAGAATAAAAGTAATATTACATGCATTGTTATATATCAACAACAAACATGCATATGTCTATCATAATTCATTTACAATATTTAACAGTTGCATTCTAATGATACCTAAAAGTACATTAGAAACTCATTCTGTAAAGCAAAATTGTTCAGAGCCGAGTTGCCGGGGAGGGTTTTAGTGACTTTTAAAAAAAACAAATAACTACCGCATCAGATACCACACCACCAGAAGAGCTAAATGTACATATAGTGTTAACAAAAGCTCTCCCCAGTATGTTATCAGTAAACTGCTGGCCACTACAACAAAACAAGCAAGTAAATGTGTTAATGTTCACACGACACACAAAGTGACAAGACATGTGACTGCATAAGATGCCAGGTTCTGTCTTAAAGCAAAAATTCCTTTAAAAACTTCTGATCTACATTTGTTTGGTTAATTTCCTTTATAATCCTTGGAAAAGTTTTGAGAACCTTTTCACATCTAGATACTACTTATGCATTCACTGATTAAAAATTAAAAAGAGAGTGATTATTATGTTAACACCTGCCGGAAAAGCAGGTAAAGGTTCTCATTATGCATGTGTCTATTTTTATAAAAGTACACAGCTAGCAAGGAAACAGTATCAAAACACTGGCATTTTCTCCAATCAATGTTGTCTTGTCAACGTAAATGAAAAAGTGCATCTCTGTTTACCGTGGATATGCCTGCGGAGTACTTATGGGTGCAGATTGAAGCTTTCATTGCTTTGCCTACCACGCCGTCATTAAAGGGCATGCCACTGAAATGTACTCATAGCTTTAACCACTAGCTAACACTCTGGCTTATGGCTTACACATGAACTTTACTTATCTCCTGAATGATTAATGAGAAGACAAAAACTAAAGCAAAGAAAAAAACCTAATTATCTGCCAATTGAATGTACTTTTAACGACAATATGCAGTTGCATGTCATGGATAGACATGTAATCAATGTGTGCAGAGTTTTACGTGGCTTAATTTGAATTTTCATTTAATCATAAACATTTAAACTGCTTTCTCATTCAAGGGTTAGAACCTAGACCTTTTGCTTGACAAAAGTTTATTAATTATACAATTTAATTCTAATTGTAAAGTGCCATGTGATTGGGTAGAAAATTTACTTTATATCGTATAAAAATTGTACATGTATTGCCTATGTCACAATGACTTGTGTCAAAAAAATATCAATCCGTCTGATGTTACAATAAAATTTTGTACAATTCTAAGTCATTTTTTAAGAGTAATTGTCTGACTTTTTACACCATTTTGTGGTTTATACAGTGTAAACTGTCCTATCCAGGTTATACATTTGTTGTCTAAATTCTGTGGGGTAGTTTTCTTCCATTGGTTTGCACTTTCTCTTTACATTCTAATATACAGTCACTGACTTGATAAGAATTATAAAAAAACCCATTTACTTTATATATATATTTTTAATGGAGAAAGAGGATAGTGTGGATAGCATCTTGCTACAAAACAAAAAACTATCAGTGAAAAAAATTAGATCTTCTTTGTTTGAGCTTAATACCAATTCCTTTAATTAAAATATCAACTTCTTCATTATATAATAGTCAGAAACTTTTACACAAAGACACTGGACAGATGCATGAATTGCAGACTCTTTTTCTCCCAGGAGATGTCTGCATATGCATACAAGCTGTGCCCCCAATTACCATGGCATAAGCTCTGTTTGAATTTTGTTAAAAATGTTTTTGAAATGAATCTGCATTTCTAAACTTATTGTCAATAAATTAAACATATTTTGAGTATCCTAAACACTTCATATTAAAATTTTAAAAATGCTGAAATGTGTACTCACTAAAAAAAATAATATTTAAACAAATGAATATATGATACATTCTACTTTTCTTCTCTGTATTTAATTGACTGAATTGCAGTAGATGACTCTATGAGAACTTACGTGATCAGCTGGGCATTGTCATTTTCATATTTAGGGTTGATGCTATATTTTCTATAGTTGAGGAACTCCTCCAGTGTGTTATTAGCCTGAGATGTGATTCGGATCTTGTCCGTCGTCCAGATTTCTACTCCCACCAGAGCAATGTAGATGTTCAAAGGGTTATAGAGCTAAAATTGGGTAAGAGAAATTATATCAACAAAGCATACAATAATGAGGCTAGGCACAGCACTGCATTTTCTATCAACATTTCATACGCTCCTAAAGACAGGTATATCGTTATGTTTACCAAATAAAATCTATTCTCCAATTTCAATTTGAAGAATTAGAAGATTATGTTACATTGTATTTGATACATTTATTTTAATTCATTATTGACTTTCAATCTATAAAAATTATCATAAATAATTTGAAGGATATTTAGTTCTTGTGTCCAAGATTCACATTTTGAACTACTTCTGTTCATTAAGATGGAATGTAAATTGAATTATAGCAGAGACAAACAGGACAAATGGCTTTAAAATGTCAATGTAATGTTCATGTCTGAACAATTTCCATCCAAAAACTTTTTTTAGTCTGTTCTATTACATAAGCTGAAAAAACTCTACAATGAATTTAGCCATGATTCATAGACAAATAATGAAATTTTATTTGCAGTGATAAGGCAGTACATGTATTGACCTTTTCAGCTATACTGATATCATCCATCTATAAGGATTCCATTAAAATATCAACTTTAAATATTGCAGTTAGAGACTAACTACACCACTGTATTGCATAATGTATATTTGCATCTCATTGATCAAGTTCCTTGAGTTATAGAGTACTCAGACCTAAAAACAAATACTTATCATCACTTTAAACTCGTGTGACATTGAGGATACTTCTCTGTACCATTCACAACTGGCATGTGACACAAGGTCACCGGAGGTCAAACCTGAATGAACTTATCAGACACTCCAGGAAGAGAAGTGGAAGGTAATTGACAGAAGTGCATTCTGAATTTAATTACTTCACTTCAGCTACTTCTCAGTTGAGAATTTGAGAATGATAATACAAGTCCTCAAGTTAATCCAGTGAGTAAATTCAGTCAATTTTTAATTACCCCTGGCCAGAAGGAAAACAAAAATGCCTTTAGTCCCCAAACAGTGAAACCAAAGGGGACTAAAGGTTTCCTTTCCATCTGTCAATCTGTCAGTCTGTCCCACTTGGTTTTATGGACCTTTTTTGTAGACACTTGCATATATTCAGCTGATTTTGGGTATGTGTCTTAATTTTGGTATGATGAGTTAAAGATCATGTTTGCATTTGATTTCTGAAGGAATTACAGCCCACACCAATAGGGCACTTGCACATGCAAAACTCTCAGAATGCTTCTTAACTAAATAGTCATGTCTAGCAAGAAACCTATGCGTATTAATGACTCTGAATAAATGTTTTAAACTTTTTGTCTGTCACATTTGTCAAGAGCAATGTTAAAAGGTGTGAAGTTTGATAATATTTCTCAAGTTGTCAGCGATTTGCACAGCACTGTTGTCAAGATGTGAATCAATGAAATGTTTCTAGTTATATGATTCACACTGCTAAGTGCAATGTCTGTTATAAATTAAATATATTGGACATAACAATTTCTTCCTCATTTGTAATTCTAAAATATCTGAGAGTTGAATTGGTAAACTCTGACATACCTTGCTAACAATATTCACAATGTCTTTAGCTCTTTGAATGACCATGCTATCCTGTCGACTGTACGTACGGTACTGAAAAGATGAAAAAAGAGTGAATTAAATGTTCTGTACAAACATCATGCAAAATACCATAACTTTCTCTTAAAGGAATCATAAAGAGGCACAAGTATTTTACACTCCGTCTGATGTTAGTTCATCATTTATTTCTTTGAAAATGAAATCATGAAATAAGCATATTAAAAGTGACTACCAAAAGAAAAAAGCAGAATTGATATAAAGAATTGAATGAAGAATGTAACACAGGTTAGGAATACCAGTCTTTGGTCCGTAACGATGTACATCTCTACAAACCGGGCATTATTATTACTGTCATAGGGACCACGAATTTCTCGTCGGACCTACAATGACAGATTTCAATTATCAAATGCAAAAGACACAAACAAGAGTGGTACAAAAGCATTCTATTATAAAGTTAGCTCAAAATTAGACAATGGAGAAGACCATCGTTATATATTCAATATGTATCCTTAGAACATTTCCAAATTATTATTTAAAATGTTTCCTTGGAGAACTTACTCTATGAAAGACATCTTTGGTATGTAAATAATTTAATGTTGCATTTGCATGCAAACTGGAATGTTTTAATTTGTCACCTAAAATAGAGAAAAAATTAATCAGAAAATCATTTCCTTATCATGGTAAATGTTACAATTGCATATATATCTATGATAAATTTTACACATCTGAGAAAAAAAATCTTGAAACATTGCTACAAGGCAATTTCAACATTCAAATCACCTCATAAATCAAATATGAATGGAAAATATTTTGATTCTCTGTATATTAGTCAAATATAACATGATTTACTGATATATAAGTTTTTGCAGTATATGTCAAATCTTTAACGAAAGCATGAAATTTTTTGACATTCATATAAATTTTGCAATATTCCATGTCTGAGGGCAACACTGAGCATGGGAATTTGGAATTTTTGCAAATTCACTTACACTCCAAAATACAACAAAGTTGAAAAAAGCCATAGATATGCAGTATTTTCATTATTTCTTGCATACACTTTGATTAATGTAACCAGACTTGATATAAAGACAAACCTCTTCTCTGGAATGGAGTGGGTCGATCATCGGGTTCTATATACAGTTTGTGACGTCCCCGACCATACTCTCGAGAAGGGTCAATATGATAAGAGACTCTCCCATCTGATATCAAGCCCCTGTAGAAAATAAGAAAACATCAGTTAAGAATTGGGATCTCAACATAACTAGCCTGAAAATGACATTAGGAACATTTCTGTGGCAAAAAGATTTTTTAGGTAAAAATACAATTGACTGGTATATGTCTAAGCCATGTAAACTTTTATCAACAAATAAAAAAAAATAGATTTTTACTTAGACTTTAAATAATAAAATGAAACATTTCCCCTGGGTCAAAAAAGAATGATTTTACAGCATACTGAGCAAAGTGTTTGGAAACAAACTACTTTTTAGCTTTTCATATTATACATGTATCACACTTCAATAAAGAAGAAACCTTTCATCTTTTTTTCTATAAATAAATGATAATTATAATATCAATATCTCTTTTAAATCGAAATACACTAATACAGTCATGATAACCCCCCTAAAGGAGTTATCTCCCTTTGCATTAAATTCTTAGTAGATTATCTCCCTTGAAGTAGTCATTAGAACACTAATTATCAATTTTAAAACTCTTATCAAAACTCAGAATCCCCGAACCCCTGTAAGAGATTTCATCTTGTGTCTATCTGTTCTCAATCATGCCATAAACTAATCCATCTATGTCTACAAATGAGATACAAATCTTATCAAGGCTCCCTGATGTCCAAACATAATACAAATCTTTGTCTGATATATATATATACACATATAACCCAATGTCTGTTTTCATTTACAGGTTATTTCTCTTCCTAGGCTGCCATGACCCATCTTTCATCACCAGGGTGAAAATGCTGACCAATCTCTTCACAATCTGAAGCTTAAGCTACATGTTTATTTGTTTCCTCTTGATGGAGTGAGAAAAAGCCAGATAGGAAACACATTTAACTATATTTCCTTTTCTCAGTTTGTGTTTTCCCCTCCAGGAGATGTTTCTTTATATCAATAAAAGATCAAACAAAAGTGGAGGCATTAAGAGCATCCTACCCAGGAAATCATTTGAGGTCAGATAGGTCGGCTAATACCTCTTTAATTAGCTAGTATGGTCTCCATATACTTTCTTTGATTCTGATATTCCATGATATACATTATTTTATAATAAATATTTTTTAAAAAGTCTTAGAACAAAGTACTTTTATCATAAACAAACAAGACGCTCTCCCTCACACTTAACAAAGACCTTGAAAATATATCATAAAAAGCAATCTCAAATACCTACCTATCTAAAAGTCTTACAAGAAAAACACACTTAATAAGCCTCTGACAGCCTAGCCTGTACAGAGAGATGGGGCTATTTCACTGTTTTATCCTAGAATTGAAAAAGTTTTTTTTTTAAATACATGTGCAATTTGAGTTGGATTTAGGCATATTCAAGTATTATCTGTTCTTTAAAAAATGAAAATAATGCAAATTTTTGAAAAACAACAGAAAAATTAAAACTTGCAGAGTTGGCAGCTCTATGCAGGTTGATGCTGTGTTTTTTTATTTTTAGACATTTCTTGCTTATATCATTCATTGCTGCATCTGACATGCAGTGGGAGTGCACAACTGTGGAGACTACACATGGCAATATGCAATGTCTGAAGAACTAATTAAACAAATAACCTCTCCGTGGATTTACTAGAATTGCCCAACTGTCTCTGTCTTGAATATTCAATGTTTTGTATGTGTGATACCTGCTTTCATTTTCAATGCACCTCCATTTCATGCAAATATTATGACTGAAAGATGCAAATATCACAAGACTTGTGTACCTCTAAACAGAGATGAATCAATATAGACAAGGCAAAAATAAGAGAACTCTCTGAGGAATAAATCAATTAGAAGTCACGGGATCTAGTGATTTCAACTCTAATTATGTTATGCCAACAGTAATTACAATGGCTTCTGAATCATTTACAATACTGTACAAATGTATTCACTGAAAATTGCTATATTGTCCTTCTCACATTTTCTTTTTTTAATCTACTCACTCTATAAATTAAATAAATACATTTTGCATGACAGACACATATCATAGGTGTCAGAAGCAAATTGAAAGTGGGGTGGCTAATTGAAAGTGGGGGGGGGGGGGGGGGCTAAACCAATGAAAAAAGGTAAGCCCCAATTTTCAATGCCTATATTAAGTCTATCTTTGCAAAAAAAGTGGGGGAGCTAAGCCCCCCTAGCCCCCCCTGTTCCGATGCCTATGCATTTCATAATTGTTTTCTTGATTTCCGTGTGATAATTGGTATGTTATTGAACGTAAATTTACAAATTAAAATAATTCCAAAAATAGTATGTAAATAAATATATTAATTTCTACATTTTTTAAAAATGTTAATTTAGGGTTGGTTCTAAAGAATATAGCACATTTAATAAATATATTTATGATGCAAGACACTTAGCTAAATGTGTGCACCAAAGGTAGGTGATTAAAATGTTTTTGAAAAATTTGACACGACTGCATAATTCCCCCCTCCAATGCCCCACCCTCTGAAAATTGACAATTTATAAAGTAAACATCACTTTTTTTAATTGTTTAAGCTTCTCAAGTAATGTCCTCACCTTATCCCATCACAGGTGCTAACAGCTACTATGGAATGTTGAAACCCACGGAGTGAACCATGGTAAAAACAGTGAGAAGACTCCTGCAAAAGATTAACTTTTTTTTTGATAATATTAAGACTCCATATCTTTATTTTTATGCCCCCGGATCGAAAGATCCCAGGGGTATATTGTTTTTGTCCTGTCTGTCTGTTTGTCTGTTTATCTGTTTGTCTGTTTGTCCGTTTGTCTGTTTGTCTGTCTGTCTGTTGTCAACTTTAACCTTGCCCATAACTTTTGATTGGTTGGAGCTATGACTTTCATATTTCACATGTGTATTCCTTGTGACAAGACCTTTCTTTGGGTACCATCATATTTGACCTTTTGACCTTGACCTTGGAGTTTGACCCACTTTTGCAAAATTTTATGAGACTGTAACCTTGGCCATAGCTTCTGAACAGTTGGTGCTTGGGGTTTCAAACTTCACATGTGTATTCTTTGTGACAAGGCCTTCCTCTGGATACTGACAACTTTGACCTTTTGACCTTGACCTTGGAGTTTGACCTACTTTTGAAAAACTTTAACCTTGGCCATAACTTTTGAATGGTTGGAGCTAGGGCTTTCATACTTCACATATGTAATCCTTGCGACAAGACCTTCCTTTGGATACCAACCACCACTTTGACCTTTTGACCTTGACCTAGGAGTTTGACCTACTTTTGAAAAACTTTAACCTTGGCCATAACTTTTGAATTGTTGATGCTAGGGCTTTCATACTTCACATATGTAATCCTTGTGACAAGATCTTCCTTTGGATACCAACCACTTTGACCTTGACCTTGACGTTTGACTTTTATTTAAAAAACTTTAACCTTCGCCATAACTTTTGAACAGTTGTATCTAGGTCTTTCAAATTTCACAGGTGTATTCCTCGAGACAAGACCTTTCTTTGGGTATCAACATTTTTTGTCTTTTGGCCTGGATTTTGACTTGCATTTGAAGAAACTTTAACCTTCGCCATAAGCTGCCATACGGGGGCATCAGTGTTTCACAAACACATCTTGTTCTTTCTAGAAATCCAGGAATTTTAACCTTGCCAGGAAATAAGTATTAGTCCATGTGTACCAAAAATGTCTGAGCATTGATGATTGAAGTACAGTAAAATGAACATGCTTATAATGAATTCAAGCTTACAGCAATGATTTTCATTCCTAGAGGTTTTAAAACGTATCGTGAAATTAACAGATACATGTATAACGAATTACATTTATAATGAAGCAAAACTGTTCATCCCTGGCACTTTGCTATCAGCGTGTTTTACTGTGCATGTGTACCAACGAAAGGTATTCAATTTTCACCTTTACAGTTTACTACATCATTTCAAAGTTTATCAATTTTAATACAAATAATACACAAAATTTAACACTGCCTACTTCATTTTATTCATTTAGATACATACCTCTATATTAGGCTTGTGTATAGTATATCTGTGTGCATCATGAAATTTCTTTTCTATGAAATTCTTTGAAAATAAATACCTACAAAATAAATAAATAAAGATTTAATTATTCCATACATATTACCACATAAATGTTTCGAGCAGATGAACAATTTTTATGCCCCCGGATTGAAAGATCCCAGGGGTATATTGTTTTTGTCCTGTCTGTCTGTTTGTCTGTCTGTCTGTTGTCAACTTTAACCTAGCCCATAACTATTGCGCTGTCAAGTGTAAGGCTTTAATATTTGACATGAGTGTTCATTATGACAAGACCTTTCCATTGGTACAGAAATTTTTGATCATGCGACCTCAACTGTGACCTTTGACCTACATTTGAAAAACTTTAACATTGGCCATAACTATTGCACTGTAGTCTACGTCCCACTCCAGAATTGTGTTACCATGGGGGGCATAGTGTTTCACAAACACATCTTGTTTTCAATAAAAAAAATAAAGCTGCTACTTTACTAAAAAAATATCTTTATTATAAATCTCAAAACAATAAAGAATCGCTGACTGAAAAATACTGATAAGTAAATGCGTTCATATACATGACAGCTAGCCCCTGGCAGTGCTGCTGCCATAATCAAATGTCATAAATAAAGAATATTTCTCAAAAAAAAGGAGGGGGGATCACATTATTCAATTTTAAAATTTTTTTATATCAGTAATGTAATAATTGAACAGGTGTTTATGAGATGACACCTGCATAGGCAGAAACTATTAAATTAAAGAACAAAGACCCTGACAGATGCAAGGGAAACCAAGAGTTCAGAGCTTGGTTAGTGTTCATTAAGATTCACACATTCTAGTAAGTATCCCGGCTCTGTCTTTAAATTATGCATGCTAGAAGCCATAATGGACAGGCCAGTGAAAAAGTCACATCTCTGGCTAAATCAATACACGAGCCTCCTTCTATTAACCTAATTTAGTTGCCCCAAGTCATTATTTAATTTCCACACTATCAGTATCTAGACCTTAATAAATGTTTATGTGGCGTATCTAAAACAAAAGAGCCTTATAAAAATCCAGCTGCCCTGAATGCACTACGATACCTTTTTGTGGTTCAATAACATAGAAAATGGTTCGATAACAAAGAAAATGTGTCAGGAATCTTTAAATATTTCTAGGCAATGCCCTCCCTAATGATTCAACAGACAAATAAATCTGTGATGAAGGGATAATCTCTCTCTCCTGTTATGTAAACAAATGTCTGTACTTCAGCTAGAACTAGACTAAATGATGATGCCCTGTCATTCAGCAACAGAGAAGTCATCACAGATCATAGCTTTAACAGCTTCTCATGCTAAACCTTCCTCTCAGCTGTTCTGTGGGGGAGATCTGTTTTTCTCATTATGAACAGATATAATAGGCTTATTGATATACCGGTATAGATATATAGGCTTATTGATATATTTTATTTTCCTTCTTAAAGATTTTTTTCATATTATTCCATTGTTTTAGAAATATAATGCACGTTTTTTTTTTTGATTAGCAGTATTTAAACTAAGATAAATAAGAAATACTTTTTAAGCATCTCCAGAAGTTCATTGAATTCTACACAAATTAAACCATATTCTTTCTTAAGTGTCAATATATCATCTCAACTCCGCTGGGATAATGACAGCCATATATATAAGTACCCATCTGATGTGGTATTGTCAATAATATATATACTAGCAGGTATGTTTCAATCTCAGCAAAGACTGGAAAAATAATTTAGAAGAGATTGGAATATTGAAGTCATTTGAATGGGACTATATACACAGAATATAAGTTTGAGTTAATATCCCTTAGCATTTGGGGTCATAGTACTTGTCTTGTATATTCTGTATACAAATTCAAATATAGTTCTGTATCACTCCAGCAAAATATTTTTTTTCTCTCCTTTTTTCACTATGAAAGAATTTCATCCACATGTTTGAGAAATCAACTAATGCAGTAATTGGATGAATGATGATCAGAAACTTAATATGAAAAAATAATCTAATATTTACTTTAAATCAATAACACACCCAGTTTTTGATTTGCTCATAATATTACTGGAGAACAGCTGTTATGCTGTAGTTTTTTCTTCAAAATTTTTTTGTTATGTTTAAGATGAAAAAGATACAAAAAATTCTATATAAACAGATGAAACTACACCAGACAATCTGTTTGTCTTGCTTTTCGAAGTTAGATAATCTACTATGGCATCTACAGGGAAAAACCTGAAGCTTATCAAACTTAAACACTACCATCTCCTGCATACTGACAATGGCCTGTTTCACAAATGCCCAAGAAAAAAATTAAATATACCCAAATGCTCTGTTTTCTAATAACAAGAACACTTGATGTTACATGTATATGTGTTTCTATTTCTATTCAGAATTCACATATTTTCATATTCCGAGTGACATTTGCAGAGAAGTTTATGCTATTATACACGACACATTAATTACGACTGGCCTGACACATATATAAATATTCATATCATTGTGATCATTCCTATGCATGTTATGGCCACTAAAAATAGCTCATCACAAAAGTTTTACCCCTACGCCAGCATAATGTTTTGTGACTCTCATACAATCACAAGTTGTATACATGACTGAGCTCATTAACTGTATGTACACATTCAAATTTTTAAGAGCATGTTCATCCTCCCTCCTTCCTCTTCAGCATCCATTGTATGTCCTTGAGGGACTGTTCGGCTTAATTGTTACTAGACATCTTACAGAAGATGACTGGCCAAAAGTTTCCTGCCTTAATCACAGATGGGGGTTATATGCTTTCTGGGTTAATAACCTTTTGGGTGACCTAACCAATCTTAGATCATTTTATCTCCTTTAAGTGAATTATACTGCATCAATGGAGATCTGAATTTAATCCCTTCAATGATGCTTCACTTCATTTTATGAATGGTTCATCTTCTTTATCTATATGTACTCAGTTTCCTTGAGCAAAGCATACAGTGGCATTTCCTCTCCAATGCAGAAAATATACATCCAGGCTATCAGTAACAGTGTATCCATGCATTTTGAATTGGTATATAAATTACAATACCATGTCATGTGAATAGATATTAAGTCACAGTGTTAAAATTTTTGAATTATAGACTTCCAATTTTAACATAAAATGAAGAGACTATGTTGAAAATCTTAATTTACAAACCTGAACTCTATCCTACTACTGAAAACATGGGTTTTTACTTGCCCATATTTTGATCACTTTATAATATAGGCTTTCCTGGGTTTTTCATGCCTGGATCATAAGGCCAAAGGATCATCAAACCTTGTCAGTTAATGCCAGATGCCTCTAAGGGAAGGTGTGTCACAACTTAAAAGTAGGTCACTGTAACCTTATTTTGAAGTTTATTGGCTGTACATGCAGTCAAATTATTTTTGGGTAGCATCTTGCACTGTATGATACCTAGAATCATCAAACCTTGTAATTTGCAGATCTTGAGGAAAGTGTGTTGTGACTTGAAAGTAGGTTTCTGTGACCTCATTTTGGGATTTTCTGGCTGTACATAAGTAACATAACCCAAAACTGTATGCATCCATGCCAGTATTAGGATGCAGAATTTATTCAGTAAATTATATAAAAATACCACTAAAACCAGATTCCATACATGGACCAGAAACTAGCAACTTATAACTCAGTTAATTAATATCATTCACATGCCTATTTTTCTAGAATCCTGAGAGATGGACTAATATTACAATGGATTAAATGATTTATCCTTGTCAAAAACAATTCAATTCTGTCATGGTCTGTTTGCCTGCATTTTGGATAATACTTTGCAGTATCTTTTTTCTTCTGCACAATTTACTACAAATGATTTGATGAACCAATTTTACACTGCAATAGATCAATTGTAATCTTCTCAATTTATTTAGGTTTTTTCTTCTACTTCATCAGAGCAAACATACAAGTACCCTCCTTATAACCTATATATACCACACAAAATACAATCAAATCATACTTAAAGGTCTACTGTAGCATTTGGGCGAAAATGGCATGAAGTTTCTGCCAAGTCATCAAATTTCTGAAGCTCTGTTACATGAAGCTTTATTGATGTTCTCAATCATTGCTTCTGATACAAATATTTACAAAATAGCCAAGTCCAATAGAGAGCCTTCAGAGACAAATATGCTTTGAACGAACAGTGAATTTCAATGATCAGAGACATTATCTAGATTTAGACATGGGTTTTGTTTTATTTATGTACTTTAGTTAGGTAGTTCAATGACTTTATTGATCATATTATGAAGGGAAAATAGTGTGTATTGTTTTCCTTTGAGAAACCAAATACACAAGTTTCACAGATGAAAGCTTCTAGACAAATACAACACTACCAGAAACATGATTGCATATTCCTGATTTTATTGATACTGACATGAATAATGATGATTTGATAATCTAATTCCTAGATACCTTTCTCCATTCTAATCTCTAGCTGCCTGAATTTTAATCTCTCACAGTTATCATCATTGTACCCTCTAGGGACTAATTTAAAGGCAATAATTTCAAGCATTACACCTTGCTGCATCAAAATCTTCCATTTTTTATACAATATTTTTGTTCTCTGATCAACAATTTACACTGATGTTTTGATTCAACTGTAGACTCTATGTCTTCACCATGGACAAGATTACAAAATATGCCTCATACAATATTCAATTCCCATCTCTAATTAAAGCACAGTTGAACAGTATGGATAAGCATGGAGAGGTTGACCTTTAGGTTCCATATCGTCTCCCCTTGAGGCCCCGCAGACAGACAGAGGCTTATATAACCACAGACATCAAGAATAATCTCATTTCTTAATAAGCATATACCATTAATGCATTGACCTACATGTTTATACAATTGGATACCATATCATTATGTAGTGCTGATGACTTTGTGAACTAGGAGACCAGCTATAGGGATATAATCATGTGATTCAGATGGTGGCATTTGATACGTTAGGGTGCAAGTGATAGCAATATCTTAAGAGAAAGAGTCAAAAGTCTCAAAGTCCAGCATGTTTTTTTACCACAAAGAACCCTAAGATACCACAAAGAAACCACAAGGAAGTTGACCCCAAGGATACCACAAGGTACCCCAGGGATTAGTATGACTCAAAGTCTGCATGCATCCAAAAACTTGAAAACATGTCAGCTATAAGTTGCAGTAATTCCATACTCATAAACTGTAACACTTTGAAATAATGCTTTAAGCATGAAAAGCACACTTATGAGTGGATCTAAGAAAAAGTACACTCGATCAACATTACATTGCTGTATTAATGAAGACACATGCATTGTACATAATTAGATGTGTGTTGTGCACAATCACATCCCTTTCTTTAAGCCTCAAAATTTCCTTTTTTCTCTTCCTCTCAAATATCAGAACAAATGTTTAAGGATTGTGATTTCCTGTCATACGATCTTTTCTAACTTGCTTGCACTGTGTAATTTATTTCATGGTCAATGCTCATGAAACACAACTTGACATAATTTTTCTACAACTGAACAGTCCCAGAAGAAAAGAAAACACTGCTCCAACTGAGCTTGACTGAAGTGCCAGAGAAACATCTCTAGTTAATTGTGTGATACCTTCTTGACTTATCACTGAAGCAACAAGAAAAACATTAAAATCAGCTGTTTCGTGTATTCCCCAGTAGTTAAAGTTAACATAAAACATGTTCAAAATGACATGGCTTCCTTCCTTCCAATTCCAGGCCTCTTTATACTCATTTTTCATTCATACTTGACTAACATTTAAAAGATGGGCACAATTTTTTTTTCAGGTTTACAACATTTATAATAGCAGGCTGTATTTATGTAGGTTGTTAGGCATAAGAAATGAAAAAAAATATTTCAAATATTGCATGCAGAAGTTATGAAAACTTTCTTCTCGTTAATTCATTTCTTTGATAAACCCACACTTCCTGCATTTTTCTTTCTTTCTTTTCTTTTTTGTAGATCTAAACTGCGTTTTTCATTTCTTGCAGACTAAGCAAACAAGTTAAAAAATCATAAAATATGTGATTCTCATCATGTGCATGGTAAACAGATTACATCCATGTTATAATAGATGCGAAATAATGCATAAAAACAGCCAGTAAACATGGAACCCATACATCAAAGGAATCTTCATCAAACTGTCAATAACGTGATAACAATTCTGTCTAAATTCAACAAGACTATTTGCAGGACACGTTATGAGTGTCAAATATGGTCAGCAATGCAATGGAGATTTATTACCCGATCTGCTCAATCAGGCATCAGAATTTAATTACAGTGGACTGTATTTTTTTGTGGCCGCCACAAATCTACCGCCTCTGGTTACGGTTACAATTAACAACTTGATAAAGGATGCTGGGTGCCATTGTTCCTATTTTAACTGATCACATCGATGCACACCATTCAGGTGGATCAATCTTTTGTATCGATTTCTAACAAGTTTACGAGTACTACCTGTCACAATGAGGAGAAAAATATTCAGTATTTCTCGTTTCTTTTCATGTTGACAGAATATTAAAGAGCGGGGATACTTGTGGACCAGTTAATGAGCTATTTGATAGATCTGGCGGTTAATAATTCATCATTAGATCTTCCTGTTTTACAGTAAAATCGGTGTGAAATCTCCTGACTTGATATATATGATACCCAGGGTGCATATAGCAGTAGTATAGGCAAACATATCAACATTCCAATATCTGCAGAGGTCTTTGTCCTTTGCAAAAGGTACTTCCATGAACAGCAGGAACAGCAAAAAGAGGCAAACCACTTCAACACTCAACATGTTATATACTGTGAAATCACTAATTTTCATGGGAGTTTAATTTTCAATGTTAATTTGTAGTAAGAAAAATCCCATGAATTCATGTCTTCCACAAAATGTAACATTTCAAAGATAAAGCAACTTTACATTTCTTCAACTACAAACTCAAATCCCAAAGAAGCTATATTTTTTTGCAAACCAACTATTGCTTGTAAAATTGCTACATTTTAGGTTTTTTTTAATTACATGGGTGGATTACAAAATGGAGTTCTTACCTATTGACTGTTAAGTCTATAAGGAAATGTCTGTTGTATGCTTGAAAATATAGTGTGACATCTTTAAGGTGGGTACCATTCTGAAAAGAAGATAGTTACCATTAAATAGAGGTTTAACACATAAAATGATGGGAGCCATTAATACTGTATACAATGCATACAAGTTGGCGATGATGACATTCAGTGATAATGATCAGGTATGAAATTGAGCAAATAGCTTATAGTAATATTCAAAGGCCCCTGATTGACCTCAGGAGACCTTAATATTAAGCCATAAGCATGAAATTTTGTGGAATTTAAAGCATAAAATCCAAAAAAACTATTAAACAATCAATATGCTCATGTAAGAAGTACTGCATGTATCACAGTTTACACATGTTTTTTATCTTGAAGTAAGAATCATTACCCCCTCCCTCATTCATCACAAACACAGTGGGGCACATCTATAACTCAATGACCATACTGATATTTAATATTGATTGATGGATGGGATAATGCAGATTGAGCTTGTACAAGGACAAATAACTGAAGTAACTCAATCAAAGGTGACAACTGGATTTGACACACAGAATGTAACCTTGTAATGGTGAGTTACAATGGATTACAGTGAATGTAATTTTACAATATACATGCAGTTGAACTTAATTGTAACACAAATATCTCCAATACCAGTGATATGTTGAAATGATTTGGCAGTCCAAACCACTTTTTCTTTATGTTTTTTACCCTTATTATCTCAAATTCTCAGATATCTCAATGTTTTATTCTCGGTTCCATCAAGGTCGAGATAACAAGGTTTGACTGTATTGCAAGAGCTGTAATTTCATAATGCATAAAAAATGAACTAATGAAAAAACTCAACATTTCCATTCAAAAATGGCATTCACCCCCAACACATACATTCCTAATCAATATTGATTGTACTAATGATAACATTAATAGATAAAAATCCTTAAAGTTCTCAATCAACCATTTCATAGATCTATCAGAAAGGTTAACAAAGGTTATAGAACAGGAATGTACATTTAATTGGTATCTTTCAACTTGTGATTTTTTTTAATATACGGATCTTTTTTAAGAGCTGTCTAGACATGTGGTTAATATGATGATATGGACGTACAATAATGGACCATCATATTCACTATGAACCAGATCTCGCTGTCCGATATTCAGCCAAAGTGAATTGATTTACCATGTTTGCTCTCATTGATGTAAGGAAAATGGAAACTTCTGTAGCCATTGACAGACAAATTGTAGCCATTATTATGTTCTCCTGAGCCAAAATTAACATGCTGACCAAGTATAGGATTCTTACAATAGAATCTACATGATCAAAAAGTAAATTCACAAAATTAACTGAACCAAAATACTTTTTTTTTTCTTTTTTTTTTAAATCTAGTATAACCTTGTTTACCAGCTCTTCCTGAAACGCTACTCTATTAAAGATACAATATATATACACTGCACACACATTAATGATTTTTTCCTTCCTAAGTAGCTTTACCATATCAAAATAAAGAATCAGAGGGGGAAAAAAAACTTGAAAAAAAACTGTTCTGGTTAAAAAGTTAATAAATAATATTTTTAAATACAACAATATACCAATTTTTTAATGTATGAAGATGATCCAGTTTGCTGACATCTCAAAGAAAGTATAATATGGTATTCTTGTTGGTGAAACAGATTACGGTAAATATTTTTATCACAAAAAAAAACTCCAAGGGCCAAAGCCTAAATTTTTCAAGGACCACACTTCCTAGATAAATATTGATGGTCCATTTATTAGCAAACTCTCCCATCAGACCAGAGGAGAAATACATCATGTCAGTCCTGTGTGAGACAGGGTTAAATTTCCCTGGGGGGTTAATCTATGGTCAAAGGCATCCATGACAACAGATCCTTATTGGTGAAAAAACTCATTATCTTGGGCTGACAGCATATGGAGAAAGGGGTAATTATACAAACTGTCATTTTTTTATGTTGGGAAAAAAATACTCTCCTTTTAATAATAATAATTAAAGAAAAAAGAATCTGCACTTTTAATGAATTCTTACTACTTAAATTCAATATCTAGTTTGCATTCTTAAAGGTTAATTGTGACCTTGAGTTATATATTTATTTCTAAAACTTTGAACCATGTGCCTATTAAATAAAGATCAAAGGCATTATTGAAATATCGCTTTTTAATTCATTTAAGAAGAGCTTGATTAAAGGCAGCATGGCATCCCCCCAATGTTACACAATAAAGCGATGCATCTGGAGATTATATAGGTACGTATTTTATCTACACAGAGAGCCATAAATCACATTATGAAAACTCCCCGTTTTATTTACGTGTATCATGGCAATTTTTTTGATACACTGACAAAGATAAGGTTTACTAGCTAGAAGCAATTCTGAGTCACAAAGAGATCTGAAATAATTCATCATAACTTCTCCTATTCTATTGGTCACTGAGTCTAAAAAATAGATGTTTGTTTGTTAACGTACATATGGCAGTATAAGAGGGGCATTGCTCTCTAAAACAACATAACTATATTCATGGCTGCAAGCAATGCACATGACCAATATGACAAATCAAGGGTTTGGTCATCAAATCTGATTGTGTGGAAAAAACCCTTTTTGTTTACACTTGTTGCATATTCAAAATTAATCAAATATAAATGGTATATTATGTAACGCTGTCCCAGATAACTCTGGGTGCAATATGGGCTACTACATTGTATTTACTAATGGTTGATGATGTTATGTAATACATAATCATATTCTGAATACCTAATAAAGTAGGATAATCATCTTATTTCAGTTATTTGGAATGAATTTCGGGCCACACCAAGTTAACCTGGGCAAACTCTGTTACTTACACATCGAATAATTCATTATAAATCCACACCATAGTAATGAAATATATGGATATAATGAACATTATTCAAGCTCAAAAGTCCATTAAACAATACAAAATAGGAGCAGAGCAAACACAGACCAAAACTCCAAAACATCAGAGGTGGGATCAGCTGCCATGGAGGAGTGAGCATCCCCTGCCAACCAGTCACACCCACCGTGTGCTCCTTGTCATGATCGGGAAATAACGGAAAAATCCGTCGACAATTCAGTGTGTAAATAATGGCCTAACAATTAGTATGAAAAATGTCAGTCAGCATTTGACTCAATGAAAAATTGTATTTGCTGACAAGGTCATATTGTATCGACCATAGAACTTTTGAAATGATGACTTTAAACAAGACTGCTGATATTCTTGTTTCATCAACTTGTTTGTCAATAATTTACCTCATCTTAGAAATTGTACGTACGTAGAACATGCTCTTGTGTATTGAATCAAATGAGAGATATAAACCCCGTATCCAGATGAAAAGGTATATTACTCCATAAGTAAGGGAAGTTGACGATTGAAAAGTTAAAGTCATCATGTTTATCATAAAGCTTGGTTGCTAGATTACCATTAACATCTTTTTCAAGTAAAATATCCAAATATGAAACAGATGTGTCAGACTCTGTGGTATCTTTTATCTCAAGCTCACGGGATATATCGTATCTATATGAGAATGGAAATAACCATTGTTAATAAATATTGCATACTATGAACAAAAAATTTGGATGCACGGATCGGTAATTTTTTTGGGCATATATTTGGTTGTTAATGATGCATACATCATATCTCTGAAATATTAAGAAATTGTTTAACTTTCCATAATGTTTCTTTTTTTCCCTTATAGCTTTATTCACCCTAATAATTCTAAATAATTTTTTATGATTTTTAGGACATTTAATATACAAAAAAATGTTGGTTTATATCATCAGTCCTTAATCCAGAATTGAATACACAATCTAGATTACATGTTGCGAGTACAAAGTAAATCCAGGTTAATATCAAATAGGATGAACGGCCAATAACAACTTTATGCAGTAAAGCATCTATTGAAAGATCTATATGTTATCATGGTGATTGATTTAATATACATGTAGTTCTAAAAATACAAGTTCCAATATGGGAGGCAATAAGTAACAGATTTAACAGAATGGAAGCATGTATGTATCATGAACCTTGCAGTAAACATGAGTACATATGAACAGATTGTGACATCAAAACAGCTGATCTATATCATACCACAAGTTCAGTCACTCATGAATGACTTTTATAAATGCATATTATTAAACGATTCATCATTTGATCATTACTGATATTTATAAGTAATATGTAAAGTAAACTAGTGTTAGAAAGTGATAAAATTGATTCTTGAGTTTGTTTATAGGACTAACATTTGCAACATCACTCTATAAAACCTATAAAAGAGCAAATAGGCATTTCCCTTCTAAATGAAGCAACATAGTATGTTTTATGAATTTAAGTTTTAAAAAAAAAGATATACACTGTGGTTCATAAAAAAAATAAAACAATGGAATATAAATTACACTTTCTTGAGATAGAAGATTGGATGTAAATGGGCTTACAGTTAGAACATAAAATACACATTAAATACTGTACAGGTCAATTGCCAACAGCTTTTCATCTGATAAGCGTTATAAAAGGTTAAATTGTTAATGCAGTTTTTCATAGACTTGTGAGAGCAAAATCAAAATCTTTAAACAAAAATTTTTTCGATGTAACCTGTCTGTGGCCTTCAGAGATATTTTTCTGACAAAACCATCAAAAATGATAATTTTTATGGCTCTTTTTTAGCAGCTGATTATGCTACATCTCCCTGCAACAATTACTCTGTCACTCAAATACAACTAAATGCATTTTCTGGTTTATTTCTAAAATTCTTTGTATAATATACTCTCTGCCTTATTTCATTTTTTTTTTATTTCAAATAACGCATTTGAAGAAGAGAAATAAAAAATATTAAATATCGGACTGCTCAGAAGCTGAACAAATTATGTAGCAGGGTGTGTTTAATGTTTATCATAACATACAAAGCCCCCCAAAAAGATTTATCTTGTTTTTCATCAATAAATAGTTGCTTATTAGCTTTGAAGTATATACACCACCATTTCAAATTTCAACTAACCTCTGATTAAATATTAAACCATCCAAAATGTTCCAAAAACAACACTGATGTGGCATGCACAAACAATTCAAACATATCCTATATGTATACTTGTTAAAGGTTAAAACTCAAAATTAAAACATAACGACTTCTTTTCAAGCTCAGTACCCAACCATTATACTGTAATAGCATCTTAATAGTTAGTTAATACCATTAAGATGTGTTTTAAAGTCAATTTACAGCTATGTGGTCACAAACCTTAATGTGAGTGGTTTCCCTTGGCAATCTATTGTGGTAGAACACCGGTTTTATTACTTGAAAACGCCTTTTGTCTGGCAAATTTCGCTTAACTAAATTATCACCTACAAAAAAAGAAATAAGGTGAAAGCATGACTTATTATGAACCGATTGTCAATCACTCCCAAAATCTAGTAATGCAATATTTAGTAGCTTGCTAATTGTAATAAATGCTGCATGCATTCAACGTCTAATCTTAATAAAGCTTGTAACCTCATACAGATGTACATAAAACTAAAACCTAAATTTTTTTTATAAATATACACCACATTTGTGTTATATTGGTGGGAATATAATGCTGCAAACTTTATCTTCTGTAATTAGCTTGTTAAGTTGTCAAAATAACATGTACTTTACATTACGAAACATTTTTCCCCCCAAATTAAGCTTTACTACAGAAAATCCCTCTACGCTAGATCTATTTATTAGCAACTTAGAAATTGGGTCACAGTACTTCTTCTTTATGGAGTATTTCAAAAATAATAAGCATGTATTTAAATGTAATTTTTTATTTTACTCAAATCTGCAGTCAAAAATCAACTCAATACCATACTAGATTCTATATCAATCAAATTATAATATGGTATAAATACTGAATAATAAAAGCAATATTACAAGCACCGAATGATGATTTTTAAAATAACAGTTCATATAGAGAATATTATTTTATTTTCCCTTCCTATCCAGGACAAATTACCTCTACAATTTCATTAAAAATTGACATTTGTTTTAATAAGACAACTGTTTTAATGAGTCATAATTATGAAAACAATCCCTGTGCATATATCTATTTCATTGCTTTGTGAATGGGATGGGTTCATCTACATATTCTCAGTGGAATAACTTGCCTCAAAAACAAAAAATAAGGTGAAAGTGTTTAAATTTTGGTTACCTAAAACTGAGACCAATTGTAGAATATCCAATAACAAAACAAAAATGGCATGTTTCCCCATCCTCTTTCTCGACCATCTTCTCTTTTTCACTACAAAGTAACTTGTGAGGTAAACGAAAAAGATAAATAGGTCATGAAAGGAAACGAACAGAGGTTTTCCGAATGGAACATGCATTTTTGGAATGTGTAATTCCAAAAACGAAAAGAGATGAGTTTTTTTGCACGATCCCGATGTTTTTAATCATGTTAATAAACTTGAGGATTGCAGCATGGTAGCTTATTTGAAAAAAATATCAATAAATACAGTCAGGTATATAACGTTACATGTCTAAAAATATCAACATGAAGGACTGCAAACAATAGTATTGTTTCGCCGCCTATCTAGATCCATGAAAGTAATAATGTTCCTTTCTTTCTGAATTTAAATACATACTTGTATCAATTTTCATAAAAAATTACTTAGAATACCCATCCCACATGAAACAAAAGTACATGTGTTTTGTGTTTGTTGTTTGATATCATCATCATTTTTACAGGCATATATTGTTACTAAGCAAATTCACACCAAAGCTTGTTTTGTTTCTTTACTGGGGGGGGGGGGGGGTATGCTTACAGACCAATATACACCAAAATATTCATTTTATGACCAATTTCAAATGAGATTACAACTACAATCTACATGTAAATGAATCAGATATAGTCAATTTTAGATCAGTAGCAAGACAGAAAGATTAAGATGTCAACTGTTCATATCTTATTCTATGACTTTTTCAAAATCACATTTATTAATTGACATTGATATTGGTATTAGAGTTGTTAATTAATTACTAGTGAAGTCTACTTGGCATTTTAATTTTAAAAGATCAGAGAAATTGCTAACTGTTGAATTACATTTCTGTAAAATATCGGCGGGGATTGAGAGTTAGCATTCGCAGTTCTATGAAATGAATTTAATTTTATTTTCTCTTCTAAGAAGGGAGAGTGGGAATATCTAGAAATTACTGATCTAGTATACATCTTAAAATCTTTCCTTAAATATATGCCGTTTCAATTTCAATAGTTTCCAGTGGTGCGTTTTCCCTGCAGTACCCAAATTAATACAAGAGCATTTTCATAGTCTAATTTAAAGCAAATATTTTGTGGATTAATAAATCTCAAGTACATGCTCGTGTTTCTTTAACGGACATCTATGTAAAATAAAATAAAATTAAAACAGTTGCAATCGAGTATCAATGGCAGGCACGTAGAATCGGGGGGGGGGGGGGGGGGGCTGTCCACTTTTTTCCAGACATAAATATTTCTATAGGAAATGTTCATTGAAATCCGGTTGCCCCCCCCCCCCCTTTTGGTTGCAGTATTGTCAAATGAGGGTAATATAAGGGGAATGCAGTGTTTGAGTGAAAAAATGGTACTAAAAGCTAAAAGAAGATGGAACCTACCTCCCCCCCCCCCCCACACACACACACACACGAAATAGGATTTCCGAGTTTGCACAATTTCCCCCCCCTTTTTTTTTTGTTTGCTTGTCAAGTTTTTTCAGGTAAGTTGAAATTTTTTTCCTCGGGTTGCCCCCCCCCCTTTCAAAAACGATGCTACGTCACTGAATGGATACAGGTAATATGATAGAGCAGGTCCTGGGGTTTAATTTTTATAAAAATAATCCACCAACTAAATCTTTATTCTTGTGGCAGACCCGTAGAGAGCAATTTCAGTTGAAGGAGGGGCACTAGCTGGTAGAAGAAGAGAAATTGACAATTGTAAAACACTTGTTTTCTATTGTTTAGTATACATTGGCAAAATCATCAGGAGACCCGCCTCATGTGCCCCATTAAAGGAGATAATAATAAATATTCCATAACACCATACACCCTATTAATTTTTAACCTCAAAATCCTATATTTTAACACTGGAATATTAAATAGTTTTTCCATCTCACTCCCTTGAGCCAGATTAAAAATATATCCAAATCGGGTTCGCGATGTAAAATTATGGCGAAAACGAGGCTCTTGACTGGATCGCGGCAAAATTGCAAGACTTTGTTATTACAAATATGCCTATTTTACGCAATGTGAACAAAATTTGGTGCAGTTCTATGATGAATACATGGTAATTACTGAATAGTTATTTAAGTAAAATGGAAGTCAAATGATGTTAAAGCGCTTCAGATGCGTTGTCGTTAATGTTTTTGTTTTGCAATGTGGAGTGGTGAATATTTAACGCCATTACGAATTTATTCCGAATCGACTCTGCCGTCCTAAGTAAGCACTCTTTAGAAATTACATGTGCAGATTAAATATATACATAGAGGAATTTTTGTTTATCATGCATGTATTTATAATTATACGTAACGAGTCAAATTCGATGAAGTACTGGGATAAAGACTAGATTAATTAAGCCATTATGATTTATTTAAGATATAAGAAAAATTTGATGTTGCATTTGCAGTCCTTTAAATGTGATTTTATGAGGGAATAAATTTTGATGTTGGGGCCAGTAGAAATGCAAGATGTAGTGGCCCATTTTGCTAGCAAAGAATTGAACTCCGAATTACAAAGCTTTTCATTTTGTTGTCATAAATGTTTTAGCAGTCAGACAATATTTAAGTTGGAATTAGACTAACAGTAAGTAGATAGCTACAGATTATTTATGATACAAACAATGTAATGGTAATGCTCTAAGGTTCATGAAATCAATCATTTGTTGCAATTCCCACAAGGTAATCGATTAATTAATTATTAAAATGCTTCTTAGTCATTTTTGAATGACAATAATTAAAAAAAAAAACCCATTGATTTTATATAAGTGCATGATGAGGTGTGATATGCAATATAGCAAGGTGTAATATCTGAGTAAATTAAAATACTTCATTTTAGTGTTTTCTGCAGGAAAATGAAATTATATCTGCATATGACTTAATTTAAATGAAATATTCTTTTATTTAAGAAAACAAAATCAGCAATTGATTTGCTACCAATTTTTGATCAATTTTATGTGTTAAATTATTAATGATTAACTAAGGAAAATTATTTTATTTGCTCTAGAAGTTAATATCTGACTAAACTGAATGACTTTTGGAGGGAGGGGGGGGGGTCATATACAGTTAAACCTAAGTAACTCAAATACCATTGATATATCAAAGTAATTTAGAAGCCCCAACCACTTATCATTGAAGTGTTTTACTCTTAAATCCTTGGATATCCCTGAATTTCTTTCCTCTAGTCCCAACAAGTTTGATTTTTAGCAGAGTAAAGGTATCCATTCAAGTGGAGATGTTTGAAATTTACTCTGCTGAATAATAAAACATCTTAAAAAAGTGACTTGATAGTGTATAAATTGTTTGAATGTGAACACTTCTGATGTGAACTACCGGTAATTAATTCGAGAATTGTCTTTATTGAGGAAGAATTTCCCACATTTCATTTTTAAAACTGATATATGTAGTCATAGAGTGCATAATATCACTTAAGTAACTACATGTAGCTATAATATCACCTGAACAAGATATATTAGAAGAAAAGTGATAAATAATAATGATATAGTTTTATACATATACAATGCATGTATTAAAACAATTGTAGTTTTAGAAGAAAAGTTTATGAAAGAGGTGCTAATTGCTCGATTGTAAGCTTTTAATAACCTGCTGTGAAGCACAGAGATATCATACATTGTGCCTTCCTGTTTTACAGCTCTGGGAAGTAAGAAGATGACAGAACAAGCACCTGCACCAGGCCCAAGTGATGAACTAGGTGACACATTTTTAGACATAAAAGCTTTTTTTGTTTCAGGTTCAGGGTAGTGATTTTTTCTGATTAAATTAAGAAGGGCAATTCTTTACACATAATCATTTTATTTTGATTTTATGAATATTTTATTTTACAAATTTTAATTGTATATTCAGTTATTCAGTACTTATAGTACCCTTGTCCTGCCATTGATGCTACAGATAACAGTATGTGTGCGCCAAGTTTATAAAGAGCCCATGCTGCTGCCTATGCCAAGCTGATTTGTTAATTTCTATCAAATTACACATTTCTGCAGATTAGCTTAATTATCACAATTTTCTAATCACTTTTGCTGATAACATAACAAGCAGCATAACTTAGGTTGAAAATAGAACCCACATTTGTCAAAAAATAACTAGATAAAAGTTACAAAACAATAAATGAAAATCTACATTTAAAAGGTTTAAATTATTTGTAATTATTGGCATTTCAAAGTCATATGTTATTTGACATAAATTTATTGCAACGAACCTTCATGGTAATTGTAGCACTTTTACATTGTTAACTTGAAATTATCATTGCAAGGAATCTATTCATATTGTCAACGTTGACAATTGTCCATTTGTGGAAATGCCAAATATTGTGACCTTACTTGCATAGATGATGCATCTAGGGATGCAAGCTACCAGACATACTTTGAAGTGCATTTGACATACATTTTAGGTATGATTAAAGAGCTTAAAGTTTTTTGAACAGTCCCATTCTGAGGTAACTGTAAGCACTATAGGGAGTTAAATTGCATGGATGTTACATTTCAGGATGTACTCTACCAGACTTGTTTCTGATCTTGAATGTGATCTACATTTTACCTATGATTGGCCAGGTCAAAGTTTTGGGAGTAGGTCTATTTCCAAGTACTAAATGTAAACCTCATGGTGATCAAACATGCATGGATAATGCATTACCATACCTGCTTAGTTTGCTTCATCTGATGTACACTTTACAAGTGATTGAAAAGTAAAAGTTTTTGGAGTAAGTCCATTCCAAAGAAACTTTAAATCCTACTCATTCCAAACTTGCATAGATGTTGCTTCTAAGGGGATATATACTGTAATGGAGAGTCATTGGAAGCTCATACTTGGTACAGAGATTGTTTATCACCAGAAGATGTGTCATGACTTTGACCCAAGGTCATTCCGACAAGTTCGAGGTCACTGGTATAAAGTGTAAAATTCATGTCAGGTCTATAATTTTCTAATGGAGAAACATTGCATGTCAATATTTTACTGAATGATTACTTATGACCAGAGGATGTGTCATTCTTTTTAAAATCAAGGTCTTTTTGGCAAGTTCAGTAGGGGGCGGGAGTTATTATTTTGTGAGTTTGCTGACAGTACCTTTAGTTTGGTGTGATACCAGTAGAAAACATTCCTTGAGTTGATTCCTTATGTTTTTCTCCATGATGGTGTATGCCTATTGTGGTTTACTTCAAAAGCAAATGATCATTTTCCAGCTCTTTGGACCAAATTCTAAGATATTTTTTAATGAGAATATACATTTTAAAGTATTTCATGCAATATATCTATATTTTTGCATTTTCATGGAGTATATTCTTTACAACATTAATTTCATTTTTAAACTGTCACAAAAGAAGTGATCTTCAAGTTTCATTTTCTTAGACAAATTCAGTATACATAAAGGAATTCCACTCAAAAAGCCAATCACATCATGTAATTACAGGCAAATCGTTTTACTCTTAGTACAGCATTGAAATGAATGGATTCCCTTTTTAGCTCACCTTGACGAAGTCGAGATGAGCTTATGCTATACCCCCTGCATTGGCGTCAGCGTTAGCGTTGGTGTCCCGGTCAAAGTTTTAGGAGCAAGTCCATTCCCAAGTAACTATAAGGCCTACCTGGACCAAACTTGCATGGATGATGCATCTGGGGATGGACATTACCACACTTGCTTTGGATGCTGGATCTGACCTAGATTTTCTAGATGAGTGACCAGGTTAAAGTTTTTTTGGAGCAGGTCCATTCCCAAGTTACTATAAGCCCTACCTAGACCAAACTTGTATGGATTATACATCTAGGAATGGACACTACCACACTTGCTTCGGATGCTGGATCTGACCTAGATTTTCCAGATGAGTGACCAGGTTAAAGTTTTTGGAACAGGTCCATTCCCAAGTAATTATAAGCCTTACCTGGATCAAACTTGCATGGAGGATGCATCTAGGGATGGACACTACCACACTTGCTTCGGATGCTGGATCTGACCTAGATTTTCCAGATGAGTGACCAGATTAAAGTTTTTGGAGCAGGTCCATTCCCAAGTAATTATAAGCCTTACCTGGATCAAACTTGCATGGAGGATGCATCTAGTAGGGATGGACACTACCACACTTGGTTCAGATGCTGGATCTGACCTAGATTTTCCAAATGGGTCACTAGGTTAAAGTTTTTGGAGCAGGTCCATTCCCAAGGAACTATTAGCCCTACCTGGACCAAACCTGCATGGATGATGCATCAAAGGAAGGACACTACCGTACTTGGTTCAGATGCTGGATCTGACCTACATTTTCCAGATGAGTGACTAGGTTAAAGGTTTGGGAGCAGGTCTATTCCCAAGTGATTATTTAAGCCTTACCTTGACCAAACTTGCATGGATGATGCATCTAGGGATGGACACTACCACACTTGCTTCAGATGCAGGATCTGACCTAGATTTTCCAGAAGAGTGACCAGTTTAAAGTTTTTGGAACAGGTCCATTCCCAAGTAATTATAAGCCTTGCCTTGACCAAACTTGCATGGATGATGCATCTGGGGATAGACACTACTATACTTGTGTCGGAAGCTGGATCTGACCTAGATTTTTCAGATGAGTGACCAGGTTGAAGTTTTTGGAGCAGGTCCATTCCCAAGAAACTATAAGCCGTACCTGGACCAAATTTGCATGGATGATACATCTAGGGATAGACACTACTATATTTGCTTCAGATGCTGGATCTGACCGAGATTTTCCAGATGAGTGACCAGGTTAAAGTTTTTTTGGAGAAGGTCCATTCTCAATGAACTGTAAACCCTACCTAGACCAGACTTGCATGGATGATGCATCTAGGGATGTACACTAACTAACCTGCTTCGGATTCTGGATCTGACCTAGATTTTCCACATGAGTGAATTTAGCCATATTTTAACCAAATTAGCATGGATGATGATGCATCTAGAGATGGACACTTCCAGACTTGCTTTGGATTCTGAATCTAATATTGATGGATATTAATTTTGGGATGTACACTAACTAGGAAAAAAATATGATGCGAGATTTACCTTACTTATAGATAACATTCGTCGCGGTGAGCTTAGTAATCTTTGATTACCTATGTTTTCATTGGGTAAAATATGAAAGAAAATGTCATATGTATAAAGTCTATATATCAACAACTGAAAACATGGCAGATCTCATTTTAACAATGACAGACATTGTGAAAGTGTTATATGGGTCGTCCATAAAATAACATCTGGCACCATGAGGGTTAAATGTGATCAACTTTAGAGATTTGTACATAATTTTATATTAAGTGTTAAGTTTTTCTGGATTGCTTGTACTTTTGTTTAATTTATGAATCATTGTTTTGTAGCTCAACCTGTCCAACCCAAAGTAGCTAAGGATCTGGATGGCAACTATGTGTACTATCTACCAGATAAACCTGTCACAGAGGCAGCCAAGTGTGGAGATCACTCAGCTGTGAAGACGCCAGTGTCTGCTACATCAACACAGCTTAGTACAACAGAACAAGTGATAACTCTATCACCAGCCAAATCTGGGATTAGTAATATAGTCACAATAAATTCAGAGAACATCATTGGCCGATTTGATCCAGAAACTCTAAACTCATTAAACCAGCTCCTGGAAGAAGTGGATGCAGATTCTGAGTTAAATCTGAATACTTCGAAGGAAGGTTTGAACACAGAGAGTGATACAGTTAAAAATTCTAGTGGCATTTCTGACCCAGTGTCATTGTCAGTTTCAGCAGGGACTGAGGGCAATGGTCAGTTATTCCAAGTCACTGCAGAGATACATAGCAGTGGTCAGTCACAACCAACTCCAACAGGGATACAAAGAAGTGGTCAGTTAACTCCAGACTCATCAGGAATACAAAGTAGTGGTCAGTTACAATCAACCCCAGCAGGGATACAGAGTAATGGTCAGTTATCCCAACACACAACAGATATACATAACAGTGGTCAATTACAACCACCTCCTTCAGGGATACAAAGTAGTGTTCAGTTAAATCCAGTCCCAGCAGGAATGCAAAGTAGTGATCAGTTGCAGTCCATCCCAACAGTGACACATATCGATGGTCATTTGCAACCACCTCCAGCAGAGATGTGTAGTAGTGGTCAGTTACAACCACCTTGTCCCCTAGCTGTTAAACATACCGGTAGTAATGGTCAGTTATCTCATGTCCCAGCAAGAGTACCAACCAGTGGACAGCCATTCTCTGCTCTAGCAGGGTTACAGAGCAGTGGTCAGTTAAATCCAGTCTCAGTAGGAATACAGAACAATGGCCAGTTGTTCCCAGTTGCTTTAGAGACACAGAGCAGTGGTCACTTATCCCAAGTCACTGCAGGGATACAAAGTAGTGGTCAGTTACAACCAGCCCCTCCTGAGGTACAGACCAGTGGCCAGTTACCCCCAGCAAGCACTCTTCTTTCATCATTTAAACCCATTAATACAGACAGATCACTCCTTGATTCCACCATGGACAACAGTATTGCAGAACCCATCAGTAACTGTAGATTACAGATGAATCCTGAAAAAAGTGTCAATGGCCAAAGTGCAAACTCTGTCTCTTTTAGTAACCCAGTGACAATTCCAATGGAAAGTACTATCCCGGTGCCCCAGAAATTTTCTGCCTTGGAAACAGCTACTCTCAATTTTACATATCAGAGCAATGTTGGAAAAGAAGTAGATTTACAAACACAAACTATAAACCACAGCTTGGTGCCACCAGCACTTAATCAAAATATAAACTCTCAAAATCAGGCTAGTGTTTCATTGCAAACGGATTCTGGGCTTTCCATTCCTGCAGGTATTATGGATTCAATTCCTGTGTCTCAAAATATTAGCCAGTTGATGGTTAGTGAACAAAGAAATCAAGCTACTGAACACTCTGTAAATTTGTTACAGAACTTGACGACTGATTCCCAATGTTTTCCTCAAGTTAATGTACAGTCGACCTTTCAGAAAAATGTTACTCCACAGTCTATGTACCAGCCTGTCTCACAGAATACACCTCTACCAGGATTCCAGTCACTGCAGTGTAATTTGGCTCTCTCCACATATCAACCTGTTCAAGTGTTTTCAACTCCCTCATCTCAGTATCAACAAAGTAGAATGTCTACTCCAAAATACTTACCTCATTTGGATGCTAACATGACTACCTCAACTTCTTATCCTTATAATCAGAGTCGTCCAAATCTTGATCTGCAACCTGCAGCAAGTGGCAGTCAGTTGACAGTGGTTCAAGAGGGTAGATCTTGTCCACAGCCAATTCTTACAGACTTGAATATGAATACCATTCAACATCAGAACTCAGAAATCTCCAGCATGTTTTCATGCGTTGATCAAATATCAGCCAAAAATCCACTCCCCACATTGCTAGAACAAACTAAATGTATGTCCCCAAGTGTTCAAAATTACAACAGAAATGGGTATACACATCATTTAGGATTACCAGTTCAGAGTGTTTCTAACCAGGGATCATTGTACAATATGAATGCTGCTCATCTACAGGCTTCATCTTTGACACAACTTCAGCACTACTCCACAAATCTTCCACAGCCGCAGGGAGGTAGTGTGGTGCCCTCCCTAGCCCCATCTCTAGCACCCAATCCAATGGTGAATAATTTTAGTATCCAATCCAACAAATCATTGTCTACTGGTGTTGCACATACCAATTCAAATTATCTGTCACCTGGGACATCAAGTTCAGGATACCAGAGTCCAGGACTGCAAAGACATTCACAACAGTTCTGTTTACCTAGACCACAATGTAACACTCCAAGTTACTTTTCCGGGTACTTGCAGAATGTTGAATCACAGACTTCTGTCCAAAAAAGTCAACAGTCTCGTCAAAGCCACCAACTAAAGCTGATGCCAAAAAACCAAATGTTGGCAGTGAAGAAAACAATCAGTATGTACTGGCCGGACTTTTCCAACTACCCAGAAGTGTGCACCTGTGACAAGTTGGACATGGGAAATGAAATACACGTGGAGCAGATCTGGTTGCACATGAACCAGATGTACTATTTGCCACAGATACAAATTCTTGCTATTGGAACTGACGAATTCATAGGTATCGTAAGGGATGAAAAGAATTACGTAAGTGTTGGGGAAATCATGATGCGCCTCCTACCAAAACTTCAGAGAGAAGTGGAAAATTACATACTTCAAAGCATGTGTGAGGTAGATCTCATGACATTGGAAGAGCTGGCATACCTAAAGCAGCGAGGATGCACCGAATTTGATATTCATGAGATGATTTCACTGGAAAGTCTGAGAGAAATGTGTAGATTTTTATTAAACAAAAGCTCCAAACTAAATTCGGAGGTGAGCAAGCTAGCAGAAGCTGCAACTGGTATTTACTATAAAAAGGTCTTAGAAAAGCACACAAGATGTTCCAAGTGTGGGGGAGCTATAAAATGCAGTGACATTCTAGATCGATATGAAGCCATCGATTGCCCTGCAGGAATTTCTTCCAAAGAGCAAAAATTGGCACTTCTACAAAGGACTTATAATGATGAAAAATTGGCTCTTCGACAAAAAGAGGTGATAGAAAGTGCATTCAGCAAGAAAAAGTCTTCACCACAAAGTAGTACTAAGCCAGGCCAGAAAAATGTCAGGATCAAGATTGGACTATTGTTAGTGGGTGGAACCCAGTTCAACACCTTCAAGATCAACGACAAATGCTACATTTCCCTGAAAGAGTTAGTGGCTTTTAAAATCTCGACATTGCAGTTGCTTCAGAGCCGATTAGCTAACTTAGAGTACAGACCTCGTCCAGCCCCTTCATGTGTTGAAAAGTATTTCATTCAAAATGACATTGGAGTTCATAACACATTGTGGATTGACACAGTGATTGTTCGCTGTATGTGTTGTTTGGGGCAGCAGAAGACGCAGATGCCTTTACAGAAGCATTTCAAGTGTGGAGACTTTGAGGAGTTGTGGGAGAAAGACGTGGATGGTGTAGATGATTGTGACATAAATGGAACAGTCTTTACACTTAATCCCAGCACAATAACCATCTCCAATAGGAGGCTCTTACAGCGAAAAGACAGTTCAAGTGCAGTGCTTATCAAGACTGTGAGAAGAAATCCACAGGGACCCTCCATGTCAGCAGAAGGAGAGCCACTGATCACAATGGGTTCATGTGAAAATATTGCCAAGAAACCCTTGACAATACAGATGAGAAACTTGACATCTCATTTAAAAACATCAACTGGTACTGTATTATTTACAACTAAACCTGCATATAGAGAATACACCCTTGGCAAAAAATCTAAAAGGAACAGAGTTTCAGTTTCACCCATGAAGACTCAGAAAGTGTTAAAAGATGTCAATCTGGATAGTTCTTCCTTGGATAGAAGTCTGAGTAGTCAGCCTATGGCCGTTAGCAATTTGAACACAGGAATGGAACAAGAAGATGCACAAGAAGATATTACAGAGGAATCCATTCTTGAAATTGCTGCGCGAGAAGCCATGCTTATGCCAGAGGACTTAAATGATGACACAGATGCAATGGAGTATCCTAGATCTGTGGATTCTGTGATTCAAGCCATTGGAATGGGAGATGGACTACCTTCTGAAGATTTTGTTATGCAGGAGATTGAGAAAGGGGGTCTAAATCTTTTTGATGGAGTTCTTAGTGCTAGTATCTGTGGGGATTCAAGGAGTCAGTTTGAGGATAGTGACAAACTAACAGTCAGAACACCACAATTAGCAGTCTCACCAAGAAAATCTGAACCAGCCAATCAGAGGAAAGCACCAAAGTCGACAAACGAAGACACGTCAGTCATACCTAGAAGGACAGAAAGTAGGAAAAAGAGAGTTCCAAAGCGATATGAAGAATTTTTTGTGGAAACTGACAAAAAAATCTTACTGAGCAAGAAGGACTCAAAGAAAGAAGAAGGTTTGTGTACAACGATCAAGCATGATGATATAGGGTCCAAAAAGAAGCTGAAAAATGTGAAAAAAGTGCAGGTTTTGCATGCACCTGAGTTCAGGGAAAAAATCAAAAGTGGTGAATTGGATGGAAGACTGCTGCAAGTTATAAGACATTCAGAATTGGATGGCATCATGGAAATGGTGCCAAGGAACCAAGAAGAGGCAGCCTCTGTCAGTCCAATTGCTGACAATGAAGAAAGCAATGACAAAGGAGGTTCAAAAACTAGTCAAGAACAGGTGAGCGAGAAAGTTGGTGAGTGTGAAGGAAATCTAAATTTAGTCTCCTCAGCAACTCCTTGTGGTGACACTATTACGAGTGGAATTGTCACCACAAGTGCTGGTGAAAGTCCTTGTGTTTCAGAGCCATCAGAACTTCTAAACTCTAAAGAACAAGAAGAAAAGTCACCTGAAGTGATAAATGAAAACAATATTGAAATTTTGTGTTCTCCAATAAAAAATGTGGACAGTGCTAGCTGCTCTGCTAGTCCGAACACAAGTACTTCATCTCTTTCAGAGGAATTGAGGACTTCAAGAATTAAAAGAGTTTATGACAAAGTGGCAGCTTTGGAATCCTCTCAGGATGAGTATAGAATCCTCCACATGTTGGCAACAGTGGCAGAAGTTGTGACCGAGTCAGGGGATGAACAAACTGAACATGATGTCACAGTGTCATGTGACCAGCAAGAGAGTGTGAATGTTATTAGTGCTAAGTCCACAGAAAATAGTGCTAAGAGTGATGTATGCACAGACAATGTGAAAAGTAGTGGTAATTCCTCAGATGAAGTTTCTACAGAGGGACTAAATTTGGATGCTAGTGTAACAATCCAGTCAGGGAAGCATGTGACAGAAAATGCATTGTCAGATGCAGACAAAGAGAGTGAGATAGGTGACAGAGACATCCAATTGGATGACAGATCAGAATTAACCAATCAAAAAGCAGAAGTGAAGGGAACAGAGTTAACGAATGAAAAAGAAGCATTAGAACCCATGGAAGATGAGAGTGTTTTAAAAGAAGTGCCAGTATTGTATTCGCCATTATTATTTGATGATGAGGAATTCTCTGATCATGATGATGATACATTAACTGAAACCCAGGTGAATCTGTGCACAAAAAAAGATCCAGAAACTGAAATGCGAGAGAGGTTGTCTAAATTTATAGGTGCAGTAAATAAATATGTAGATGTTACCGACTTCCAACGAGAGCCAGGTATTGCCACTAGCAGGGTACGATTTCTACAGGGTGCAGAGGAAGCTTTTCCAGGTGAGGTTTGATACTTACCATTATTAGCACTAGTTTAATTATGCATCTTGTATGATAACTATGTTTTAGGTCACGTGAGTCACTCAGGTGACCTATTGTTATCTGTTTTCGTCTGTCGTCGTGTGGGTGTGTGGTTGTGTGTCATGAGTAAATTTTTCACATTTTTGACTTCTCTTCAAGAACCACTGGACCAATTTCTACCAAACTTGCCACAAAGTATCCTTGGGTAAGTTTTTTCAAATGAAGGGCCAATGCCTTTTTTCAAGGGGAGATAATTAAGAATTAAAGAAAAATTAATATATCTTTTAAAAATCTTCTTCTCAAGAACCACTGGACCAGGTACGATAAAACTTTCATGGAAACATTTTCAGGTAGTGTAGATCAAGTTTGTAAAAATCATACCCCTGGGTTAGGGTGGGGCCACAATGGAGGATCAAAATTCTACAAAGAAATACATGGAAAAAATCTTTAAAAATCTTCTCCAGAATCGCTGGGCCAGGAAAGATAAAACTTGCGTGAAGACATCCTCAGGTAGTGTAGATTCAAGTTTGTTAAAATCATGACCCCCGGGGGTGGGTTGGGGCCACAATGGAGGATCAAAGTTTTACATGGAAATATATAGGAAAAATCTTTAAAAATCTTCTCAAGAACAGCAAAGCCATGATGAATCTTATTTATATGGTAGCATCCTGGTGTAGTGTAGATTCAAGTTTGTTCAAATCATGACACCCAGGGGTAATGTGGGGCCACAATGGAAGATCAAAGTTTTACACAGAAATATATAGGAAAAAAATATTTTTCTCAGGAACAGCTAAGCCCTTATTGGTCATATTTATATGGAAGCATCCTCAGGTAGTGTAGATTCAAGTTCATTCAAATCATGACACCCAGGGGTAATGTGGGGCCACAATGGACGATCAAAGTTTTACACAGACAAATATAGGAAAAAATCTTTAAAATCTTTTTCTCAGGAACAGCTAAGCCCTTATTGGTCATATTTATATGGAAGCATCCTCAGATTTGTTCAAATCATGACCCACGGGGTAGGGTGGAGGCACAATGAACAATCAAAGTTTACATAGAAATACTGTACGTGTACATAAATTGGCGTATTCAAAATTTAGCGCAATCACTGGGTATGGAGTTGTTGGCGAAATCATGAATTAGCGCTATACATGTCCATGCTGTATATTGTATTTATTAATGAATTCTTAGTGGTATTCATGAATTAGTGCATCGTTGTCTGCACCAAAGCCGCTAGAATATGAAGCCTGCTTTTTTTTAAGTACACATACAGTATATAGGAAAAATCTTTAAAAATCTTCTGATGAAGAACAGCAAAGCCATGATGAGTGATATTTATATGGAAGCATTCTCAGGTAGTGTAGATTCATGTTTGTTCAAATCATGACCCACGGGGGTAGGGTGGAGCCACAATGGATGATCAAAGTATACATAGAAATATATAGGAAAAATCTTTAAAATCTTCTTCTCAACAACAACTGGGCCATGAAAGATGAAATGTGGAAACCTCTTTAGGTAGTGTAGATTCAAGTTTGTTTAAATCACGATCCCCAGGGGTAGGTTGGACCATAATGGACAATGAAAATTTTAAATTGGAATATGTAAGAAAAATTTTGAAAAAATTCTTTTCTCAAGAATAACAAAGCCATGATTGGTTATATTTATATGGAAACATCCTCAGGTAGTATAGATTCAAGTTTGTTCAAATCATGACTGGGGATAGGGTGGGGCCACAATGGACGATCAAAGATTTACAAAAGCTTCTTCTATCAGTTTATTTATACTCTATGGATCTTCTATAGATTGTTGTTTTATACTCAGGTGACCGTTAAGGCCCTTGGACCTCTTGTTTTAAAATCCTGATAATTAGTTTTCATTTTTCATTCATTAGTTCATTCATTTCATTAGTTATTCATTTTTAGCTCTACTGGTCAGAGACCAGAAGAACTTATGTGATAGTAAGTTGTCCGCTGTCTGTCTGTCTAGCTGTCTGTCCCACCGTTTAAGCAATTTTTTAAAACGCTACTCCTAGAAATTCTTTCTAAAGGCTACTATTCCAACAGTTTTCATCTGATTGCAATAAATCTTGCCACAAAGAGACTTAACCAAGGACCATTATTCTATTTATGGCTTTGCATAGTTTCAAGTGCAAGTGTTATGGTATAAATACGAACCAGTAGAGCTACAGTCTCATCAGACTTCTGGTTTCATTTTCAGTTGAACTGTACATTTAACAGGTATTATTGCATGAATTTTTGTGCACAGGCTTTTCACACCCAAATAAGCAAAACTGGCATTATAATTTGAAGCAGTATATGGTAAATCATGAATATTTTGACCAGGATATAATACCTTATCAAACCCTCTTAAAAAGTGGGGTGTATAGACTGTAAACATGGTTATATTTGAAGGATTTTATGATTTCAAAATTTTATTTTTAAAAAAATATGGCGAGTGAAAACTTAAACGATCTAATAATATTTAATAGTATAAGAGCTTTTTATTCAGAGTGCGAAAGTGACATTTAGAAACTTTGAAGATTTTTACTCATTCATCAATTTCATCAATGTTTCTACGTCATCAGAATTTCCATTTTTACAAAGTGATGCGGTGTCCGTTAGTACATTCCTCCATACATTACATTTGGGGGTACATGTAGCCATCTCTTATCCTCAACTTCTCTTACACCACTGAATGCATTTTAATGAAACTTCACTAAATCTTTATTACATATTGCCATTGTGCACCTTCTATTTCATGCTTCAATCTTTCAGATATTTGGGGTTTTCTATACAGTAAAACATGCTTCTAGAACATGCTTCAAACTTGTTAGTTAGCTCACCTGAGCTGAAAGCTCCAAGTGAGCTTTTCTGATCACCTATTGTCCGTTGTCTGTCCGTCTGTAAACTTTTCACATTTTCAACTTCTTCTCAAGAACCACTGGACCAATTTTAACCCAAGTTTTTACAAAGCATCCTTGGGTGAAGGGGAGTTTAAATTGTTCAAATAAAGGGCCAAGACCCTTCCAAGGGGAGATAATCAAGGAAAGACAAAAATAGGGTTGGGTCATTAAAGAATCTTCTTCACAAGAACCAATGGGCCAGAAAAGCTGAAACTTGTATGGAAGCATCCTGGGGTAATGTAGATTCTAAATTGTTCAAATCATGACCCCGGGGGTAGGGTGGGGCCACAATTAGGAATCAAAGTTTTACATTGAAATATATAGGAAAATATTTTTAAAATCTTCTTCTCAATATGGAAGCATCCTGGGGTAGTTTAGATTCTAAATTGTTCAAATCATGATCCCTGGGGGTAGGTGGGGCCACAATAGGGAATCAAAGTTTTACAATGAAATGTATAGGAAAAAATCTTTAAAAATCTTCTTCTCAAGAACGACCTGACCAGAAAAGCTGCAGCTTATATGGAAGCATCCTGGGATGTATAGAATGTGTAGAATCTAAATTGTTCAAATCATGACCCCCAGGGGTAGGGTGGGTCACAATACTTATTACAAGGGAGAAAAGCTGGGCCAAAGATACTGAGGTGAGAGTTGTGGCCCATGGGCCTCTTGTATTGCATTGACGCTTACAGCGAAGTGATTTTCATTCCTGTGACTGTAAGCTATATTGTGATACTAACAGATATAACAAATTATGTTTATAATGAATCAAAATTGTCCATCCCTGGCACTTGAAGCCCCTGTATGAAATTCAGTATTACTTTCACAGAAACTCACATTCTGCCAAGAAATTCACTTTGCCATCATACTGGTATGAAAGGCGGGGTATCATTTTTTAAAGCTCAATACTCACAGAACCTCTACTGTGTGATTCGTTACAGGTCTCTATGGTGATGATGGACTTCAGAGGAGGAAAACGTTTGCCGTTTTGTTGAGTCGTATTTTGTACCATCAGGATGAACTTACCAAACAGGTCAGTTTTGTCAACGCTTTAAACTTTATTGATTTATGTATGACAAAGTGGGTTATACTTTCATGTTAAATAGTCAAATTTGATTGGTTTAAAAACATTTTATAACAAGATATGTTTGTGAAACACTGATGCCCCCGTATGGCAGCTTATGGCGAAGGTTAAAGTTTCTCAAATGCAAGTCATAATCCAGGCCAAAAGATAAAAAATGTTGATACCCAAAGAAAGGTCTTGTCTCCAGGAATACACCTGTGAAATTTGAAAGATCTAGATACAACTGTTCAATAGTTATGGCCAAGGTTAAAGTTTTTTAAATAAAAGTCAAACGTCAAGGTCAAGGTCAAAGTGGTTGGTATCCAAAGGAAGATCTTGTCACAAGGATTACATATGTGAAGTATGAAAGCCCTAGCATCAACCATTCAAAAGTTATGGCCAAGGTTGAAGTTTTTCAAAAGTAGGTCAAACTCCTAGGTCAAGGTCAAAGGGTCAAAGTGGTTGGTATCCAAAGGAAGGTCTTGTCACATGGATTACTTATGTGAAGTATGAAAGCCCTAGCATCAACCATTCAAAAGTTATGGTCAAGGTTGAAGTTTTTCAAAAGTAGGTCAAACTCCTAGGTCAAGGTCAAAGGGTCAAAGTGGTTGGTATCCAAAGGAAGGTCTTGTCACAAGGATTACATATGTGAAGTATGAAAGCCCTAGCATCAACCATTCAAAAGTTATGGCCAAGGTAAAAGTTTTTCAAAAGTAGGTCAAACTCCTAGGTCAAGGTCAAAGGGTCAAAGTGGTTGGTATCCAAAGGAAGGTCTTGTCACATGGATTACTTATGTGAAGTATGAAAGCCCTAGCATCAACCATTCAAAAGTTATGGTCAAGGTTGAAGTTTTTCAAAAGTAGGTCAAACTCCTAGGTCAAGGTCAAAGGGTCAAAGTGGTTGGTATCCAGAGGAAGGTCTTGTCACAAGGATTACATATGTGAAGTATGAAAGCCCTAGCATCAACCATTCAAAAGTTATGGCCAAGGTAAAAGTTTTTCAAAAGTAGGTCAAACTCCTAGGTCAAGGTCAAAAAGTCAAAGTGGTTGGTATCCAGAGGAAGGTCTTGTCACAAGGATTACATATGTGAAATATGAAAGCCCTAGCATCAACCATTCAAAAGTTATGGCCAAGGTTGAAGTTTTTCAAAAGTAGGTCAAACTCCTAGGTCAAGGTCAAAGGGTCAAAGTGATTGATATCCAGAGGAAGGTCTTGTCACAAGGAATACACATGTGAAGTTTGAAACCCCAAGCACCAACTGTTCAGAAGTTATGGCCAAGGTTAAAGTCTCATAAAATTTTGCAAAAGTGGGTCAAACTCCAAGGTCAAGGTCAAAAGGTCAAATATGATGTACCCAAAGAAAGGTCTTGTCACAAGGAATACACATGTGAAATATGAAAGTCATAGCTCCAACCAATCAAAAGTTATGGGCAAGGTTAAAGTTGACAACAGACAGACAAACAGACAAATGGACAAACAAACAGACAAACGGACAAACAGACAGACAGGACAAAAAAAAAATAAAGTACTGTTACCGTACCACGTGCATAAATATGGTGGCATATTTCTGCCCCTTATGTGCAAGTTATTTTTCTATCAAATATGTCAACATGCAAGATAAATATGTTGACATGCAAGATAGTTATGTCAACATGCAACATAACTATGTTGACATGCAAGAAAATTGTAATGAAATAAAAATTATAAAAAATCTTCAAAAATCTCAAATATTGCCCACATGTGACATTCAACATGCTAGATGCTACTTATTTATGTCAACATGCATTTTATTTATGTTAACATGCGGGATAAATTTGTTGATATGCAACTTATTTATGTCGACATGCAACTTATTTATGTCTACATGCAACTTATTTATGTCGACATGCATCTTGGTTATGTTGACATGCGAGTTAAATATGTTGACATGCAACATATTTATGTCGACATGCAACTTATTTATGTTTACATGCATTTTTCAGATACAGTTCTACTATGACCTTAACCTTGGACCTTAAAACATAGTTCAAGGTCACTGCACACCCTTTAAAAGAGACCTCAGACGAACAGATGGACGGACGGACGGACACACAAATTACTATAGGTCGCCCGCAGAGAGGTGCCCTAAAAACGTTTTATAATCTACGGTCCCGTTTCTAAATCAACAAACAAACAGAAACGTGCCTCATTGCACGTGTCTTGGGTAGTAACGAGTCTGCACGCTCGCACGAATGTTCAAATTGTGTATCACATAATTTCTTTTGCATTTAAATTTGATCATTTAATTCAAAATCTTATTTTGAAAATCGATCATATTTAAAAAAAAGTATATATCCAAAATAAAATCACAAATCGATCATATTCACTGTAAACTTTTTTGCCATTCCTGTGTCTTAAGACATTCACATCGACTTGTAATTTCATTTTTGGATATTTTTACTTTTTTAAAAAATTATATACAGTGGCGCCGCATTTATCCGGATGCCATTTATCCGGACGCTTCACCATCCGGACGATATTTTTTGGGAACCGATTTTTTTCAACGTTATTTTGACTCATTAATCCGGAAATTCGCGTTCCGTATCTGGACGGTCAATTTCTACTACAAAACATAATAGTTCATTGAAAAATGACTCATTTATCCGGACGGTAATTTTTCAAGAAACGACATTTTCACACTTATCTTGCATTCGTGATAATTGTTGTAAAAACATTGGCCATGCAGTCAGTTTGAAGGCGGTTACCTGTGACCTACAAACAATAGTGTCTATAATTAGCATGTGTTTACCCCAATTTAATCACACGTTTATCTTTATTTTGAAGCTCAAAGAATTTAGCTGACACTGTGCATTAATTAAATAATAATCCGTTCAAAATCATATTGCTAACTCTATATACATCGGTAAATTCAGGAGAATTTTGAAGAGTTGTAAATAAAATAAACAATAAATAACGAGCGATTTCGTAATGCTCTTTATCATGTCGATTGCGTTAGTTTAAAATACGATGTTCCATCTCTAAAAAACGTAAATGTATTTGAAACGCTTTTTTCCCCCACTAGACAGTAAAGAAAGGTACATAATTTAAGAAATATCTCTATTTAATGTACTACCGTTTACAAACGTCCATTACATATAAAACTGGCGTTACCTACAGAAGTTGATTACGTTTTTCAAGGTATTTTTAATGATCGAAATTCAAACTTAGCGTGTGTAGAAAAAAAAAAATTTTGATAATCATGAAGATGGCTAGTGTTTACGAATGTCTTTAATACTTTGTTTGAGTTAGCTTGCAGTGTTCAGTTAATTTTATAGTAACCCTGTGTAATGAATATACGGGGAATATTCAGGATTAGTTTATATTTGAACATTTTCAATGATGATCCTGAACAGTTCTGTCATATCATATAAGCTTTAATAATTATAATATATGGCGAAAAAAACAACAGTAGATCAAAATTTGCTCAAACCATGAAGTGACATGCCAAAGAGAAGGCGAATTAAAAAAGGAGGTCTCGGCATAAAATTGCCCATCCATTTTTTTTTAATTGTGTAAATTACATTTTAATATATTTTTTCATTAATCAATTACTGTTTTTAAAACAATTAACCAAAATATAGTTTAAAAGTTTTTTTTTCTTTGCTGTCACATTTGAAACAAGAATGTACATACATGCTTAGAGAGTGCCTTTTGAGATGTGATTCAATTATCCGGACGATTCATTTATCCGGACGATTTCGTTGGGGACAGAGGCGTCCGGATAAACGAGGCGCCATTGAACATGTATATGTCTGTTACTCAATATAGCTAAGTTGCATGTCAACATATTTATCTCGCATGTCATCATAACTAAGTTGCATGTTGACAAAAACAAATTGCATGTTGACATAACTAAGTTGCATGTTGACATAAATAAGTTGCATGTTGACATATAAGTAGCATGTTAACATATCTAAGTTGCATGTTGACATAAATAACTTGCATGTCAACATATTTATTTCGCATGTCAACATAAATAATTTGCATGTCAACATAAATAAGTAGCATCTAGCATATTGGAAGTCACATGTGGGCAATATTTGAGATTTTTGAAGATTTTTTATAATTTTTATTTGATTACAATTTTCTTGCATGTCAACATAGTTATGTTGCATGTTGACATAACTATCTTGCATGTCAACATATCTATCTTGCATGTCGACATATTTGACAGAAAAATAACTTGCACACATGGGGCAGAAATATGCCACCATGCATAAACCATGCTCTCCGGGTAAATTTACAAAGCAGTGGTTGAAAATGCATGACAATGGGTAACATTATAAAAATTGTTAACTGAGCAAAATGTCCGTGCATATGGTTCACTGTGATGTTTTCTTCTAAATGCATTTTAAATAAATTCAGAATAACAAAAAATATTACATGTTTATTTAGGGTAAAGTGAAATTGTTATCTCTTGAAAGCCATTGCAGACCTCAGCTTCACCTCAGTCGGCAATGGTTTTCCGGGGATAACAATTTCACATGTTACTCTAAAAAAACGTAATATTTTTGTATTGTTAACTCTTTTATAATTTGATGCACCTTTAGTTGCAGGAGTGATGCAGTATTTTTCTATAAAAGCAAGCTAATTAATACAAACTTATAAACAGAGAGTTTTTCTTTTTCATTTAAAAGAAATTAAAATGATTGCAAGTACATGTACTATAAGCTAACTATGAAGATCATTTAAAAGATATTAAAATGATTGCAAGCACTATAAGCTAATTATTGGTAGAGTTTTGATACTTTAAGCATCAAAACTGCTTTCTTGATGGAACATTAATCCAAAATTCATTGTAAATATGAAATTATGCATGTGTTTCATGTCCAAGTTGTGATTAGTCTAATTTTTTTTTGTCAGACTCAACAAGATGGTGAAAGCAGTTCCTCTAAAAGTCTTTTATCAGTAGGCAGTACTGTCAAGAGTGGAAAAAGTAGTTCAGGAAAAAAGAGTGCCTCTAAAATTAGCTCCCAGAAGAGTAGTAAAAGTAGTTCAAGGAGAAGGGTTCACTCAAGAGATAGTTCATTCGAGAAGGCTCCTCCTGCAAAGATAATAAAGCTCTGCTGGTTTGTAATTTTGAAAAAGAATTGTTTTACAGAAAATGTTCCTCAATATTAAGATCCTGTATTCTGGGTTATTTTCGCCCCATGTTATTTTCACACTTTCAGATTTTGCCCCATTTTAAATTTGCCCAGACACTGTTGTGTTTAAGAGGTAGTATTGTCTTCTTCAAATTCAACTTGTTTTAAATGATGTTTTCGGAATTTCTAAAGAATTGACCTATAGGACTAAAGCCAATCCTGGCCCTATAGGTCAGTGCCTTATTTAAAATAAAATGTGATTTTTTTGCCTAGTGTCAATGAGGGTGAAAGTGATGAAAGTAAAACGGGTGAAAATTTCCCTGTATACAGTATGTAAAAAAGCTAATTTAAAGATTTTCATGATTTTCATGAATTAATGTTCATATAATTTATTTCCCAATACAAAGGAAGGAAAGATGTATGTGTGTTGGGGGGGGGGGGGGGATTACAGGGCATTGGTAGTTATTATCAACAAAGATATAAATATTTTAAAAATTTCAAGTCTAAACAAAGTGTAATTATTTACATTGGGAATGACTATAGTGATTTCATTTTACCAGGGTCTCAAAGGGTGTGTTAATTAAAAACAAGATTTACTGAGCTGATTATCTTTCAATAGTTCTGTGTGACAAGAAAAAACTTCTTCTATAGATAATAGAGATTTTTAAACCTTGTAGAACGTTGCATCCATCACACCTGCAAAAGAAGCATAGAGAATTTGTGAATTCATGTGCTACTCCATCACTTTCTAAAGAAGCAAAACAGAGAATTTGTGAATTCATGTACAACCCCATCACTTGCTAAAGAAGCATAAAAGAGAATTTGTGAATTAATGTGCAACTCCATCACTTGCACAAGAAGCGTAATATAGAATTTGTGAATTCATGTGCAACGCCATCACTTGCAAAGGAAGCATATTAGAGAATTTGTGAATTCATGTGCTACTCCATCACTTGCAAAAGCATATCAAAAATTTGTGAATTCAGGTGCAACTCCCATCACTTGCAAAAGAAGCGTAATAGAGAATTTGTGAATTCATGTGCAACTCCATCACTGGAGATTGAAGAGATGACAAGAGTGTCCAAATAGGATTTATTATCCGACTTGTGTTCAAATAAAAGCAATCCAACCATTTCTGTTATTCATCATATATGCCTTGTTATTGAATTGTTAAGTAGTGAATTAGCTCCCATTGGAAATACTAGTCATTTTTGATCTTCAACTTGTTTTTATGTGTTCTCTAAGTGGTTTCGTTTTCAAATTAATTTTTTGAGATTTATTCATACTGTTTTCTGTTTATAAAAATATGTTAGGTTGTTACTTAGAAGGATATAAAATGACGATGATACAAATGTATTGGTATGATATTTTTTCCTATTTTTATTGTCATAAATTTGTAAAATTATGTGACTGATGAAAGAAATTGTTAACTTGAGATAAGTTTATTTCTACAATTAGTTTAATTACCTGGTAATTACTATATTAAACTAACACTACCATTAAAACACTGCCAAGAATGTAGGTGATTGTATTTTAGAAAAGAATTTTAACCTCTATTTTATGTTGTATATATTCCAATGTAAGCAAAAATTGTTTTATTATTCTGTTTGTACCCACCAAGTTCATATCAATGTATCAAAGTTAAAACTGCATGTTGCATGCAATTTTTTTTTCGCTCTCTCTTCATAATTGGTTGTAAAAATGAGTGCCATTAAACTTCAAAAATTTAAAGAACATATTAAGTTGTACACTTATTATTCCTACTGTATCATTGATAATCTGTCATTTCACTCATCATTCTGTCAGTCTTTAGCAAAATGTATACATTTCCATTTGTTAAAATTGTTTAAATTACATCTATGGGAAGGAGTTTCCAAACTGTTGAATTTGATATTACTTTATACAAAAAGTGTTACGATTGCACATGTATATCTGTTCTTTATGGTCATTAAGAAGACAGAGTTCCAATGTTTAATGTTCACTTTAGAGCTTTGGCTATTGGATATTAATCATATTTGGGTTTATGTCTGAACTTTTTTTCCTGCATTTTGGTCAATTTTCTTGCAAAAGACTGATAAAAATTAAATAGTAAACTTTTGTAAAAAATAGTTTTTGCTAGAATTTAGTCTCTATTTTTGTATTTTCAAGAGTTTATAGTATCTATACGTTACCCAAAGTCCCAGTTCTCAAAAGTGAATACATGTGTTGATAATTTTCCTCACCTTTTCAAACATATGTTAAAATAGATATTCAGAGTTGTTTAATGTGTCCATATTTGGATGGAAATTTTTTTATCCGAAGTTCAAAGTTTAGAAATTTAACAGCCAGGTTCCAGATAATTATGAGAAATGGGTCATTATATGCTTTGCTAATTAAACGACAGATATGGAGATCCTTGTAAGAAGTTGTGAGAAAAGTTAACAGCCTAGTTGGTAAAATTTCTAACATCAAGTAAGATCAATACTTCATCAAAAATTTTCTGTGTGAGCAGAACTATTTTAGATTTAATATAGTCGTACCAGTACTGAAAACTTTTGAGATTAATTTTTATGTATCCAAGAGTCCTTGTTCTAAGGGAGAAGGTCTTTGTTCTTAGAAACCTGTAATATATGACTTGTAATGTTTTCCATTTCTCATCCAGCAGAAAAATGAATTAAATCTATGCTTTAAACAAAGATGAAAAGTTTTTTTTTAAATTCAAGATGTTTTTTTTTTGTACGAGTACCAGTCTGTAAGAACTATATATATTGCTGCTTTTGAATGGAAATGTAAACAAAATTTGATAATCTAAAGAAAGAGGGCATACAAGGTGAGCACATTCCCCCGCTCAGAGACAATATGTTTTTTAAATATACAAGTTCACAGAAAAGTTATATTTTACTAAAATTATGTTTTCAATAATGTCATCTTCAACACATTTGATTCTTTATTTTATTGAATGACTTATAAATCGATAATCTGTTTTTGAAGTTGACAGTTTAGAATATTTAGTGGAAAATAGGATTATTAGAGCCATAAAATATTATTTTTGAACATGAATGGGTCAAGTCCACATTCTTCAGTAATGTTTAAATGACGGAAAAGTAAATGTAAAATATATTTCATGTTTCAAAAAAAGGAGTCTGAACTCATTCTATATGAAAATCGAACTTTTCTGAAAAAAATTATATGATTCATCAAACTGATTTATTTATATCACACCGATACACATTGAAGACGTGTAGACTTTGTAGCGTAGTGGTTAACGCATTCAGTCTAGCGCCTAATCGTGAGCTTTGAAGAGAGTTCGAATCATGTGTGAAGCTTTTTTTCTTTCTTTTCACATACCTTAAAAACATTAGTGAAAAATAAATTATTTATCAATATTTTTTCAACAAAATAAAGAAAGCAAATGTGTAAAAAATGATATTGACAATGTAATTTATGAGAAAAAAGTAACTTTTCATGAACTTTTAGAATTGAGAAATGTTTTTTCGCAGAGCAGGGGATTGCCTTCGCCTTGTACGCCTAGATTCTTTCCAGAATTCACAGGATTAGATCTTTATTTTATTGACTCCTTTGAATTGATAATAAGTAAAGCTGATTTATAGGAGATTGCTTATTATACATGTACTATTCTGGTATGAATACTTTCGGGCTATTAATATTTTTCTTGATTATAACCAATGTTAATTGCCAAATATATAACTTGAAGTTGTATATTTCTTTTTAATAATTATATTGTTATGACAGCATTGGCATTATGAGTATGAATAGATGTGTATGAATTCAACAAAATTTATATTTGAATTAGTTATTTTCTTTTGAAATGAAATTGGCCACTCTTGATCTCAATTTTGGGATGTTGAATAATCATTTCAGCATGCTTCAAAGCTATAGGGTTCTTTCTCTCTCCCCCCCCCCCTTTTTTTTTAGTGAAAGTAAATAAACGACTGTTTTTAATTATTTGTTTTCATTTAATACTCATACCATTTGCAGTCAATGAAATGTTTGTGCCTTTTTTTGTGTTAACACATACATGAACACTGTATTTGTTATTTCCACATTGGAAATGAAGGAAAAGTATATTAGGTTTGTCAAATTATCATTGGTGCTTTGCTTTTTTTTTTTTTACTGTATCTGTTTAGTTTCTTGTAGCAGGTAGCTAAATTACTCAGTATTGCCTTTCCAATGTTATTTGTAGCGTAAAAATACAAAAAACTTTATAAATAATGGAATAAATTTTATATGAACATCAAGTATTCTTCAAAAATAAATGTTCTATGACACTTGAGTGTATGTTTTTGCTGTTAGTAATATAAGGGGGATTAAGGTAATACATGTGATAATTTTTAGACCCAAATACTTGAAGGAGTTTTCAAAATACTGGATTTTGGATGAAAATACTGTACATTGTTCATAAAAAACCACAACAACAAAAAAAAAAAACAACAAAATATCAACCAAATGTAAGAGGGTCCTTTTTTAGCCTTCGGCTCAAGTGAGCTTTTCTGATCGAAATTTGTCCGTTGTCTGTGGTCTTCGTCGTAAACTTTTCACATTTTCATCTTATCCAGAACTACTGGGCCAATTTCAACCAAACTTGGCACAGAGTGTCCTTGGGTGAAGGGAATTCAAGTTTGTTCAAATGAAAGGCCACGTCCTCCTCCAAGGGGAGATAATTTCGAAATAGCGAAAAATTAATGGCATCATTGAAAAAGCTCTTCTCAAGAACCAATGGGCCAGGAAAAATGAAACTCATATGGAATCACTGTTAGGTAGTGTAGACTCAAATTTGTTCAAATCATGACCCCTAGGTGTAGGGTGGGGTTGACGATCAAAGTTTAACATAGGAGGATATAGAAGTCTTCAAAAATCTTCTCAAGAACAGCAAAGCCATGATTGGTCATATTTATATGGAAGCATCTTCATGTGGTGTAGATTCAAGTTTGTTCAAATCATGACCACTGGGGATAGGGTGGGGCCACAATGGACGATCAAATTTTTACATAGGAATATATAGGAAAAAAGTCTTCAAAAATCTTCTTCTCAAGTACAGCAAAGCTATGATTGGTCATATTTATATGGAAGTATCCTCAGGTGGTTTAGATTAAAGTTTGTTCATTAAAGTTTGTTCAAAACATAACCCCGCGGGTGGGGGGTGGGGCCACAACCAACAATCAAAGTATATAGGAAAAATCTTTAAAAATCTTCTCAAGAACAGCAAAGCTATGGTTTGTCATATTTATGTGAAAGTATCCTCAGGTGGTGAAGATTCAAGTTTGTTAAAATCATGACCCACAGGGGTAGGGTGGGGCCACAACCAACAATCAAAGTTTTACATAGGAATATATAGGAAAAATCTTTAAAAATCTTCTTCTCAAGAACAGCAAATCCATGGTTGGTCATATTTATATGGAAGCATCCTCAGATAGTGTAGATTCAAAATTGTTCAAATCAGTAATCCCCTGGGGAAGGGCAGGGCCACAATGAAAGTTCAAACTTGTAAGGAAAAAAGTTAGTCAAAAAAATATGTAAGCATTCTTAGTTAGTGAAGATTCAATTTTGTTCAATTCATAACCCCCCCCCCCCCTCCTTCACTCCCTTTTAGGGGTAGGTCGGGAGACCACTTATGCATTTAAGATTTTCAATATTAAACTGATTTTTGTTTTTTTCCTTGTCACATTGGTCAGGTGAGCGATGTGGCCCCTGGCCCCTTGTTACTAATAAATTTCAAATTGATGAACAAGTGTACCACTGCATGTAGTGTTATGTGTAATTACTCATTTCAAGAAACTTTTGCAGCTTTTAAGAATTTTGGCAATCCCCATGGTCAATGCTGAATTTGGTAAAAAGACTTCCATAGTACAGTGTTTAATGTGAGAGTTTGGTCATCTGAAGTCATCTGCATTTTTAGCTCACCTGAGCCGAAGGCTCAAGTGAGCTTTTCTGATCAAAATTTGTCCGTTGTCTGTCGTCGTCGTCGTTGTTATAAACTTTTCACAATTTCATCTTCTCCAGAACTACTGGGCCAATTTCAACCAAACTTGACACGAGTATCCTTGGGTAAAGGGGGTTCAAGATTGTTCAAATGAAGGGGAGATAATTACAAATTGGTGAAAAATTAATGGCATCTTTTACTAAGAGGTCCATGGGCCACAAGGCTCACCTGAGTCAATGTGGCCCTGCTGTTCTTTGTCAGCAGATTTCTTCTCTGATATATTCATATGTGAAGTTTTGATAGCCTGTTCTAGGCATACCCTGCCCCCTGGTGCCATGTTTTGAATGAAATTGAATCAAAACTGTTTGAGGATGCTTCAATATTTATATAATAACTAATCATGGTTTTGCTGTTCTTGAAAATGGAATTTTAAAGATGTCTGCCTCCCTACCCTGAAGGGGGTGGGGTGGGGTGTCATGATTTGTACAAACTGTGTCTACACTACCTGAGGATGCTTCCATATCAATATAACTAATCATCTTGAGAAGAATATTTTTATAGATATATCCTATATATGTTCTTTTATAGCTTTGATCCCCCATTATTGCCCCACCCAACTACTGGAGGATGCCTTGAACAAACTTGAATCTACAATACTTTGAGATGCTTCCATATCAATATGACTAATCATGGATTTCCTGTTCTTGAGAAGATTTTTAAAGATTTTCCCTAAATATTCCTATGTAAAACTTTGATCCCCCATTGTGGCCCCATCCTACCCTTGGGAGTCATGATTTGAACCAACTTGAATCTTCACTACCTGAGGATGATTCCATATATATCAATATGACTAACTGTGGCTTTGTTGTTCTTAAGAAGAAGATTTAAGATTTTTCCAGACCTATAGATTCCTTAGTAAAACTTTGATCCCCATTGTAGCCCCACCCTACCCCCCGGGGTCATGATTTGAACAAACTTGAATCTACACTATCTGGGGACAATTCCGTATCAATATGACTAATTGTGGCTTTGTTGTTCTTAAGAAGAAGATTTTTAAAGAATTTTCCTATATATTCCTATGTAAAACTTTGATCCCCCATTGTAGCCTCACCCTACCCCAAGGGATCATGATTTGAACAAACTTGAATCTACCTGAGGATGCTTTCTTATCAGTATGACTAATTGTGGCTTTGTTGTTCTCGAGAAGAAGTTATCTAAAGAATTTTCATATATATTCCTATGTAAAACTTTGATCCCCCATTGTGGCCCCACCCTACGCCCGGGGTTCATGTTTTGAAAAAAATTGAATCTACTCTATGTAATGAAGGGTTGACACAAGTTTCAACTTTTCTGGCCCAATGGTTCTTGAGAAGAAGATTTTTATGCCCCAGGATCGAAAGATCCCGGGGATATATTGTTTTCGTCCTGTCTAGCTGTTTGTCTGTCTGTTGTCAACTTTAACCTTGCCATAACTTTTGATTGGTTGGAGCTATGACTTTCATATTTCACATGTGTATTCCTTGCCACAAGACCTTTCTTTGGGTACCATCTTATTTGACCTTGACCTTGGAGTTTGACCCACTTTTGCAAAATTTTATGAGACTTTAACCTTGGCCATAACTTCTAAACAGTTGGTGCTTGGGGTTTCAAACTTCACGTGTATTTTTTGTGACAAGGCCTTCCTTTGGATACCAACAACTTTGACCTTTTGATCTTGGAGTTTGACCTACTTTTGAAAAACTTTAGCCTTGGCGATAACTTTTGAACAGTTGGTGCTTGGGGTTTCAAACTTTACATGTGTATTCCTTGTGACAAGACCTTCCTCTGGATATCAACCTCTTTGACCCTTTGACCTTGACCTAGGAGTTTGACCTACTTTTGAAAAACTTTAACCTTGGCCATAACTTTTGAATGGTTGGAGCTAGGGCTTTCATATTTCACATATGTAATCCTTGTGACAAGACCTTCCTTTGGATACCAACCACTTTTACCCTTTGACCTTGACATAGCAGTTTGACCTTCTTTCGAAAACTTTAACCTTGGCCATAACTTTTGAATGGTTGGTGCTAGGGCTTTCATACTTCACATATGTAATCCTTGTGACAAGATCCTCCTTTGCATACCAACCACTTTGACCTTGACATAGGAGTTTGACCTACTTTTGAAAAACTTTAACCTTGGCCATAACTTTTGAATGGTTGGTTCCAGGGCTTTCATGCTTCACATATGTAATCCTTGTGACAAGACCTTCCTTTAGATACCAACCACTTTGACCTTGACGTAGGAGTTTGACCTTCTTTCGAAAAATTTTAACCTTGGCCATAACTTTTGAACAGTTGGTGCTAGGGCTTTCATATTTCTCATATGTAATCCTTGTGACAAGACGTTCCTTTGGATACCAACAACTTTGACCTTTACCTTGACGTTTCCCTTACTTTTAAAAAACTTTAACCTTCGCCATAACTTTTGAACAGTTCCAGCTAGGGCTTTCAAATTTCAGGTATATTCCTCGAGACAAGACCTTTCTTTGGGTACCAACATTTTTTATCCTTTGGCCTGGATTTTGACTTGGATTTGAGAAACTTTAACCTTTGACATAAGCTGCCATACGGGGGCATCAGCGTTTCACAAGCATATCTTGTTAAAAGATGATACCAACTTTTCACAAATTCTTAATTATCTCCCCTTGAAAGAGAGCGTGGCCCTTCATTTGAACAAACTTGAACCCCCTTAACCCCAGGATGCCTTTTGGCAAGTTTGGTTGAAATTGGCCCAGTGGTTCTGGAGAAGAGGTCGAAATTGTGAAAAGTTTACAGACAATCAGATGGACTTACCAGACAAAATGTGATCAGAAAAACTCACTTGAGGTTTCAGCTCAGATCATCTAACAGGCCCCTAGGAAGTAATTTCACTCTTGAGGGGGCACAACCAAATATTCTCAGTTGAGGGATGGGCACTGCCAAGCAAAAATTCCTTTGTTGACAAGCAAAAAAAATTTACTTTATTATTGCGCAGGCACAAGCATAAAGTTGGTATGTTTTCTATAGTTTCAATGGGCAAGCCCTCGGGGAATAGTTCCTGTCGCAGATTTGATAAAAGCTATCCCACTCACAGCCAGTGGATAAGTGTTTTATTATACTGATGTATATCATAATTTCTGAGGGTTGAATTACCTGATATTATAGTTTCATAGGCAAAACATGAAAACTTCAACAGAATATTTGTAAAAGTTTTGAGCAAGTAGATTATTTGGAGTAAGATTATAAACTGCAAGAATGAGCTGAAATCCTGATGACGTCACAATGCTACTGAAGTCGTGATTACATCATCAGTCTA